TAGCTAGCAATTGACCCAAATCTTTGTTCTTAAGCTAATATTGAATAAGAAAGAAATGGCTCTTAGCAGTACATGCCAGGAGGAGCAGGATGTAATACCAGCCATTGACTCTAGTGTATTTAATTCCCCCGGGTGTGTTAATTGAAAATCAGTGTTCAGGGAAAAAATGGATGAGCAAAAGATGTTGCTACCTCTAAAGGCTTATGAACAAGTCAATTAAAAARAMCCCAAATCCCCAAACCAAAACCCATCAAAACCACACAGAAAACAGCACAACAGAACTACAGAACAAGGCCTGTGTATAATTAATTTGACCCTGTCTGAAACTCTCACCTTCGTGCCCACCTACCACTTACTGGCTGATTTGTYTGAAGGTACAAGCTTGATTACCATGATCAAAAGAACATTTCCAAATRTTTTGTTTCCAAAACAAAATGCTATTTAACCTCCTGGATACTGACAGAACAGTAGGCATTTCTCTTGATCARCAGGATTTGCATCTGATACTGTGGTTTACTTTACACTTGGTACTTTCTGCTTTGCTTTTTGACTCCTGTTCTTTGCAGATTGCTGAATTGTTCTAGAGCTTTGGGGTTAGCTTTTTCAGATTTTAATTTTTTCCTACTTACTTTTCCCTAACCTTTTCCATGATCCCTTGGTATTACTGGTTAAATGCAGGGTGCTCTGAAGTGAAATTTCTCTCCTGATAACAATTTCCTCATCTTGTAACGACTGATAAAGCACAGCACTGAGAAAGTGTGGAATCCTCTGTAGTTTAAGTAGCCCTCTAATGCCTGTCTGAGTATTTAAGGCATCCCAATAGATGTTTTTGATTTTGTCTTAATCCTTGCAGATGGAGCTTTYTTGACATCCCACTTCCTTAAGCTGTTTTAGTGCATTGCTTTACACGGGARTAGAAAGCTTTTATCAATGTCTGTYAATAGAACTRGTTTATATAGAATACATTAATGTATATAAAGATCATCTGTTGTTTGGAAGTCTGTGTACACACTTAGTATTCTCCTCCTGGGTCAGAACACAGGCATTTGAGTTAAGGCTGTAAATGTCCTCCTGTCTAACTGGGGGTGTGARTGTTGACCTTGCAGCTCTCTCCCCCATTTCTAATCTACCTTTAGGCTTAGGAGCACATCCTGTGCCAAGCCTTGTATAGAGGCTTTGTCACCAAGTTACCAAGTTCATTTGTGAAAGTGATGTTCCCTCTCTTAGCCTTGTGCATCCCATCTGTTCTTGGCAGTCCCTCTTCATCAAATGAAGTACCACGATACGAGAGGACAGAGAGATAACAAATAGTCAGACTTTATTTTGATGGGTGCATCTGTGTCACTTTAGCTTTTCCCTTTGAATGAAAAGTTTGATGAGAACATCCATTGGGTCCTCGAGTCCCTGAACCCTTCACCCCAGCACCCTTCACTGTTTTTCACTTGTTTCTGTGCTTCTGTAGAAGGCATTCCTGGTATCTAGCTTTTCCCCAAGACTTTAATAAAATCTATGTTCTTAYTCCTACATTCAGTGGAACAGCCCAAGTACTGATACCACTCTCAGCAGTAGTGTAGGCATTAGAGAGAGGGTAGCCATCATCCTGCTTTTATATGGCACTAATTATCTGGAAAACCACATCCAGCTTTGTGCTGATTATTACAGGAAATATATTAATAAACTTCAGTAAACGTAGTGGAGAGCCACCAAGGCCAGAGCCCACGCCTTGTGCCTGGGAGAAGTGAATCTGTTCCGCCTGGAGGAGAAAGGGCTTTTAAGTCTGCATAACCTACAGTCTGCRAGTTGGTTATCAAGGCTTTTTATTAAAATGCCTGACGGGAGGCTGAGAAACAGGAGTAATAAATTGAAGCAGAGGAGGTTTTGACTGGATACAGGGGAGGAAAAAAGCATGATGATGAAAAYAATTAAACTGAGAGAGGTTTCCATCCTTGGAGATTTTCAAGACCAGTGTTGCATAAAGCYTTGAGTGATCTGACCCTGCTTTGAGGGGGAGGTTGGACTAAAGTTATCCTGAATTGCCTTCCAGCCTGGATGATGCTGTGATTCTCTAAACCTACGACAGTTAATGCACATAGTACTTTTATGCTGTTACCTGAAGCCTTTAATTCAAATGGTTTAACTTTCCTAAACATTTCCCAATAATCAAGTTTAAAGGATTCTTCTGAGAATAAACTGGGGTGCTTTACAGTAAACAAGCTTTTGTTGTCTCGTTTTAGGCAAGCTTAGAGTACACAAAGACAACAGTATGATGGTAGGATAAAGATCATTTTCAAATCTATTGCTTAATTTTTCCTTCAGGAAAATTTTCTAGGCCTTTACTAGATAGGCCTTCCTATCAGCTGARCTATAGCTGTGAAGATGTGATGGCATTATCAGCTTATGTTAGAAGTTAGAAGGCAATTCAGGASAACTGGAGATTYGAGTTTCAGATAGTTTYTGTTGGTTGACAAAGAAAATAAGTRTTGTAGCATAAATAATGAAAGTATTTTAATAGAACCTTGTCTTTCAAAGGTACCTAGCTCCCGCAGCTCATGCTGATGTCAGTGGAGCTGGGTCTGCTTCCTATTTCTGAAAATAACACAGAAATTTCTAGATCATTCCTTGCACATGTGAAAAGCTGGGTGTCTAACTTCGCCTAAAGTACGTTACATAGAGAGCTACTCTTCTTTTTTTTTTTCTTTTTTTTTTTTTTTTCCTTATGGAATAGACTGTTATTTCACACACAGCAAATAGCAAAGCAAATGAAATTAGTAGCTATTAAGAATCGTTTAAATTTACAAAATTTTTATTAATCCTCTAGCATATGAGTTCTGTTGGGAAGGAAGCACGCATGTTGATTTAAGCATATGGAGAATGTGTTGCAGGACTAGGATCTTTCATCCAGAGGTTCTACTTGTCAGCAAGGCAATCATTATTGGAATATTGATTTTATAAACTGCAGTCCATTGAACTATTTTTGTCGGAGGTTGGGAATAATTCACACTTGCTATCAAAATGCCTGTCTCAGGAGACACCATAAGTCATGTTAAATGGTCTCATTTTACAAATAACTTTTTTTTTTTTTCTGTAGCGTTAGACATAGAGATTTTGCAATCTGTTCAGACTGTGTAATGTTTTGAAAGCTGGCTGCTGTAATTTTGTAGGTTCTAGGAACCAAATAAATATTTCAGTCAGACATAAAGGTGTGGGGTTTTTAAAATATGAGTAATTTGTCTTACAATCCATGGAAACTTTTCCTTTTTACAAAATCCCAAAACACTAAATTCTTAAACTAACCTTTATCAGGACATTATTTAAGTCAATGCAAAGCTATTAAAGCATTCTGATCCTCAGAGCTAAACTCAAGAAAGAGGAAATCAATCTCTCTAGTTTTAGGCAAATGTATTGTATCAGAAATATCAGAACTTGTCCTGACTAATTAATTAGTAATATTTGTTTTTCTTCCATAGGATCTAAATGTTAGCACATTAAAAAAATATTTTGAGGTAATAGCAATTCTCCTTTTTGATTTTGAGTTTTTTATTTGACAGTGATGCTATTAAACACTACCTTAACTTTGTTAATTTTATTGCTGTCCAAACAGAGGAGGAATATACTTGAATCTAGTTCAGTTTTTCAGATATTACATTTTGCACTGCACTTGCTCTCATCATCTCTGGGAACATAATACTAGAAATTATCAAAGTTGCTGCTCTTACACAAAATGCTGCAATAGTTTAAACAACAATTTCTTCATCRAAATTTTTTGAAGAAGGAAAAGCCCATAAAATTTGCATTGCCAAATGTTGCAGCTCATGACCAGGTGCCTGCCACAGAATGGAAATCCATCTCTGAGCTGAGTACACATGAAAGGAGTAGGACAAATCCAGCACTTCTCAGGAGTGGTCAGGATGCAASTGCCTGGTAGTCCATAGAGACCTGAAGTGAGAAGGAGTGGCCCATCATCCTTATTAAACATTCCTTTCTCCTACTTCCATTTCCAGGGCTGGATCATGTCTTTCTGACAGAAAACTCAGCTAATGTGTGATGTTATAATAGTGACCACAAAACTTGCTTGAGATCCCATGTTTTWAAATATTGCTGTAGTGTTTAACTTAGTGACTGTTTTAAGGGAGTTTCTCTCATTTTGTTTTCTTCATTTTGTACTACAAACTAAAATTTCACAAAAAAAGAACGACAATTTTCATTAATTCTTGAACTGCAGGTTAGGTGGGCATTATGAAAATTAATGAGTGGGAATGCCTAGTACCAGTGAGCAGAATGAGGTGGCTAATTGATGTTACTAACAAACACTTTGAGATTTCCCAAACTTCAGCTTTGTTTAATGCTGCAGTATAAAAAAGTTACTTGATTTGTGGAATAGATTGATAGTTTTAATCAGACAAGATCATTTTAATCATACAGACAAGATTTTGGCCTCCTAAGTCCTTTTTGAGCTCATGAATAAGCCTATTGTTTAAGGATGTATTACATTGACATTAGAAATTGAGAGACTTGTGCTGGAACATTAAAAGTTGCACAGCCAGCAGAAACAAGCACAGATGGTTAGGGAGGGAGAAATGTAAAGAACTGGGACTATTTTAGTTAAACTGAAAAACAAAAGAAAAAAAAAAAAGAAGCAATGTAACAGAAGCAGAACACACACACACAAATAAATCAAAACAGTGTTAAACAAATCTTTCCCTTAATATAAAAGTTTGGTTGAGTCAATTGCAAATGTTCCACCACAGTAATGCTTTCGTGTGTATGAGTTCCTGATTTTTTTTTTTTAATATGATACTTAATTGTTTATTTCRTGTGGGATACTGAGAACAATGCTTTTGTAATCACACATATATCAAATGAATATGGAGTGGAAAGTCATGTGCTTGCTCATGAACTGATGAAATCAAATTGGAAGATAATGGTCCAAGGGGATGAACAGCTCAAGCTGCCACCAGGTTAAAACTGTGAATAACTCCCCACTGATCATATTCACACAGGAACCAAGGGAAGTGTGTCGAGGGCATGGTGGAAATCTTTGACATGCTTCTGGCTACTGCTGCTCGGTTTCGCATGATGAACCTTCAAGGGGAGGAATTTGTGTGCCTTAAGTCTATCATCCTGCTCAATTCTGGTAAGTCGTGTGCWTTGCTGTCCCTCRGGTAATTGTGGCMACTTCTGCATGTGGTGGAACACTGYCTGCTGTCCTTAGTGGCATTTTCATTTTGAGACAGCAGCAATGGAAATGGGCTTTCAACACAGACATAGGAAGGACCCCCAGGCAGGGGTGGAAGTGGTCAAACGTGTCCAGGGGTGTAGATGGAGCCCAGCAAATGGATGCAGTGAGGAGCTGTGCTCACTGTGACATGCTGTGCTCAGCTGATGTGGAGGGTGATCAGAGCAGTGCTTGGAATCAGRTGCTGGCAGGACTGAAAACTGTTTACAAGACACTCGAGTAGCTGGAACCACAGATGGGGCACCCAAAGGCAATGCTTAACTGCGATGCTTAGGTGATGGCAAAATAAAAGGAAATAAGGGGAAAAATGTGGTTSAGTTTATTGTGGTTTAATTTATGTTAAATTATAGACATCTAAAACTGATGCAATCACTTTCCAGTTCCTTTATAGTTTTAGCTGCACATGTCATCCTGAAGTACACTTCAAAAATAGGTGAGTGTAAGTAAGTATAGACACAGATAAAAATATGTAAGGTTAGCTGATTTGAATTTTACATGAGWTGATTGAAACAAGAATATTTAACTTGAAGCATGTAACAGAAAATTTCTCTTGCTCACCAGAGGACTCTCTTCTCTTTTGAAAAGAGAAAAAAACTCCTGATAATTTATTTTTCATATGCAGAAATGAGATCTATGGTGTCCTTTCCTATAAAGGAAATTATAGACATCTAAAATGATGTAGGCAGCAAAGTAAAAAAATTAAATGCAATTCTCTGCTAAGTTGTTCCCTGGTGAGTAAACATGCCAGAATTTCCCAGAGCTGAGGATTTACCTGCTTGTTCTTCCCTTTTCCTGCTGCATTTGAACTTGTASATGGTTCCACCCTCTAGACAAAACAGATGTGGAGGTCTCTGTGTCCTTTTTATCCAGTTGTCTAATAGATCACTTGCCCAAATTGCAGGAAAAACAAATTTAGGATATTCACATCAAAGGCTAACTGTAAACACAGCACACATTATTGATCAGGCASTTTTCTTTATGGAAGCTTGGATATGGTCTCCTCAAAGTTCAAGCAAAGTTATGTATTTATGCAATCTGATATAAAACACTTTATTTATATTCTGAGATATGAGATAGGAATGTGCTTCAGGTTTTGTTGTGGTTGTCACYAATTGCCAAAAATTAACATTTGAGGCAAGCAAGTGGCATATTAGGAATGAAGAGCTATTGTTCTTACCWTGGTTGCCAGGATGTGGTAATTGTTATTACTGTTTGACATTTTGTTTTCCTTTTATTGCCCTGATAATTATAACAGTATTTCCTAGAGTTAAAAATTCTTCCTGGAAAGTGATGGTCCTGAATTTTAGCTGATATGTTCAAAGGTAATATTGATTCATAAAAATTTTGAATTTCAATTAGAAAAATTAGAATTGGAAGTTTGAATATAACATATTAGATGTTCAAGTCATGAACATGAAGAATTTAAGTCATGCTGTTGAGAACTKTGGTGCCACTGTTGTATTTAGTATTGATGTGGAAAACTAAATTTGTTATTTAGACAAAGCTTTGCCAGACATCACCAGCTGTCCTTCATAAGTGCATTTCAATGTGTTAATGAGATTTTCTTTTGTTTCAAGATTCCCCTAAGGAAAACTTGTAAAAAGAATATATATATACATACATACATACATACATACATACATATTATATATATACATACAGCAAGTGAAGTCAGTGATAATTAGAGGCAAATTTCCTTCTGCACGTGAGAGAGATGGGATCACTGAGTGCAACTAGGAGATAAGGAGATATAAGATCTTCATTCCTTCAAGGTTCGTATTCAGCAAGTTCCAATCAGTAGTGCTCTTCATGGCWGAGGATCAGAGCTGATCTGGTGATCTGATGAATGACCCGATTTTGGCTGTTCTTTGTTTGGTTCTTTTTTTTACACTGAATGTAAGTTTGTAGCTGCTCAGAAGTCTGGCATTTTTACAACAGTCTTGATGGTGATAGATCAGAGGATGTGGTTGAGCTGAGCTATTACAGGATCATGATGAAAGCAGCCTGTACCATTGTTACACAGATTGTCACGCATTAYTCTGCTTTACAGACTGCCCTCGTTGCAGTATTTCTGAGTGCACTGTCAACTCTCTGTGTGGCCACGGAATGTATATCTGCATCACAAATCATTACTTTCATGCATAAAGGTGCATTTCAGTGTTTGTGTTCCCATAACAGACTAATTTTGTAACTAGGTAGCAGGAATAGAAGTTTCTGACTGTCAGACCCTCTAGATGCTCAAATTAGGAGGCATTAGGCTGCAATACAGAGATAAGTAGCATAATTTGGGGTATGTGTAAGAGCTGTTTAAGTATTTGGGGATAGATGCTCTAAAATGTCTTCTGGAGATGCTTTACTTCACAGAGCGGAGGCATCCTCCTTACATGAAGTGTTGGATGGATATGAAACATTATGTGCTCTGAAGCACATGGCTGAGAGAGCTGMGCTGGTTCATCCTGGRAAAGAGAAGGCTGCAGGAGGATCTTACTGCAGCCCTCAGACAGATGAAAGAGATTTTGGAGAAGCCAGGGCCAGAGACACCTCCAAGGTGCAAGAGGAAAGGACAATCTGCAATGAAAAAAAACCACAGCAAGGGAGACCCTGCCAGATGAACAGAACAAAAACTCTACCCAGKGAGAGGTTTAGCACTGGAACAGGTTGGCCAGAAAGATGGTAGGATCTCAGTCCTTGGAAATACTCAAAACTCAGCTGGACAAAGCTCTGGGCAGCTTGATCTAACCCTGAAGTTATCACTACTTGAGYACAAGGATGAACTAGATGACCTGCAAGCCTACCTTAATCTGTTTTCTTTCTATGARTGCACATGTAAATATTCACAAATGTTCTACTAAAGAAACAGCAGATAAACTCACAATGAATTTTTGGCTTATTATGCTGTCTGTATTATATATGCATGTGATTAAACCAGCAGAACTCAAAATKATTTTAACAAGTGGTTTAATTAGACAAATAGCAATAATTATGCTACATGTCATTTTGTTTAAAAGCAGTCTGCATTTGCATTCTAAAGCTTTGTGTGGATTTAATTCAGAGTGTACACAAACATTTCTTTATTAAATCCTTGGACATCTGGTTGTCTCTYCACAAGGGGTAGTGTTGTTTATTGCTTTTGTTGGATATTTCTGCTTTTGCAACATCTTTCAAGGCTGTTTAATATCTTTACACTCCTTTTCCATGTGGTTTTGGAAAAAATACAATTTTTTTTTTTTAGTTTTGCTCAGTGGAAGGAATGGAAAGTTTTGTTTATAAACGAACGTGTATGCTCACACTACTTCCACATTTTTTCCTGAGATATCAAGGTGCATGTCCATAACAGCAGGGACATCATTGTGTCCAGCTAAATAACAAACCTGAAGGTGCCCCTCTAAAACTGCAGCAATAAATCTTTTGACTAAAAAAGCAAAGTTGTATTTTTGAAAACCATGTTCAGCTAAATATTAAAGGCCTGTTTCTTAACATTGGAAAATAAGTATTAGAAACATGAAAGGGCAACATAATGCCAGATGTTTTACTTTTGGGTGTATCTGAGAAGAGGAACAATGCTATGTGCAAAGCAACAGGCTTTCATTTTGGACATGAAGATGTAGGTCACATCTGCCTTAGCAGGCGATTTACCTGATTACTTATCTGGTTAGTCCATAGAGGTGGAAAGATTTGGCAGAATTGATACATTCTGTGGACCCCCTGATACACTGTTCCACATGACTGCTTGCTATCCTGATGTTTTTYGGTTCCTGTTAAATTGTGCTTCTTATATCTTTCCTTATTTCGGGGGCTGGATGATTCCAGGATGAATTTCCTCATAACTCAGCCTGTCTTGCTACAGCTTCAGAGCAATTGGGCATGGTGGAAGAAGAGGAAGAGCCTGGGGTATTGTTTTCTGARCCTGAACTACAAATGTAAAAATATTTTACACTGGGGTTTATTGTGGCAGCAGAGATGTGGAGGGCATTCTCTTCTACAGTAATATGCACCAAATATGTAATTATATATGGTGGGAGATATAAAATGATATCAATGTGTGCCAAGGGTAGTGCCATGGTAGCACTGCTGTCCCCAAGGCTTCTGTCCTGGTGTGTGTCATGGGCATGGACCAACAGACCCTGCTTGGTTGCAGGATGGGGCTTTCTCTGTTCTGGCTCCTGTTATGTTTTACAATATTGACCTACAGAAAGAGCTGGAAAACAACCTGGTAGCTGTGCGATTTAGGCTTGGAAAGACCTTTGAGAATGTTAAATTTCACTTTGCTAAGGCAATTTTCTGTACTCTCATTTGATAACTCTGSCTSTGTGTGTATGTGTGTGTGATAGCCAACATTTCTTTTTGGGAAWTCTCTGGTCAGTGGCCTGGGGCAGRAGCARTCACCRKGMKSRTGTAGAAAGGAAAACCAAACATAATTTTCCTTGGCAGTTATTGACTGGCAATGGCCTGAATTCTCTACAGTTATTGGGRAGCACTTTTTTGATTTATAGTTTTTAATAGTTTCTAGACTAAACATAGGTGACAAACAATTCCTCCTAAAAGGTTTTTTTCTTTAACTAGTTTCAGTGATGTGAATCTATGGGGTATTGCTGCAAAAGGACAATAGGTTCCWGTGACTGAAGTAAACTGCTCTGGAGGCACTGTGCATTTCTGAGATTAATATTTCCTTCTAGTGGATTATATTCTGTCAGTAATATTTAAGAATCTTGCCCCTACAGGTACCTGTTAAGTATCAAGCCTTGTATTGTCAATAGGCACACATGAGGGTGGTTCAGATTCAGCTGAGAAAGGTTCAKCTGAGAAAAGCCCCAGGAGCAGTTTCTGTTTGGTGAATTAATTTCAGTAAAAATAGTAATAGCTATGAAAAGCTCTGTGAGAAAAGAGGCCATTGTACTATCAATCTATATCAAATTTGAAGCAATAGTCGTTACCAAAATTAAGAATTTTGACCGATGATTTTCAGAAGTTGTGCTGTGTTTGAGTTATCCTTTTGGTTTTTAAAAGCAGTTTCTTACTTTTTCCCRGAGACACTCACAGTTACATTCACAAACACATTTACATTTTTTGTTAGCAGAGAAGACTCAAAATCATAAAAGCTACATGCAGGTTRCAGTAGTTCTGGGTGTCAGGTCCTTGAAGTACCCAGATGATGTGAGGAGCTGAGGTAGGCCAAGAAGGTGTTAAAAACATCTCAATTCCCCRAGTGCTCAGGTGCACAGCAGAGTGKTCTTATCTTCARATCAGTGGTAGCCCCAAGGCTGCAAACAATGTAAACAAGCTATAGAAAATCTGTCTGTCTATGTGTGCATGCCACATGTCTGTGTGTCTTTTATTCTTAATATCACTAACTGCATTCCATATTCTGCTATATATGATGTTTTAAAGAAAAGCAAAACGAAATATAATTCCAGAAACCATTGTTGTTCCAAGCACAAAATCCAGATTTCTTCTTGGCTATGTGAAGTGATGCAGAAGGGCCAAAGCACAGGATTTGTCAAGTCTATTGGAGACACAGGACAATGAATGATCTGTGATAAAGCCAGTTTGATTATATTASCGTATGTAAATCTTAAACTTCTGGTGCCTCGGGACTGGATTATGGCAATACAACCTGTTTAGAATTGTTGGTTCAGTCCAAAATATTTAAAAACTGATGCTGAATGCAACAGCTGTCCTTTGGCAGCACAGCGTTGTTGTGACCTGATTCACATTGGCTGTGTGGTGTTGTCCAGAAAAATATCAAGATAAAACAGCCCAAAATAGTTTAGACTTCCCTGTTTTGAAAGCTGATGTGCTTCATGCTCCCAAGATTTACTACTGGCAAAAGCTCTTATGCCTGGATTAGAGACTCTCATAGGAGATGTAGAGGGGCTGTTAGAGAGGGAGTTTGAAGGTGTTTTGTCGTCTGGAAAAATTTCTATCTGGTCCAAACCTTTGGCTGCTCACTTTTAGCAGTAAGCAATTCAAGACAGCTAAGTTTGCACAGGTTGATTTGGACATGGTTTTTAAACCAGGTTTACAGGTAAAGGACACCTTTCAAGGCTCTTGCTTGGTTGGCAAGATTTTGTTGAGGCTATCATCCATAAACAAATCCTGATTTTGTTTACATGTTTTGTGGTGGCATTATTCCATTCTAGATAGGCTAGAAAATCACCAAAAACGAAATATTGAACAGCAGAGAAAATGACAAAAGCCACCAAAGGCTTGGGTTTGTTGGTAAGTATTGCAGAGCTCCCAAGGGGAAAACAACTCCTCAAGTTTCAGAGCCAAGTGACCAAGAGAAGAGCACAGCCCGTGGGTAGAACTGGGTGCAGGTGTCACCCAGCACCTGGTACAGGCCTTGGTCACACCYAGCAGGGAAGAGGCACTGTCTTCCTCCTCCTGCTTTGCCCACTGTGACCAAATCTATGCTCCAGGGCCGTTCAAAGCAGTGACCTGGCTGCCAAGCAGGAGAGGTGGCACACAGCTCCCACTGTTTAACACAGCTTAAGAGGCACCACAAGGCATACTTGGACAACTCTGAGTCCATCAAAGTAATTTTTGTCTGTGCTTTGTTTGTTTTCTTTCTCCCTCCTACTCTAGGTGTGTACACTTTTCTTTCCAGCACCTTGAAATCTCTGGAAGAGAAAGACTATATTCACCGTGTCCTGGACAAAATCACAGACACTCTGATTCACTTAATGGCTAAGTCAGGACTTTCTCTGCAGCAGCAACACAGACGACTGGCTCAGCTCCTCCTCATCCTCTCTCACATCAGGCACATGAGGTGAGAGCAAGCACACAGTCAGCACTTCTGTGCTGGGCCCATGCAAGGGAGGTGTCACAAATGCACCTCCTGCATACTTTTGCTTCGCAGGTAGGAGTGCAAACTGTGTGAAGGGCTATGAAAAAAAAACCAAAACAACAACCAAAAAAAGAATTTTCCATATGAAAATATGTACCCCATTTGTTTCATCTAGTTGCCTTTTCCTCTACTTTTTTTTTTTTTTTTGTTTTGATAGTGCTGTAAGCAGTATCTGCTTTTAAACTTATGTTTGTCTTAGATTCATAGAATGGCCTGGGTTGGAAGGGACCATAAAGATCCTCTAATGTCCACCCTCCTGATATGAGCAGGGACACCTCCCACTTAGACCAGGTTGCTCAGAGTCATCCAGTCTGGTCTTGAACACTAATAGGGATGGGGGACCCACAGTTTCTCTGGACAGCCTCTTCTAGTGCCTCACTACCTTCAGTAAAGAATTTCTTCCTAATATCTAAAATGAACCTACTCTCTCTCAGTTTGAAGCCATSCCCCATTGTCCTGTCACTACATGCCCTTGTAAAAATTYCCTCTCCAGATCTCCTGTAGGTCCCCTTCAGGTACTGAAAAGCTGWTAAAAGTTCTAGGAGCCTTCTGTTCTCCAGGCTGAGCAACCCAAATTCTCTCAGCCTTTCCTCATGGGAGAGGTGCTCCAGCCTTTGGATCATGTTCATGGCCCTCTTCTGAGCCTGTTCTAACAGGTCTGAGTTTTTCTCATGGTGAGGACCCCAGACCTGCACAGGTGTTTGAAAAGTACTGAGTCAAATACTAATGTAGCAGTAGYCTAGCTCTGCAAACTTTAGTCTCCTTCAAGGTAATATTTAATAAAACTCTCACTTTTATGTAGCCACTTTTCACAAGTGTCATGATTGCAAATCACTTTAGAAAAGAGATTAGGATCATTATGTGTATTGTATGTATGAGGATAAATGGAGAACTACTAAATTACAATCTCGAGGACCATGCCTTTTGCTAATCAGAGGTGAGCTGCCTGACACACTCTTAGTAATTGCAGCAAATGATTCTCCCAAATTACCTCTTAAGGTAGCTTCTCAGTAGATGAGGTGTTAACATGATAAATTTCTACAAAGCTATGCTATAGATTTTATTATTATGAAAGCACAGGAGATGTTGTTACACAGATTTTAATTTTGGTTATTTCAGCTAAKAGCATTTAAATGAAACACTATGTCATAGCTACGATGCTGAAATATGCAGATTTTACCTCCTGGACTGATACACAGATCTTTGGGACAAAGTCAAGTTCACTTGTGTCATTATTGTGTCATTTTTAAAAGAGTTTCTTTGTCCTTGTGTTAATGATCCTTTCTGCTCCCCTTCCTGCYCAAGATGAACTTTTGCAATTAAGGAAGTTGCAGATGCATAGTAAAGTTAATTGTTTCATAGTTTGTGAATGGATTCTATTACAAGTGAGCTTTTGCCAAGAAATTGGTTGTTTTTATTTTCTAGGAAAGAAAAAGGACTGTTTTTTATTATGGGAAAGGCAAAATTCATCCCATCCTCTTAGTCACACTGGCTAAATTAAGATTCTATCTGCTCTAGACTACCTTTTASGCAAAAAAGAGCAAAACAGACACGTTTAGAAAGCAACTTGACCACGGGCAGTCTGAAAGGTTCTTTGAAGGTGCCCCTTYCTGCATAACTGTAGCAGATGTGTTCAGGAAATGCACTGCTAAGTTARTTGTTTTGTACAAGACAGGATTTTAATGAACCCAACAAATATTATTAGCTGGTAGCTTTTCTCCCMCTCCCCGCAGCATATTTGGAAAGTAACTGTTATTTCATCACAACCTGCAGCAACAAAGGAATGGAGCACCTGTACAATATGAAGTGTAAGAACGTAGTTCCGCTCTACGATCTCYTGCTGGAGATGCTGGACGCTCACCGGCTGCACGCCCCGGCAGCCAGGAGTGCTGCACCCGTGGAAGAGGAGAACCGRAGCCAGCTGACAACTGCACCCGCTTCATCTCATTCCTTGCAGTCTTTTTACGTGAACAGCAAAGAAGAGGAGAATATGCAGAATACAATATAAACAGAAGTCAGCGTAGATGATGGTATGAGAAACCCAGCAGTGTACTACCTAGCTCATGCTTCATTTCATCTATAGTGCCACCTTTGGAAACACTCCAATGACAACAGATACCTGCATTTTCCATTTGAGTGTTTGTCAACCGCTTGCCTAAATTGATTGCTTATCCTGAATGGAAGACATTTCATTGCCGTGGACAGCCAGCAAGGATTGTCAGGCTAACTTGAGTCAAAATTTGCAGTGTTTTTATTTAATTTTGCATGTAATTTGGGTAACAAATTCCTAATCTAAAGCATACATTCATTTTACTACAAATTGATAKGCCATACCACCCATGCATATTGGTATCTTCATGAGTGGTAGTCTTTGTTAATATTCACCCAAAATCCTGAGCTCACCTAATCCTTTACGTGCTTGAAACTTTGAAGCAGTTTGGTAGAGATTCTGGATGACTTCTTGGGCAGTGAAAATAGAAAACTGACTGACACATTAGTGTGCCATGATGAAACTGCGTTGTGAGGAACTGCCTTGGTAGTTTAGTTAGGCTCCTGCCTTTTCCTATAGCATAAAGGAACTGCTGTCTGAGACTAATACTGTTTTACCTCGTTGGCTTACATCACCACACAACACCTTCTCAAGCTCATTCTGACCAAACTTTTAGGTACCCTTGCCATATCCTCTAGATGGACTGCTTTGCATGCATCCTATCCTGTCTGATCCTAGAAAGCTAAATTGCTCTGTTGCCCAACAGTGTAAATCCAGGGCAACACAACAAACAATGATAAYATATGGAATTATTCTTGAATCAGACCAGATGATTACAAAAATCATCAGGTCTTAAGAAAGGGTCTTCACACACATACAGGATCCAGCACTATTTACAAAAAAAAACAAACCAAAAACAAACAAAAACCTCCCCCCGTCCTGTGCTTTGTTGTTTTACCAAGCAAGGGGTGCGAATGCCAGAATGAGTCTGGCACAGAAGGGTGGGATGGTCTCAACCCCCTCAGCAGAGCATCTAGCTGTGTGTGGGAGGGCTGGCATCACAGTCAGAGCAGGTTTGCAAGGTTTTTCCTCGCCTTGGCTTTCTTTGGCTCTCGTTGTGGCATGTTTCAAAATCGCTGCYAAGAGCCAGCCCACCTGTGACACCAAAACTGGGCAATGAGCCTCAGACATGGTGTAGACTCTGGGATTGCATGCTGAGAAAGATAAATCTACTGCATGGATGTCTGTAACTCCTAAGGATATTCATAAGAATCAGTTTGATTCTTTAGACCAACTGTAAATRTACAAAAGGTCCACTGACATCAAGGTTTTCAACAAGACATGAAAGAGACTGAAGAAATGCGCATGATGCGCTATCCAAAGTAGGAGCTGGTGCTGCTGTTCGACTGCCTCTATGCTAGAAAATTAAACATGTCAGGGAAATTTGCTGGGTACTGGAACGAGATTATTACATATGCCAGGGATATTTTACTAATCTAATGATAAACTTTGCCTGTTCTATCTGCACTTCTGGTTGACAAGTGCAGATTTGGGAGTTAGCAAGGACCAGGGACTATTCCAATAGCTGGTTGGAAGCAACCACCCTATGCCAGTGAGGATGTTTCCTAGCATGTGTGTAGGCTGCTCCACTGCAGTTGGCCACAGTGCTAGAGAAAGGGTTCAGGGATGCTCCTTTTTCTATGGTTGAAACCTTTATGTTGATTAGAATATCCTGTAGAAACTAAATATAGGAAACAGTGCAAGTAATGCCATACAGGAGTGCCTATGTCGAATTACGCTCCCTGTCACACAGCCAGAGTCTGTGTGCAGTGAGATCAAGTTTCACAGCAATTGTGAAGGCAGCAAGGCATAGGACAGACTTGTGCTTCAAGTCAAGAATTCAATTCTTTAGTGAATGTACATAATGATGTCTATAATAGTTTCATGTACATATCTAAGGATATGAGCAGTTTGAAAGTCTAAAGCTAGATGCTACCTACCTGTTTGAGAAGATGCCTCGAAAACTGTGCAAACCTAAACATGTGAAGCAGTCACCGTAAGCTCATAGGCCTTTTCTTGATGCATATTATAGTGTCATTTTTTTCTGAATGTGCTGAAGATTTTGTCTTTTTGTGTATTCAGTAAAAGCATGTGTGTGTGTTTGTATGTGTGTGTGTGTGCACGCGCTGATTTGGTACCTRAGGGCTTTTTGAAGGCTCCTAAATGCCATGAAAGAAAATGGACATTTTGGATTTTTTTAGTAGCTGGTTTTCAGACGCGTTAGAAAAAACAAGACTTCCCTGGAATAAGTGCAGGCTAAGATCTGAATGGAGCACAGGAATCCCTGTAGTTAAATTCATGTGCTTACACCRTCACCATTCGCTTGTAGCCCGGTGTGCATTGGAGCTGCTCTTTAAACAGTGTACGTGCAACTAGGTGTTCTCTAGGATGGAACACACAGATCAAGCTCATAAGCTGGAAGGCAAATTGGTTTAAATGAATGCTTCCTACCCAGGACAGTTCATTATATTGGGTCAAATGTAAATGTGACCTGGAGGATAAAAGGTAGCTCATGGAGAGCAATTCAGGTTTGGATGGTACTTACATAGGGCAAGTACCTTTACACTCTTCTGGTTTTCCCAGTGAAGATGGAAAAGCAYGGTTTGAAGTGGTATGTGGCAGGCAGGAGGGTATCATAATATGTCTTGGAATATACAGAATAATGCCAGTCAGCTCAAAATAATTATGAATGCTTTCCTAGGCTCAGCCCTTGCATGGAAGCAGTTTAGCTTCAACCAGTCCTCCCATGTTTGTGGTGACAACAGTGAAGGCAACCTAGAAAGAAAAAAGAGTGATTCCCAGTAATACATTAATTTATCTTGGGGCAGTTCAGGATCCATGTCATTAACTTTTTAGTGAGATTTTAATTGAAGCAGCACCTTAATGAATATAGTAACCTTCCCAGAGTTATCTATAAAGATGSCCCCCATATTAGACAGCTGAATGTAGATATTCAATTGATTAAATAAAGTCTATGATACAAAAATGGCAACCTTTTCATATATAATTCTGAATTATGCTCTCGTGTATGCAAACAATTGTGCCTGACATTTGGTAATTGTTATTTCACAAGATGCTATTTTATGTGTGTATATATATATATACATATATACTTTATATTTGCAGCTGACAAACCAGTACTACCTGAATACCTGGTGCTGGATATTATTAAATAAAAATATATAGCATGTAAAAAAAAAATTGAAAGAAAACTTTTCAAGGCAGCTAATTATGCTTTTACCAAAACATAGTGATGTCTCTGGACAGCTAACAAAAGAATTATTTTGTAACGTTTATACATGGATTTTTTTAAAAAAACAAAAACATCAAAAAACATAAAAACCCTCTAGAAACATAGGCAATGTAATACCAGCACAAGGCAAACATAAATAGACCAGATGAATTTGCTTTGCTTAGAACATGATTGTTACTGAATTATTGCAAAAAGCTTGGGAGGTAGAAGAGGAGATAGGGAGATGTGTAGCACTTAGGCGGGGTCAGAGTTTTGAATATGTGAAAGCTACTCTGGTTTATAATGGTTTGAGCCATGTCTCAATGTTGCAGACTTTGTCTCAGGTAAAACCCCTAGYTGGGGTAGTAAGATTTGTACTGGGGAAAAATAGTTTAATGAAAGTTTCTTGGTGTGTGTTGTGGTAAATTTACTMTTTTGTTTCAGTGACATCACTTGATGATTTTTCTCCTTCTCTACACTGAGGGGTTAAAAAAATGTAATTAAAGAAATTRTACAAACTGAGCTCCCAAGGATATTGCAAGGACTGTCAGCAGATCACCGGACCCTGAGCTGAAAAAAAAAAAAAACCAAACAAAAAAACCCCAAACCATCCCCTTCATACGAGCCACGATTTGTATTGGAGCCTCCATCCATTTCAGTTGATGCCAACTTATTCCTTAAGAGCTGTGCCAAATGTTTTAAAATAAGCAAACTACCATGAAGTAAAAAATCTGCCTCAGTAGGTCTTTAGTCTTATTACAGGCTTAGGTAAGAACATGGCAAGCCCCTCTTGTGTACATAATATCCTGCTTTAAAATTAGAGTGCAAGTCTACCTACAGATAATGGGATTTTGTATTTAAGGCATTCTCAGCTGAACTTGCGTGAAGTGCATTTCTTACTTTGAATAAAGAGATGGATGATTTCAATGCTATCTACAACTCTGATATGGCTTTAYAGATAGAAAGTCGACACACATAATAGAAGGGTGATGTTAATGATGGTATTGTAATACAAACCAATCTTTGCTGTCACCTGCAACTGTAGCATAATCTGAAATTGATCTGAGAGTYTAAAATGAATGTTTTCCCAATATTAATGTCCTACCCTTTGTACTCACAATTCCCTTTCATCCTTCAAATGTAGATAGCCTTATATCTTGAAAGTTGTTTTCAAAGTGATTGTTGCCCATAAAGGGTATTTGGTTTTGCACTGTGTTAAAAAAAAAAAAAAATTTTTTTGCATTCAAATGAACATAAAAAAAAAAAAAAAAAAAATAAAAAAAAAAAAAAAAATACATGCTGCCATCTTGCAAATTAGTATGCTCTGTAATCCTGTGTGCCTATGATTAGAAGTCTGTTTCTTCAGAAAGTGCCCATTGAAAAATGAAGGGATAGACTGCTGGTCACGAGACTTGCATTATCAAGCCACTTTATGTATTACCTTATTGTATGTATTATGAAACAAATGCTTTTGTGTGCACTACGTATTCTGTCAATGCAAAGTCTTTTCTTTGGTATAGGCTCAGCTGTCACAATGTATTTGTTGAAGTATTCTGTTCTTTCACTGATGCATATGAAATTATTGAGGTTTTTGGTTTTGGTGAGATATATTTTTTTGTTTTGCACCGAAAAAAGTTCTTAAAAAGTCTAAATAAAAAATCTGGTAGGCTACCTGATTGGTGCAAGATTTTTATCAATGTATTTGATGTTGAAAATAAAGAATTAATCAGAACATATTGTTTCATTAGTTATCTTTTGCATAGTTTTAAAAATATGCTTCTCAGCTTATTGTTTTCTAGTAGACAGAAAAATGGTACACTGTTTTTGAAAGAAACAGAATGTGTCTCTGTGCATCTAAGTGAAAATGAAAAGTTTCTTAATTAGTTTCTACACTTTTCCCAAAAAGCATCAGAGAGTGGCCATATCTAGAGTCAACAACAGGCTCAGTTGAGCCTCTAGTAATCCCAATGGCASCAGAAAAGTTAACTAAGTACTTAAAGTACTAAGTGCTTTAATATTCTTAGTATTTACACTAAAGTTCCTTATTTTGGCTTGTGAAATAGATTATGGCAGAAGAGTCAAATTGTGTGAATTTACACTTCTGTAGTTGACTGCCACTTACGTTAATTAGCTTAWATCAGGGCAAAAAGTACTCCTTTCCCAAGTGAAACCTGTCCTTAGGGAAAAAAGCAACATTGTCTTGACTAAGCTGTCAGGAAGGGATGAAAAGAAATGAAAGATAATTTTAGTGATGTAAGACCACTTTGAACTAAACTCTGTCCTGGAAAATACTCTCAGAATCATATTTGATGGTGTTTGCAAAAAATCAAGCAGTAATCTATAGCATTTTCATACATATGTAGGTATTTCAATAGTATTGAAATATTGTAGTATTGAAATTGGGGACTGTTGATATTTTTAAGTGCTGAGTAGAACTGAACAATGGTTCCAAATCATATGACTGTTCTGCAACATGCTTCCATGACAAAGAACTTGACTGAGAGTTGCTTCTTTGGCCACAAAGGGTGGGTCCCAGTAATAGCAACTAATTGMACAAGTATAGTGCTCAAAATAATAAAGAAATTTTCAATTACTGACTGAAAATATGACTCAAAATATGACACCGTTCCATGGCTTTATATAATTTTGTAACAACTGAGCACTTTCAGCTTATGGAGACATGGCTTAAAAGACAGCTGCTACATAATACTGAACTCACAGACTTAGACCAAAAAAAGCACTAGATAGAAGAATATTCCTGCAAAATCAAAAAGGTGGCACTCCTAAATTGAAAATGGAACAGATAAAATTTGAACATACTTACCTCTGCAAAAAGTGTAACAATTTGTCTGAGCAAAGGATTGCACAGTACCTGGGATTGCACATTACCTGAGATGAGRCATTTTTTTTGCCCATCTCTTTCTGCAGCGCAACATGCTGCTCACAGCATCACAGTGCAGTGAGCTGGGAATGCACCATTGGAGACTATTTAGTCCAATTCCTGGCTCAGAGCTGGATCACCTAAAGATGATTGCTTAGGGCCATGCCCAGTTCAGTGCTGAATAGCCACAAAAGGAGCTCCCCCAGGGCACCCTTTTCCAGTGTTTGATGATTTTCACTTCATTAAAATTTTTYCTGTGCTCAGATGGAATTTCATGTGGCTAAATTTGTGCCCATTGCCTTTTGCCCTGTCAGTGGGAACAACTGAAAAGGCTCTGTCTCCCTCGTGTTCATCCCCTCCCATGATGTCTTCTGTGATGGGAGAAAGTGGATGAGATGTCAGCTTGCTCAGACACCCGGAGGACAAACCCACCAGGAACAGCGTCTCTGCAGCCTGGACACATTTCAATAGTCAGGAGYCCTCTGGGAGTCCAGCTTCATTCCCAATTTCTTACATCTGTTTGGTGAAGAAGTTTGAGAAACGATACAGCAAAGACCTGCCTTTCTATTTCCCTGCAGAGCTTTTGCAGCTAAAGCTCCTGGCCCACCTTTGCTGGACTCATCATCCTCACTTCCCTCACTGACACACCACACCTGACAGAGCAGCTCCCYCAGGGAATTCTATACATGTGCCCACAGCCAGATCCAGTGGGATCCCCCACACCCCTCCTTTCTCTCTTTCCTCACATGTGAGTGATGCCTGCCATGTTCCAGCCTATTTTGTTCTATTTAACTAATTTAAAAGGTAAGACACAATTAAGGCATCATCAAAGAACATATGTGACTGCTTTTCTTTCTGTTAGTTTAGGCAATCCTCAAAATGCAATAACAGCTTTTCCACAAGCTAAAGCCTCAGTGGGGCACCCTCCCCCATTAAAAGCYTTTTGGCCATGCTTATTCCTCACAATTTAATAATTAATATTTTTTTTTCCTACCCAAACACTGCAACATTAAAAGCCCCACGAAGCAGCTGTTCCTTAGGCTGGCAGAGTCTCACRTCTCTTTCCTCTGCATCGCTCTGCTTGTTCTCCACCACCCACACACTGAGGTGGAGAGGAAAATCCAAACACGTAAACCAGCACTCATCAATGTGCTCACACAGAAAGAATGCCCGTGGAAGGGCACTGAGTACGTGCTTTTTCTTGTGCCCAGCCAGGCTCCAATTACTACCATTCACCACGGCATCCTGCAGGCACAGAGGCCCAAGTGTAAAAATGGTCATGAAGTCTTCAGGAAAATTGACCATCAAAATAATAACATTTGGCACTTATCTCAGCAGGAGCAAGGCTAACTAGCTYTCATGTCTCTTTAAGAACTTTGTGCTGCAGTATTTAGGTGTCATTCTGCTAATGCCTTCATTTCTGCAGGCATACAGGTGATATAAAATTTATCTCCTGCTGTCTCCCATTCCTACACATGTGCGCACAACTTCAGAATGTTACCATTTTAAACAGATGAAAAATGTGAATGTGGAGAAAGGATGTGTTTTCTGGCATTTTTTAGCTGGTTTTTGCAAAATGTTTGGGACTAAGGTGTTTAGCTCCTCTACGGATAGACTGAACGCTGCTCTCTAAGACAGAAAGATTTGCTTCCTGTCAGGTTCTTTTTTATTTTTCACTCACCTCTTCAGAACTTGTGACATCCGAGGAAAGGTGAACAAGTATGTTACACTCCAGAGATGAGAAAAAAGAGTTTCCCATTTTGTAGTGAGGTTTAGGGCACATAAAAGCTTGTAAGATTAGGCATTAATATGAAAGCAGAAAAGACTGAATTCCAGGCTGCTCTTGCAGGATTAATTTTTGCTTACATTAAATCTGAAAATAGGAAAATTTGCAGCTCAAAAATGTCTTCTATCTATCTATCTATCTATCTAATCTATCTATCTATCTATCTATCTATCTATCTATCTATCTATCTATCTATCTATCTATCATCTATCTATGTATCTGTCTATGTATCTGTCTATCTATCTATGTGTCTATCTCAACCAAACTGCAATAGCATCATGCTTTCTTCCTGTACTGTTTTCTCCCCTTGCCCCCAGGGTCTGCACACCTGCCTGCACAATGCTTTAAGTTTAGCAAAGGACTCAAAATCACAACCATGTGTTTTAACCTGCAGCTCTATGGTCAGGAGAGCTTCCCAGACAATTTTTGAATGATTTATAAAGAGAATACTRCAGACATGAATGTCCCACTTCTTGGATAGCCTTGTGAGCACTTACATAAAAAAGTGGAAAGTGGACTCTGGTAGGTTTACTTACAGCTGTTTTTAAAAACATCCTTTCTAAAACCAAAGGAATTGAAAAAAAMAAAAAMCAGTTAYAACATCCATAATAGMAGTCTCCCAGGAATTACAAMATGCCAGAAAACAAAAAGAGCCTGACCTGAGTAACCTATGTGCAAACTACATCCACATCTCCATGACCCCTGACCAGAAGAGCTCTGTAGAGTACCTYKCCCTCCCGCAACCAAGGACACCTCYRATACAAGAAAKAGACAATACTTTCTAAAGCATCCTGTCTTTCCAAAAAGTTACATGTGCCAGTGTTATTCAGACCTCACTGTGGTCAAATCCATTTGCTGTGTCTCAGGTCTTTAAATAGATTCTTACTTGAACAAAGCAGTTTTGACCAGTTCATTTCTGGAATGACATATTAGGTGGCACTGAACAATAGATGTCACAGCTTTCAGTTCCTATCTGCTTTCAGAGAAATCATTTAATAAAATTCAGATTTCTATCACTTAACCAGGCCTTAGTCTATGAAAAATCTTCAGTGCTTCAGCTAGCAGTTATTCATTTCCTTTTGTTTCACAGATTTTTATCTACTGCTTTCTGAGAAGACAAATTAATTCTCTAAATAATTCCTCTTTATTTATTTATTGAAGACTATTATTAGAACATTCTAATGTTCTTAATATTATTGACACAAGCATAACTTCTCCCAAATTCAGGTTTCATGCCTATGTCTCTCTGGGTCCAATTATGGCCAAATAGTGCAACAGCAACAGAATTCAGCTGGCTGTAGTGCACTTCACAACATGCTGCCAAGGTTAAAACCACTCAGCCAGTACCCAGACTAGTTGCCTTATGCAGGGAACTCTGTGCCYGTAATAAACACAATCCAAAAGCCAAATGACCCCCTTCCTGCACTGCCCTTTATCCCCTCAATTTAGGCAAACACACTTTTACATCAATTCTGCATTTGACTGCTGCCAAACCACCCAGCTTAAATCAAACCTACTATTCTAAGTTTTTCCTTTCCATAATTCATTGCTTTAGACACCAAGTAAAATATGGGAAGTGTCAGAAAGCRAGCAGATCAACGGTCTCTTCTGTTGCTTTAGAATCCACATTTCTTCTCCTTGACTTGCTCTTATTTCTCGGAATCCTCCTACAGTTGCTATATCTTGATAGCATCTGTTGTTTGAAGGTTGTGAGCAACCAGTTTCTGTTGTGCCTTTGAACACAGACACACTCAGATGCACGTGACGATGATGAGCATGTTGAGAGATGCTATCAGTTGTAAACAGAACTCTCAACCACAAAYAACACAAGACCGAGGGCCAGGGATGACTGCTCATAAAGACAATCCCAGCATCTTTGTTCTTTCTCCATAACCAGATGCAGAAAAAAGTTCTAAGGAAGGAGGGAGGATACTGCAGGTGTTCACAGCATTTGCAGCAARGCTGGAAGGATGGCAAGCCAGTGGTGAGGAACTATCGATCTGTTGCAGAAAGAAGCTGTTATCGCTGCTGGAGCAGGGTGGGGAATAGGTAATGGGCATCATCATGCTCACAGCTGTGAGGAATAAGGGCACACTGCTTCTGTCAACTTGAGATCATTTGTGCTCCTAACGCTGTCAGATGTCTCTAAATATCCTTTTGCAGCCTGCCTTCAGATTTTTGCAAAGCATGGTCCACAAAACTCCACAGATGCTGTTCAGTTCAGAGCAAATAGTGCTCACTATTTTTCACTATYACCAATACAAGCATAATGAGACAGTGCCTTGATACTGCAATCTGGAGTCACTGAGAAACCACTTTCATTGGGCTTTTAAACACTCAGTACCTCTGAGGTGACTACAGGCCAGTAAGCAAAGTCCAGGTTTGTAGAGTATGTCAAGCCGTGAGGATAATCACACCTGTACAGAAGCTACTGCGTTTACAGTACAAAATGGGAAAAAACACAACTTGGTAATGACTGAACTCCCCAAGAGGCAGAATCTACTTTCCCTATGCTTGAGCACATGCCTTCAATACACACCCAGAGCTGGGCAGCTCCTGTGCTGACTTCTCTCATACTTTGCAGCCAAAGCTCAAGATGCACTACTAGAAAACAGTCTCTGGYGTTTGCAAAGTCCAAGTAGGTGACGTATTTTAGAAATAGGAGAGATTATGGGTTGCAGGCTTAGCACAGAAATGGGGCATTTCAGACTCTAACTGCACTGTTCTTAAAGAGTTTTGGCAACCCATTATCAGAATGAGAAAGATGCCCAGACTGCCAACTTGGATAGTGCCACTGGCTGCAATGCTTGACAGCTTTCTGGGTGTCCTTTTTACCCCCTACAGTTGCCCACWTAACCTGATTCATGATGTGGTGATAAATTCATACATCGATATCTTATGGGGATTTGCAACTCAAGCTAGACCTGCAAGGCACTGGTGCTCTTGGGATGGAACTTAAAAAGAGCCTGCCCACTTATTTACATTTCCATTTGTGTCAGTTTTTAGGATCAAGATCCAGTTCTGCAAAATCACATTTGGAATTTTTATGGAATTGGTTCATGGCYGAAAAACTCCTTTTGGAAGAGCATATTGCTCAAACCACCTTAACTGGTCTGATGTTCAGTTTGAGTGGAGACTGAAAGTATCAAAAACAAGAACTCTGAAGTGACTCTCAAGGGACCCTCCTACCTGGTAGCACAAACTGTCTGCAATTCCCTTGAGACAGCAACTTACAGACTGGCATTCCTCTCCTTGAAGGTATGGGAAATTCAGGATTTACAAAGAGGCATTTTTCCTGTCACTTTTCTAACAGGTCTCTGTCACCATCTGTGACTGCCTTATTCACAGTCATTGCACAGAATTTGCTGTTTACTGAGAGAACTGCTTTGTGTGAGCGGACCCTTTGGGATCAAAAAGAACTTCTCTACATCAACAGYCAGTACACTAAGAGTCAGGTCTATGGCTACAGATCAGAGCTTGAAGCTTTGAACATGAACTTTTTCTTTTTCCTTTACAGTATTTTTAAGAAAATAAAAATATMTTTCAACAAAAAATTAACCAGCAGACACAGAGACTGGCTGATGAAAGGATGTCCAAGGCATGCACAGACCTAGACTAACAGGTCCAGCAAACTACTGAATTGTTCATGTAGGTRCACTGATTACCATTGATTAAATGATGTCACCAAAGTGAAGAATATCAGAAAAGAGGGGCCAATTTCATGTAATATAATTTTGCAAGTAACAGCTCTTTCTTGTAGCCCAAATGTGTATTTCTTATCTTTGTCTACTAAGAATTAGTGATTATGAATACTAACCCAGCCTAGCATAACTTCTGAATAGCAATGAAGGAAACTCAGCCTTGAAAAGAACACATACTTGTGCCAGTCCAGACTTGTGTCTCAGACATTGAACATATTTTGTGAACATAAGAAATGGTTTTCACAAAAATGTTAATGTTATCTGAAAAGGAAGCTTTGTTTTGGCTCTTCCAAATGCTGGAGTTCAGCTTGTGGTTCCCTACCTCTGACCCCACTCTCCTAGTAACAGCTTAAAAAGTGACATGYCAGAAAAGTATTTCTACATAACAGCAACTAATGTGATTGTATTTTCTTCTGGCTTTTTGATTTGTGTCATGCAAGCCAATATATTCTAAGCAAAAACATTTAGCTCAAAAATTCSCATTGTGTGGGTCATGGCTTCAGAACCTCCAAACTTATTAAAGAGCCATAACTTAGAGCCATGCTATTTTTTTCATAATTGAGAAGAATTCTGTTCTTCCAAAGTAGAGTTCTGACTGGTAAGCTGGGCAAAATGCCACTGAGCAGATTGCAAGTTTTTGCAATAGTTCTGGAAAAGTCTATGAGTTTTCAGTTTGTTCTATTTTTCTGCTATTTATGCTTATGTTTTGGGCCTATTCCACTAAAGTATCAATGGGTGAAACATAAATATCCATCTTGGTAKTGACCTGCTGTGGAGAGTATTAAGAAGTTTTCAGTATACTCACAGGAAAAAATCTGCTTCAGTGTGGAGTAGTAAAACACCAATTGCCTATAGTTGCACAAGAATGCATATGGAAACCCAGAAAAACAACACACAGGTGAAAGGGAACTTCAAGAAGCAGCTTGAAGAAAAGAAAAACCTGAAGTGATGAATCATTAATTCAAAGTATGTACTGCTTTCAATATTAGCACGATTTCTAATGTGATACTTTCCCATGTATTCTACCCACTATCATTTTCCAGATCTTCTCAAACATATACCTAACACCATTAATTTGTTATAGAATTTTTAATTCTTTTTTTGAAGTGCAGCATATTATGTTTTCTATTTTTTTTATACCATACATATCTCATTCTAAACTTAGAGGTTTCCATAGTTGTCATTAAAAAGCACGTAGACAAAATATTTTATGGTATCTATAATAAATGCGAAGAAATCAATACAAACAAAACTTGGCTTAGCAAACTGTACATACATAAATATGTTCTTTGTTTTTCAACTTGACATTCAACATTTTTTCCTCATAAAAACTTATGCAATCTTATTTATTACATCCATTTTTTTTAAACCTTAAAAAAGTGCTTCTCAGATTTACACCTTGTGCATCCAAAGCAAAAGTTAGAACACCATGCCTGAAACAGAAACCACAGGGAATAATACAATGTCATACAAGATTCTTTAAAATTGTATGTTACAAATGCTCTAAAATTCCTTAAGCATTGGTTATTTTGAGTACTGTAGATACTGAGAGGGTATTTAACAAAGACTGGCTAATGGGTCATTTGGAGCAGCACACAGGAAAGGATCTACAGTATCAAGTCCTTGGCTATGCATAGTACAGGGCAATGACCTGGATATAAAGTGGCTAAAAGATCCCAAAAGCTGTACAGAAGAGRTTTCCCTCACATACATCGCACCCTCCTTCGTACCCAGGATGCGAGTACTGAAATGATGCTACTCAGGTAWTACGTTGTGCAGTTTGAGACTGATACACTGATGCGTTTGGAGCCGAGTGCCAGCAGAGAAAGATATGGGCACAGTGGTGCCTACAGCAGACAGGTAGAGCTGCCATGCTGAACCCTGTCACCCTTTAAAACCATCTTGCTCCCAGCCAGCACTCCAGCAAGGTCTCCTGCTGTCTCACAGGTCTCCTTCATAATGGAGGAGGACCATTCATGTACTTTAGCATGGGGTGGAAAGAGCGGGCAAAGTTGTTTGCCATAGCACAGCTGTAATCCTCCTCGGTCATTGGCACCAGGYAGGCCAGCCCGATCAGGAGCAGCAGCAGCAGCTGAAGTGGCAGAGCAGCTCTGAGGACTCTGAGGAAGAAGGACGGGCACCGCCACGCTGGCCCAGCCTCAGAAGGGGAGGAACCTGAGCCACCTTTTTTGGACCTGAGAAAAGAAGATGGACAGTTGAATACACTAAAACACGGCTGCAGCAGAGACTGCCCTTGGGCACCCAACCTTCCCTGAAGGSTGGTTTACAATTTGCACAGACTTTGGCTGACAACCGCAGAGGTATTTGTCACTGAACATGCTATTTATTTCCCTAACACTCTTAAGAGACCCCATATTTCTAGACTGGGTAGGAAAACACCAAATGAAACAGGAGCTTTGTGACACCAGAGCGCCTTTATCATTTATGGGGAAGACTCTCCACTTAAAGCATTGTGCTATAGAGAAGGGGAAATAAAAGGTGGGCCATACCTGTCATATTTGTTCAGTGCATGCTGTCTAAAAAGGAAGCCTTCTTGTTTAAAATGACCAGTTGCATTTGAATTACAGAAGTTTCTACATTTGTTCATGTTTAAGGTATCCGTGAGGGTACAATGCACTGAGATTCAGTTACATCATCTTCACCAATCAATCAACACAGGTAATGCAGATAATGGGGACTCGTTTTCTACAAAGCACATTGTATTTTGAATCTTGCACGGAATCAGCAGTTAAAAATCTATCTGCTCAATTGACTTGACACTGTTACCTACCAAGCGATTTTCTCCCTTATGTTGATGGATCTGACTTGAAATGGCACATGCCTRTCACATGTCTATGAGGCAGGAGAGATGCGACACAAATATTTCCAAAGGGACACTTCAAAAATACATTCTGTTACTTTAATGAAGGATAAAGACATAAATTTCACATTTTTCTTTTTGACTGAAACTGTCAGGAGTTGAAAAGAGGGACTAGGAAAGATTAAATCTGATGGTCTCAATGTGCTAATTAAACAGCATGGGAAAGTGTTGTATTTCAGCACAAGTCAAAAATGGAAGAACTCAGAGCCTTCAAGTAACTTTCTTCAAGAACTCTGCCATTAAGACATTGGGTCACGAATTTTGTCTTAGATGTGTTGCTATAATACATTTCCATGGTTGTTATGATTAGCAGGCCTCAGAAAAGCTATGGTTTCCTAGAGTTTAAGAAATAGAAATGCTCCTAAGGAGATGAAATCAGGCTTGCTGGCTGAGGTCAGTTGCTCCCCAATAAAGTAAATATGGGGTGATGGTTTCTTTAGTGTTTCTTTGACTTCCCCTTGTTCTTTTGACTGAATCTCTGTGGGGAAGSATCCAAAAATGAAAACATCATCTTCAAAACAATGCCAGGCTTAGCAAGGGTTCCCTWCCAACTTGTTCAGAAAGAATTATTTCTGTGCTTGAGATTATTTTTATTTTCCTGTTCATAGATGTATAGCACCCCACTATGAAGACTTTAACATAGCCAGACAGATTTGGTAAAGTTTGGATGACCAACAGATTCACGCACGCTTGGGTATGCCAAATTATTAGCTTGAACTAAATAACCCAGGAAGCAGTGATGATCAAAACATCAGATGTTGTGTGGTCTGCATCCACGCTAYTGTAGCCCAGATGGAAAGTTGCTTATCGCACAACGCAGGATCACGCATTATAAAGAAGATATTGAAAGGACACGGCACATTTAACAGCATCAGAGCATTCCTTATTAAAGTTCAATTAGACCAGGACTTCTACCGTCTGAGGATACCAAGACAGAAAGTTAATGGACTGAGGCAGGAACAAAGGGAACAAGGAGTGCTTAATTACCTTCCAAGCATTTGATTGCACAGCCTACCTACTTACAAAGCTCTCATTGTATAAACATTGTCAATCCAAATAAAAAAAAAGGCCACATTTCTGCAGCTGCTAACTTGTGTTTGAAAATGAGCAAAGTGTCATTTTCGTCATTGCCCCAGAGTTACTCCAGGGCTACACTGGGTGTCAGAAGGGGAATTTCCAAGAAACTGAATCAAAAGGGAGCAAAGTTTTACTTTGCTTTTTTCTATGCCTTCAGTAGCATAATCCAGCATTTTTTGCTTTGCATTTAAAAAGAAACKGCATATGTAAGCTGCACGGTTGATCTCAAAATGAAACATGAACTTCCTTTCAAAAATTAAAACCAACTCATGGCAAACCATTTTTCTGCAGTGGAGTACTGAAGAATAATACTGCACGGAAACAATTAACCAAGCAAATAATGAAATGCTACAAAAACATCTTCAGAGGGGGAGTTATAAAAAGTTTGAGTGCTGTATTGACCTGTGTTTATGGCAGGTATGCCTTTGCAATCTACATAATTGGCTGAAAAATGGAATGGGTCAGCTTAGAGTGTTTAATGGATTTGGTAAGGAGAGATGGTTAAAAAGATATACTGTTAATRAAAAAGGCTCACTATTCTTAAGGACAGAACTCCTATTTAGTGTGGCAGGAAAAGGGAAAGCTGAAGTACTGTGTGCCACTCTGAAGAAAAATGTAATTTCCTTTGCTTGAGCTCAGCTYGTTACCTGTCTCTCTTCTGACTGCTCCACTATTTGTCACACTGTGAGGAAGGAAAGAGGTGAGGCCATCTGCTGCTCACTCTACTACAAGATTCCTACTAAGTGGAGGAAAGAGGGGAGCACAGCTGCAGACCTGGGCAACAGTAAGCTTCTTCATGTCAAGAAATCTTAATATATTAAGATATTAAGTGCAAGCAGTAGTTACCCTTACCTCAAGAGTTTGTAACGCCAGTGRTATTGGAACTCTGAGCATTTCAAGAGAGGAGAAGCTAATTTACCAGGCTATAGATAGGATGGTCAAAGTGAACTTTAATTTCAGCTCAGAGGGGAACCTTCTTGTAAAGATGATTGCTATTTTTTTTTTCCCAAGGAAAATATAGTTGATGTAATCTAGATGTATTGCAGTAAGCATCTGAAAGCTTTGAAAAAGGAATTTATCATTCAAGTGAAGCTGATAGGAATAAATGGAGGTAAATGGCAAGTGACCAATGGAATGCAGACAACAAGCTTACACTGAAAGAGGCACTGCTGGCCTAGTAGGATGTTATTTACTGGAGTTAATCAAGAATGGGCCTTAATTTAATATCTTTATGAAAAGGCTATTCCACAAAATATAAGAGTAGTAAATTTCATCTCTCTGATGACAGATGTTGAAGGTCTTTGCAAATACCAAATAGGATAGGCTTCTTCCACTGAAAAAAGTGRGTGAATCCAGTAAGTTTAAGAAGCAGCTCAAGGAATTTAAGATTATAGTACACAAGGTAGCAATAAAAACTTCTGGTATAAATTTTGAAGTTCACACTCTGGGGATAATGAAGAGGAGCTAGGCCTGTTTAATACAGGATAGTCACAAATCAATAATTTGGCTTTTGAATAGCTGTGAAAAGGACCAAAAGAAATGTTAAAATATATTTCAGTTCAAGTTTTTCAGAAGACAAGAAGGGTTGTTTTATTGCCATTCTTTAAGGCCCTAATCAGAGCTCACCACAGCAGTTTGGATCCTTTTGGTTAATATACTTCTGGAAGATGAATTCAAGCTTACACCACCTTAAAGGTGGGAAGAAAAAAAAAAAAGAGTACTTCTCTTGTGAAGACTTGAACTTACCAATACTTAACCTGAAAGAGACTATATATCTTCCTGTATTTCCTTTATATAACAGAGCAGAACAGAGAGAAAGAAGGCTGGATTATTGTTCAAGTAAAGGAAGGGATAATGTTAGCACAAACCCAGTCTACTGTATCTAGCCACAGACACATTCCAGGTGGAAATTACTCCACTCCCAGAAAATCAGAGAAATTAAATTTGATAGTAACCTTCTAATAAACCTTTTGTTTAATTTTTTTAAGATAGGAGTTTCCCAGACCTATGAAGAAGAAGGTGTGATGTTCTCTCCACAAGAGAAGGCAACAACTTCTCCTAAAGCCTGAGAGACTCTCTAGGAGCAGCCTTTGTTGGCTTCATTCGACTCCAAGATTTTGAGTCTCTCCTGTTTCTTAGCATCACATCACCCCAACTTCAYAAGCTCTAAGTGAGTTACGGAATTTACTGGGAAAAGAACCATGGCAAGCCAAGCCAAAACCTTGTGTTTSAGCTACTGTGGGGCAATGAATACCATTTTGTGGGCAAAGACACAGACACTGGTGTGGTTTGGTCTGCTCCAGGAACAGCAAGTGACCTTTAAAGATCCACTAGTCACTTAGTGAAGCCTGGGGAGAGCAGGAAATGGAGGTTGGCACTATAGCACCAAGACTTGAATAGAGCTGCTCMAGAGAGACAATGTAAACACCCCTTAGCAAATCGAACCAATATTTTAATCTTTTAACATTTTAATCACCACAGAAAAATTGACAGGCACAGGTCCAGGTGTGCACTTATGACAGCTCTATTAAAYTGATGAAGAAAGAGGAACTGCCTCTTGGATTTGCTTTCTCACCTAGCACATGTTTACTAGTACCACTTGGATGAGACTGCAGTTAAACCCACAGTGTAGTATCTGGTTTAAGCCCATACCTGACCTCGCACCATCCTACACATGCCTGTCTTTATGTGCTGATAATGGAGAAGGCACAATGGTATGATGCCTGCTATACACAAAGCATGGCCCCTCTAATTTTTTAGATGAACTTTGCTTCGCAACTTCAAACCTTTTTAGGATTGACTTTATTTCTCCTTTCTACTAAACTCCAACAGGATTTGCTGATCCAGTGCAAGATCAAACACAAAGTACTCTGATCAGAGGCATGTCAAAATATTAAAGAACATAGTGACAGCTTGTACCGCATTATCAGTTAAAACCACATTATACATCAACCACAACCTGTCTGGCTTGTGCATTTGATTAAGTTTCCTATTCAGCAGTGACTCATTCGTATTCCATGCTTGTCTGAATGACAAATTGAACATTGTGTTGTGCAGCTACAAGATGTGTTAATAAACAGTGCTGGAGAGCCTTGATCTGAAAGGTGCCGCACGAATGCCACTGCTAGGACAGGGGCTGATCTCAAAGCTGCCAAGCACTGCTAGCTGCTCCTCGAGCAGCTACAACCAGAAACCTCAAAAGGCTGGCAGAAGTGGTTTGACTACACAGGAGAGTGAAAAAGCGCACACAATGTGTTCCTTGAGTACAATGGTGCCAGTGCAAGCATGCTGATCTGTCACAGACATCGTCCCCTCCTCCTTTCTGTTAGTGGCTGCAGAGTAAAGCCCCTCTCCTCCCTTTCTTCTCTCCCTACAAGAAACAAAACGCCAAGCTTCATAGCAGACTGGAGCTGAATAAACAATTCTCTTTCTCCATCAGACAGAAAGATGGAGTTTAGATATGTCCCCTATTTGCTATGTGGTTTCATTTTGTTTCAAAGGAAAAATAAAATAATTAAAAATAGGCAGCTTCTTAGTGCGTGTGGAAGCAGTAGAAGAGACTTTACCTGTTCTATCTGTTACATTATTTTACAACTATGTCACTTTTCTCACAGTCCCTAACTACACATGGAAAGTAAACTTTTAAAATGTGTTTAGGTAAATATCTATGTTGTAAGTAGTTTTGCTCTTTACTTCATGTATAATGAGAATAATTTTGCTAAATAAAGTCTTGATTTTATTAATAAAAAATAATACTCTTAAGGTACCTTTTTTGGCTGCTTATTTGTGGCTCAATCACTTTTTTAAAGCTAGTGCTCACTTCTTTTTTTTACTCTTAACAGGAGTAAATCTTTTAAAAATCAGTTAATTTTTTATATGCAGAGAATAATTGAGATTTAGGTTAAATAAGATTTACTATCAGATTTAATAAGAACAAATATACCTTTAATGATACTTTCCAATTATTTTAGCAATGTGTAAGATGCTGAAATAGCAAAAGATGTCCTCTTTACACACGTTGGCTTGCTGATTTCCTTTTTCTTTTTTTTTAAACTGCRTAATTGTAGAGGCTAGTAAACTGATCAGTGAAAGAGCGAAGGTACACACATCACACTGACAACAACAAGAATGCAGAAGCACTGTTAGCTGCAGAGATGACAGGTTGCTGGAGACACTGTGGAAAGCAAGAAGCTGTAGCTGCAAGCCTGCTCTCTACTGGYCAGACAGAGATGGGGCAGTGCTGCTCCCGGAGCAATGCAGGGATGCGAGCACCGGGCGAGCCATGGCAATGTTAGCACGTTGTATTGCAGTCGTCTGAGGAGGGGAGAGAAAGTGATCCCAGGTCTCAAACCTCTCAAATTCTGACTTTTAGTTTTGAGTCTAAAGTATTGAAAACCCACAAACTGAACAAAACGTTTCAGGGATTAAAAAAAAAGTAATAAAAAAACAAATAAAGAAATAAAGAAAAGGATGTTAGTATGTTTCATCCAGATCTGTGGGTTTTGTGAATTCTAGAATATGATATTGGCCTATTACCTGCCTTAATTTAATATCTAGAGGTAAAGAGGATGATAGAAAGTGCTTGCCATGAACCTACTAGCATTCCTCTTAAATCACACCAAAATAAAGTTTCATGAGTGTAAATACACACCCTGATCAGGCACATGAAAAGYAAATGTTGATTACACATGTGAGGCTGCAGATTTCCAAGGATTAGCCTGTATCTCTATTTAAGAAAGATTTTAAAGTAATTGAAAGTCCCTTTTGCCAAATGATTAACAAAAGGGGAAATACCACTGGTGTAAGTCCTGAGCAGCTGACAGAGTCAGTGTGGACCGAGAGGAATCACGGCCAATTTCTATCATCCTCTTGGTGTTCTAGAACAGAGTGCGGAAACCAGGAGAACAAGGTACCTGCTATGTGGACTGCTGACAGAGGGTCCAGGCTGTGAGAGACTACATTTGCCCCGTGGCTGTTTGCAATGAACAGGGGGTAAAGAAAGAAGAATGTTCAGTCCAGGCAAATAAAGACAAGCTACTGATGAAACTAAATTAAAAGTGCAGCAAAGGAAACAAAAAAACAAAAATAAAAAAAAAAAAAAACAAAAATAAATCAAATGAAGTGACCAATAACCATGAATCAAGGAAACTGGCTTTTCCTTTGCACCTAGCTGAGAATGGAAGTTATTGGAACATACAGAGTGAACWCAGAAATAACAGCTTAGACATTATGTTTATGAACAGTAGCTCTGGGTTTTAAAAAATTTAGTTCAAATAATTTGTAACATGAAATAGAGAAAATCTTATTAAGTTGAAYGTGGAAAAAATACATAGATTTCAAAATGCACATGCATAAAAATTATTGTTATCAAGGAAAAAAGGTCTAAGACCCTCCTTTGACAAGTTTTGCCTCTCCTCCACCCCACAATTTTGAAGGCCAAATAACTGTAGGTGCATTCCTGCACTCACAGCTATTTGCTGGAATATTTAATGCAACTAGATGTTTGTAATTCTGATTGTATTTTTTTGTATTAGTATTTATTTATTAGGCATCAGCATATTTAGCACTGAAATTCTAAACAGTATCACTTCAGTCTTCAAAATTGTGTAGGTGTGGAACCCAGAAGGTTGAAAACTAGACCCAAGGAATCATACAACTCAGCTATGAATTATGGACAAAAAAAAAAAGTAAAAAAGGCAGTCACATACATGAACAATAACAAGTTAGAGACAGGCAAATCCTTATTAAAATATTAAGATGAAACCTTATCATAATCCTACATGCTCTCTAGACAAAGGTTTTATGGTAAAWTACTTTGCCATTTTCTGTAACGGTCAGGCAACCTTCAGTTACATCTGTGATATCAAAGTTATTATAAACTATTTAGGTTTAAATTTAGAAGACAAAAGCATTGACCTCTGAAATAAAATGTTAGGATTTATATTCTTTCTCCTTTGGAAAAGCCAGTATTCCTTTACATTCTCATACTAGCATCTAAAAGGAAACTAGTGAATGTAAACAAAAATTAAAAAAAAAAATCTATTTCAAGAGCCATAAATTTATCAAGACAGAACTCAGAGGCTTTACAAAAAAAGTGCAAATGGAAAAACAAAACAAAACAAAACAAAACCAATCTGATTGCCTTAAGAACTAAGGAAAAAAGCAAATTAATCAACCAATAGAATTGCAGAAAAAGACAAAATAATTGCAGTTCCAATTTGGGCTCAGAGTATGGAAGTGTTAAGTACTAGGCATGTATTGCTATATTTCTTGAATTTTGTGCCAGCGATGTAAATGACAACTCCAGAGTTGCCACCATAGCCATTGATTAGGTCCTGCACAACTAGCTGGTTTGAATAATGTTTTGTGCCCTTCAGCTCTACTTAGCCACTCATCCAAAGTCTCAATAAGACCATCTGCAACCTGCATCAGAAATGACAAAAAACTTATTGAGATTCTTGATGAAGCAGCTCTGAAGAGAAGGCCAAACAGAAATGGAGGACTCATTAAACCAGACAAGACCAGACTTTGGGGTGCTGCCATCACTAGAGCAAAATACAAGAGACACGACATGCCATACCATGGTAAACCAACCACACTGACAGCCCTGGTTTCAGATAGTATTTACCACTTCTGATTTCATGCAGGATGGGATATGCAGCAGGGTTGGGGAAAGCAGCTGTGTTTTGTTTTTGGTTTATGCCATTTCCTTTCCTAACAAGTGAGAAGGGGTGACTTCCAGCTGGCTAGAACTGCTTGGACATCCAGAGCTCCCACTCAAGAGGTGGAAGAAAATTAAATTACATAAAATTACCGTTCTCTGTCTGCTTGGAGTGCTTCTTCCAGATACAGGACTCACTGAGCCTGATGTGTCTAATTCATCGGAAGACCATGAGGACAATTCCTAAAGTTCAGAAGGAACGGAGCTGAGAAATACAGCAACTAGCTGTACAGGTAAGCAAACTAAAAAAATTACCCTGAGCGAAATTCCAACAGAGTTATTTCCAAGGCAAATAAAATAAAGCAGTTAAATTCTGTTACCAAAATTTAAAAGACTAGGGCATTACATGATTTCTTTGTCAGTCCTGAAGGAAAAGAAAAGCAAACAGTAGTTAAAACTTCTTTTTTTTTAGGTGACACATTTTCCACCAAAGACAACAAAGGGAAAAACCGGTTGTTCTTTCCTGGCTGTGAATTACAAGAAGAGTTTGGTACTACCGARATTTTAATTAAACAGACAGAATTCCACTAGAAGGAGGGAAAAGCTGAGTTCTCATGCTTTAAACACTCTGCTAATCCAAGGCTTTTAAAAAAAAAAAGTTAACCAAAGGAGGACCTTGAAATCTTTATATCTGTCACTGATGGCAAAGATGTATGTGTAACTCCCTCTGAAATACCTTCAGATTCATGACAACTTGAAAAGATTTGGACTACAGCTCAAAGCTTGAGGCACATATGAAAGACTCCTTACCCTATTACAGAATTTATTTTATGCTTTTTTTTCTCTCTTTGACAGAGTGCACATTAACTTCCTTTCTAGTGACAACYGACATATTATAATTTTCAGTACTGCAACTGGAATAATTGTCTCATATACTTTGCCAGTTGACTGATTCAGTAATAGCAGGGTAAACAAACCAAGAAGTTCAGTAATTATTGCTATACCGAACAGAAAAGAAAAATTACTGAATTGAAAAACCCCACCATATCAGAAGAGATATTTACATTATGAAGGTTAAGATTACTTTATGATAGTCAAGATTACATGTTCCCTCTTGATAAGCATTACAAACCACAGAAACAGAGCAGCCAATAGCATTGATCAGAGAAAGGCAGTCAAAACAGTGAGAAACCTGCTCAATGAAAAGAAAGGAATAAAAAGAYGTGACTTACCAGTTGACTACTTGAAATGTCTAGAATTTTCTCTAGGTCTTTAATATGACGTGAGACCTCTTTCAAGAGGAGCTTCAGTCTGTTTCCAATGACATGTACCTTTTCTTTGGCTTCGAGACAATCCTTGCCTTCAGCATTGACTAGCAATTGGCAAGACATGTCTTGCAGTGACGCCACCTTCAACTGAGACTCCAGCAGTTCACGTCTGATTTGCTGTTGCCAAGGCAAGCATCAAAATTTTTTAATAGCAGTTAAAAATAAAAAAAAAGGAAAAAAGCTAGACTCACCAAACTCAACACTTGAAATTAAAAGAAATGGAAAAAAAAGAGAGGTAATACAAATTTCTAATCTGACAGGAAGATAYACAACAATCTAGTAGTTGCCTGAGATATAAAATCACGTGTTGTGCTACTAATGAAAGTGAGAGATGTTGCCTACCAAAGCAAAGTCAGACCCTGACACTGGTCCCACTGCTCTGTTAGCTCACAATGTACAATGCTAACCCTCAAGATGTTTTTTCTGGTGATGTGTTTTGGGAGACAAAAGGGTGATTATAATCCTACCATCAGACGTCTGTGATAATCCTGCAGTATTTCTGAGTCTAGGTTTGGATTGATGGGCACAATCTCATTTTTTCTTCTGTCAATATTCTCCAACCAAAGCAGCAAACCATGGCTCAGTTCATGGAAATCCTGCAAATGATAAATCATGGTTTCAATAGGGTAGCAAAATATTCCAGTAGAATTCATGTTTTTAATTTATCCTCTGATAYGTCCCACTAGGTAAACAGTCACTTCCAAGAAGTGTACAATAGAATGTTAGAATACTAGTCCAGAGATGACAAATGTAGAAAACATTGGGCTGTAAATAAATGTTTTAGATAGTGCACSTGCATCCTTGGGAAAAACATACGCCAAAGCTGCATTTTGGCTTTCAGGSGCAAGTTTCAGACTGATTGTGAGCACACCAAGTAACTGAAGGGTTTGTATTTTTACCATGTGGGATGCTGACAATTTGAAACAGGCACAGCACAGACCTGGCACTGTATCAATGCATCCTGCAAGGAGCGGCGCCACTCCTCGATCATGCTGCACATGTGCTCCCAGCGCACGTTCATCTGGGACAGGCGCTCCTGCAGCTTCTTGCTCTCCTCGCTGTCAGACTGGGTGAACTCTGAGCTGCACAGGTTGATGGATAAGATGATTGCTTTGCGGTTATCAATTGCCTTCTGCAGCTCCTTGATGATGAGACAAAGGGGAAAAGAGAACGGAGATTGGTAAAACACGACTTTCAGAATAAAGGAAGTAGAGAAGGCACCACAAGATTGCAATGATTTGCCACCAGCAGCTGCAGAAAGGTACCASACTGTAACAATCCTTTTACTCAGGATATGACACTCTCTGCTCACTCTGGGACTCTGCAAATGTTCACTCTGTAACATCTACTAAAATTTTACTGTGAACATAAACAAGAGCAAACCAATTAAACTTGTAAAGTCTTAAAAGCCTGAAGTCGTGGTTGAATTTTAAAGATCTGGCTCATGTTTCATATATTTTAAAGACAGAGTAGGCTCAACAAAATTTAAAGATGTAGGACAACTGCATTTTAGCTCATAATAAAACTTTTGCCCTCTTTCTCGGTTTTGCTGATAAACATGAAAACCAAAATATTTTCAAGTGGAAACTGCTGTCATCAGTATTTTAAAATAAAAGCTTTTACTGAGAGAAATGAAAACATACAAAGAGTATAAAGAACTTCAATTTATAGAAGCACAACTTGTATAAAAACTCCGATTTGTTTACACTGGAAGTCACAAAAGAAACCCCACCTCTTTTGGTTTGGAGGGTACTAATGGGCTTTCAAAGAGAGGGTGAGATAAGAACAAAACTCTTATGAATTGCCCCTTTTTCCACCTACTTTACAACATTTACTTAAAAGCAAGATGTCACAGTAACCTTTGTAGTACTCATGGCAGCTATATTTGGATTACACTGAAGATCAGCATTGACATGCTTCACATGGATCRCTGCCGGAAACAGCTTTTACTATCWGTTTGCCTCATCCCTGGCATGAAGCACAGTGCATTTTGACACTGGGTCCAATATTTTCCTGCCCACGCTTGTAAGATACTAGTAACTGAAAGGGAAGTTCACCCCATCTGCAGATCTTTATAGCTGTAAAATATGCAAGAGAGATGACAAAGGTAACATTCAGATCTTGATGCACCTGAGATGACAGAAGAAGAAAAGGAATGCTGCAAACTGGCATCAAATTTTTCCTGTGTTGCTTTGGTGACACAGGAGAGAACCCTGGTTATAACCCCTTTGGACACTTTTTCCTTCCTCCACACTGAGTACTATCTCTCAGTGAGGGATTTCTTTTGAAGTAGCTATTCTGTTACCAATTTGAGTAGCAGAGAATTGATCTAACTTGGCACTTTTAAAAAATTTCATCAGTTTAGGTGACATTAGGTGTTATCTGTACATTGTGGAATTGCAGATTACTATTCCAAAACTTTGGATTGYCAGTAGTACAATTTCCTGCCAAAAGGCAATTCAGAAAATCTCTTTCCCAGTTACTTTATCAGCAGCAGCCTGCTATGTGGAGCAGACCAGCTGCAATCATTGGCAACCTCTTTGACATACCTGTCTGCACTCTGTTTTACAAAGCAATTAATGGAGAAGACAAATAAAACTCACTTTCAGTTTTTTAATTCTGAGCTCAATAGTTTGTATGTCAGTGCTGAGATCAAGGCGGTGGAGCTTCTCCAGTTCCTCCTCAGTTTCTCCCAACCAAGCCCAGATGCTGTTAAGGTCAGATTTGAACTGCTGCCATTGCTGAAGGTTCTGCTTCATCCTCAGCTCCTTGCTTAGGGCTTGGGCCTGGATTAATTCCCATCTTTCAATTACACCTGGAATTACAAACACCAAATTCAACAAAAGCCAAAAACACCCGCTAGCTACACACATACAATTGTACAAGTTGAATACTGTTCAGGACAAAAAGATAAAACTCCATAAAAACCTAAGCTACAAACTCTAACCACATAAAAACTAAGTTAGATTGAAAAMAAGTGATATTGGAGAAAAGAATGAAAAACCAGGATGATTCCTGTCAGTAGGAAATTTTATTGCTTTCCAATGTCAGACTTCCATGAAGAGAAATAATTTGATACATGCAGGTCTTAAAAACAGGTTATATCTCTAAAACAGGCTATGTAATTTAAGACATCTTAGATTACCCTAACAGCAAACCAGAGGAGAAATCTGAATATAGTTAACAAACCATGTGTTTATTATTTTCATTGGTATTTTTGCCTATCAAAATTTAATGCTCACAACTCATTAGATTTGCGTAAGCTACTGCTGATATATTTGATTAAGACCTGCACTAAAAAGAAATAAAAAGAAATAAAATTTAATAATTTTAAAATACTATGGCAGAAGGACAAGTTGTATCAACACAAAATTTAAAAAACCCACACCAAAATTAAAGAGACTATGGTTAGCATATCTTGCCAAGCTAAGAATGGACATGATGCCTTTACAGTCTCTGCAATAAATCCATGTTTTTACAATGCAGTATCTCTAGCTCTACAGCTGATGTTCAAAATTTGTCAGGGGAATACTTCTATCAGGTGAAAATAAACTTCTTTACTTTCGGCAGATAAAGAAGAAAGCTAATATTAGAAGAAACAAATGCTGGCTTAGGTGTTTTGTACAGCAATATGGTACACAGAAAGTCATGTAAACATGTATGTCAGCAAATAATACCAAGTGTTTATTCACAAAAGCTTTGCATGTTTGCTACTTTCCATTACTGCTTTCCATGAAATGAACAATATGTTACTTACCAGCTGTTTGTGTTTCAGTACTGTTCATGTTAATGAGTCCTGAAAACTTTTCTTCTTCCTCCTTCAGTTTATATCCAAGCCTTCGTACTGAGTCTATGCTTCCACTGCATTCACCTAGCAGTTTCATCTGTGTTAACAAACAAAATATCCCTTTCAATAWGCACTGTCCAGGACTAATTGTATGGACAGTGCAAATTAAAATGCAACTTCCAGAAATTTYGAAAAGTAAGTATAAGTGTGAGGGAAAAAGAAAATCTATTACTGAACAGTCCATGCTGATAGTACAAAAAAAGTATATTGAGATGATACAGGCTTAAACTATAAGTTAAGACTAAACAGAAGTAACTCAGCRCTACTATGCCAAATATTTCTAATGTCTTTAGAGGTCATCTTTTCCAAATGTTAAGATGCAATGGCAAAGACACTARAAGATGTAATAAAGAAAAATAACCTAAATGTAGAAATATTACTATGCATCCAAGAAGTTAATTTTTAAATTCTGTCTGTAATAAAATTATTTGAGTGACTTAGAAAGAGATTTATCTTCCAGAAAATCTCTCTGAGAAAGCTTTTTAATCAGGGCTTCCATATCTGCAACCTTGCTTACAGGATGCATACTTACAATTCATTAGCAAGATGAACACTGTGCCTGAAGCTATAAAACCCACTTTTAAAAGCAGAGTAATTTCAAACAAAGGTATCATCATTAGACGGATAAAATCATGTGTGAGAAAGTACTTCTGCAAAAATGTAATAGGAAAATAAATTCCTTAGAGTCATGTTCCTCTAGTCTAATGCTATTGTAAACACACAGATAAYATAAACAACAATAGCATGTGGTTAAGGGTGGTAACGACACGAGTGAGTCTGAGCAGCAGCTACAGCTGATGGCTCTGCTGGAGCAGCTGTGTTTCCTTCAATGGCAAATCTAAGTTTGGAATGCATGCTTGATATGGGCTCCAAAACACACGCACATATCCCTTGTAWGTGGAGTCCAGTTCTGGTCCTGTAGGTGTTTTGCTGCGGATGATGTTTTCTGTTTGCTGTATTTGGAAACGACTGGTGTCCAAGGCCTTGTCCAGCTGTCGAATATGTGCTTCCAGGGCACCTGGTTCACCTGCATCAAAACCAAAAACGACTGACTGTCACCCCAATTTTTCCAAGGTTTTTTTGTCCTTGCCCAGGCATAATAGATACATTGGGAATATTCAGATTAGACAGTAAAAGAGAAATGTGACAGCAGCAGCGTGAGCAGTACAATGTCAAAGCTGAGTGATAACTAGTTACATTAGAGGRTGTTAGCAACCTTCAGAAGAGGATACCAATGAACAAGCTTGCCATAAGCACACTGTAGAAGACTCCACACTTTAAAGAAGGCTTGCACRTTATTCTGAAGTGATTTTACCCTCACACTGAAAGCCTCACCTTTTTTTAAAGGGAATGTTCTCAGCAAAGCATAGTCTAACCTCACTAATTTTGGAAAACACCTTGCTCCCTTTCACAAACACTGTCAAAGAAAACCTTGTAACCTAATAATCTAAATCCATGTGAAAATTTGGTATCTTAATTTCTCTTTGTGTTGTTCCTCCCCACGAAAAACCAGTAGAATTTTGATCTCCATTAAAGGATCCTATTTGTATAYAATTTTAAAGATTAAAAGTGGTATACAGCTATTAAGTCATACTGTTATAATCATATTTTCATAATCCATAAATGACTGGACATCTTGGAGACACGCAGCAAGTAGCCCATGACTGATTTGGGCAACCTCACTAAGCAGCAAAATTTGTAGCACTTTTCCAATTAGGTACTTGACAAAGATCATACTTCATACAACTGCGAGAGAGTAYTATTAATTCAAGCTATTGGGAACCTATACCAATGTTTTTGAAGGAGGACCGACTTGTATTTTCCTTACAGAGATCAGCTGAATTCTGTGACACAAATCAGCTACAGACAATTCTAATGTGAAGCAGGCTGCCGCCCAGAGCGCTACATGAGATCCTTCTTATTCATATTCTATCACTATGCCTGATTTCCATCTGTTTACAAAGACAGTTTGAATTTATTCATAAAGACACAATTGAAAACATGAATAGAGGAGAGCCTTCTGTCCAACTAATTACAGAAAATGAAGCCTCTTGGATGATTCATCTTTTTTCATATAAAACACCACCTCACCCCAAATGGACAGGACAAAGTGCTCAACATTGCTTTTCACTCATTACTTAAAAAATTTTCACAGCTCAGAAAACTAAATACATTTTTCCATAAGTACTGCTATTACTTATACCCTTAATTAATAATATTAATTCACTAATTTTGGGAYTAAATAAAAATGGGTGGTGAACCTGAGGCTTGTGTCACAGACACTAAGATTTTAAAYGTTTGTTGTTTGCAATGAAGTCATTATTTAACACGAGGAAAMCTGAAATAATGAGAAAAGGTATTTGCAAATGCATCTAATTCCTCCAAGAGTGCCATCTAACAAATGAAACAGTAGATTTAACCTGGTGCAATAACAAAAAAATTTTCCAATATATGAGACTAAGATAAAGACAGTACCTCAACTTGACATTTTTATCACATGAAACAACAACTAACCTAGAAGTTTGTATCTGTGTGACAATCCAAGATTCGACTGTGTTAAAAAAAAAAAAAAAAGCAAACCAGAAAAATTAGGTTTTTCTTGTAAGATAACCTCTTCCTTCTGCCTTATGATGTAAAAATGCATTAAGTCCAGCTGACAGACACAGAGCAATCGGATCAGTGTAGTTTAGTTAGCCAAGGTGGGAGGGCTAATTGTTCCAACATCATTGTTTCATCCATGCCTCTAATGGCATCTCGAAGCRCAGTAGTAAAGCAGGAGGATACTTCTAAGTTAAGATGCCAATGCTGCCATGTAAGAAATATTTATTTTGTAAGACGTGAAAAGAGAGCGGATGCCAAAAGAAGAGAAAGAAGTTATGCTTGTGCACCATGGTGTTTGCATCTGGCTATGCTTAGTCTTTTATGATGCCTACCAGAGATATTTTTGAGGGCGTTTTCTGTGAGTTTTACATAGGCCTCAAGAGTTTCAGGGATCTCTACATCTGAAAAAATAAAAGCACAGTCTGAATTGATGGCTCAGCAATGGCTGTCTCCTTACAGCAAGAGTCTTTTTCATGGGATGGATTACATAAATAGTTCAGATAACAAACATTCTGGAGAACGAAAAACATGAAGACTGAAACACAGGGAGGCTGCTACAAAGGCTCTCAATATCCAGGCAAACCTGACTCTTTTTCAGAGCAATGACCTAGAAAGCAAAAGACAGCCACAAGATCAGAATAAAATACACTGGTATGTCTCATCCCACAGCTAGCTCCATTTGGGCACTTTCACTTGTTAAGATTTATTACACAAAGCACAAACACTTAAAAAGGATTTCCAACTTCAGTGGAGAGCAAGACCCAAGACTGCACCTCAGACTAAACACTCAGCTGCTGGAGCTTTGCCTGGGTAAGGACTGAGTTAGGATTTACTTAAACACTTGATGATTTTCTCTGTGGGTCTCTCCCACAGCATTTCTTCATTGGYTTGCTCTGCACTTTTTGCCATATCCAGTATAGTTTCTTCTAGTCAGAATCACTTAGGATGCAGAGCTGTTACGGACGACATATCCCATCTGGCAGGCCTCACGMACAGACACACAGCCAATTCCCTGCCATATCATGTATGCCTTTGCCATTTTCCAAGGCTGTCGTCATCCAGGAATCTCCATCACTGTGTCTAAGGCCAGAGGGCCACTGAGATCACTTAGGAAACGCTATTTAAAGTCATCAGGGGCTATTTAAAGTTCTTTTCCATGAGAATCTTGGCCACACAATTCACACATGTAACGTTTGCTTTTTTTCACTCGAAAGAAACAGAGCAAACAATCTACCACCATACCTGCTATGCCAGCTGCTCCTCTCAGGTAGAAGTCTTTTTCCTGTCCTCCATCTTCTTCAGAGTGCAGCGCCCGTGAAACAGCAGTCTCCAGGTCCCTGCTAAGGTCGTAGTCATGATCCCACTCCAGAGGGATGGAGTCCACGCTGGCAGGGGTATCTCGCCCCGATCGCTCGCTCCTCAGYGGCTGGGAAAGAGGCAGCGAAAGGTTGGAAGAGGGGTGCGGGGAGAGAACGCTGTCCGCAGATTTGTCATGCCAGCGTAAGTCAGAGAGATCTGCTGATTCATCCAGATCCACCTCTCTGTCAGAGAGGTCGTGCTCGTCATCTGTCAGCTAGAAGCATAATGCAAACAGAAGCGGTCAATGGAACGTGCAGAGGCACTGCATGGTCAGCCTGGGTCAGTGAAATAAAGCAGCGTTAGGTGACAGTCACACTGGCGGGTTTTTCGTTTTGCATCCCTTTGCACTTGCCCTTCATTATTTTTAAGGTGCACTAAGAAAACAAAGCAACAAAGGGGATCGAAGTGCCAGCTCATTTTAATTACTTAAGRCACCATGAAGTCTCACATCAGGCAAGTATCTCCAGACTTTTACTGATGTTTCTTCAATGCAATTATCAAGTTGGAAAAGCCTCTGGAATTAATTAATAGAAAGCRTCAGTGATCTTTTATCATGAGCACTGTTCTCACTATGGTATTTCATRTTTCGAAACCCCTGGATTTTGTTCTTTTCATTCAGTAGGACTTGAGCCACCAGAAATTGTTTTCTTTCCACTTTTTCAGCTTGTGTTCACTTTTGGAGACAAATTTCTCTCTTTTCTGATGGGAAGAATCATTTTATTATCGGGTTTTTTTTTAAAAAAAACCTCACTAAGGTGTCAATAAAATATCTGATAGTGCAGGGAGATGTTCTTATGACCATACCACAGTGCTACCTCCATGAATAAAGTTTTATAAATCTCCAATTTGCATGGACTTTCACAATGATTTACAGAAATTCCYGATCTTGTGAGCTTGTTCTTTGAACAGGACACAAACAGAATATAATGAAGGGAGGCAGATGGTCAGGATTGCAACAAAATTTAACTACAGGACTTTTTCAAAGTTACGTAAGTTGCATTTCAACATGTTTCTCTCTCCTCATTCTCGCATTTGTAAAATGGCAACACAGCAGACAAGTAAAAACGTATGTAAATATACACACAGGGAGGCGGATAAGCTTCTTGTGATAGCGTTCCACACGTCCGAAGACCTCTTGGCAGTAACGGCGCAGCTCATCTAGTTCTTCTTCAATGACAGCTGCATCCAGAGGCTCGCTTTTCTCAATGAGCTGCTCACCTTGCACAATTATTTGCTCAATTTTGCTGTTGTTCAGTGAAATTTCTTGCTGGAAAGCCTGTGTAAAAGAAAAGCCCATGCTTTATTAATAAGAGCAACATGACAATAATCTGGGTAATTAAGGGTGCAAGTCTCAAGAGTCTTAGAGAAAGAATGGTGTGGGCAACAAACAGGGATGATGCCAAATATTCTGTCATGAGCAACAATGAGCAATTAAATTAAATTTAGCATTCCACAGTCTTTCAAGCCAAAACCAGTGATACTTCATGGTTTACCATCTCATTCCTCACTTGTTGAATTTGGAAAGAAACCTCTTCTCTAAACAAGCCATGMCAATGACCAAATGTCTAGAATGAACACAGATGCTAAAGCTAGCACAGTGGAATTTTGGATAATGTGACATTTGTATTGTTCTCTCCAGATAAGGAATTTTCTGATGCAGAAATGGTTGAAAAGTACAGTAATTATTACAWATTAGCAATAATGGATACTTGACATAAAATAATTTTTATTAACATTTCCTCTTTTGATGAAGAAAAGTACACCGTCACCCTGGTTTTTTTTTTTACGTTTTCCACAGCTCAAAGATCTTATATATTGACAGAAAAGTACACGTTGGAATCTGACATAACCCATAACTTCTGAGGCTGAAGTCTTTGCCTGCAAGTAAAGGAACTGTATCAGGCCAAATTTCTGCACAATGTCTCTTAAAATTCTTTTCCTGCCACGCATGGTTTTTGAAATCTCTTCTTTCATCCCTCCTTCAGTAAATACTCAATCATTCTTTACCTTAAGTTGCTTTATTTTTGCTTGGACATCACACTCTGAGAAATGCTCGATGTTGGTCAGCTGCAGGTCCATCTCYGTCAGCCATACCAGGATGCTGTCACGTGCTGTTTCAAACTCCTCCCGCTGGCTAATAAAATGCTGGAGGGTGGAAAATTGAGTCACATGAAATGATCAACAACATGAAAACCTCCAGCAATTGCAGAGAAACACGTTTAGTCCACATCAAACCCAATTTAAACTCAGTACACCTTCTTCTTTTATTTCTTACATGCTTTCTAAGCTCCCTTTTCAGTAACACCACYTAGAGGTGCAATTAGCTGACCAATGAAAATTACATTCTGTGGAGAAGGTTGTGTTTGATGTCACCAAGCATTTGCCTACAGCCTGTGCTTTGGTTGCCTTGGACTAAGTGAACTGATAAACTTCCTTTCTCTTCGAAAGGTAGAAAACCCCTCAAAACCACTGTGCAAATGCATTAAACTGAAAGCTGCTGAAGTACCCTTGATTCATAACTAGACTAGTGAAATTGAAGTCTCAAAAATGGAAAAATACTTTTAGCCTGCGCAGGATGGAGGTGACTCGCTTTTGCAAATTGTCCCATCTCTGGTTCCCCTCGTGAACCATCTGCTTGAGGCTGCCRTCAGAGTCAGTGCGGTTCTCCCGGGCCAGGCGCCGATATTGCTTATTGATCAGCTCCAGCTGAGTCAGGCTTTCATGCACTTGCCTCTGGAAAGCCTAGARCAGCATGAAGAAAAGATTCAGATTTTTAAAAACCTTCAGATTTTCAATTACTGAAATCAGAATACATATATAGATCTCTTGCCTTATTTCAACCCTACTTCTGCACTCCAACTTATGTAAGCCAATAAATTCCACTAGTTGGTGACATCTCCTGAGGGCCACTCTATAGAGATGATGCCTTCTGATTGGAAAAACCAAAAAAAAAAAAAAAAAACAAACAAAAAAAAAAACCCCAAAACCAGAAAAAAAAAGTTTATAAAACTGACATGGCTCACTGAATGAGAAATTGCAACACGAGTATCCATTACAAAGGCAAAGCCAAAAAAAAGACACTTCTTCCTACTAAATTATATGCTTTTGTATTTGAGAAGTACAAACAATGAACATGAAACTATTTTTTTTTGAAGAAACAGAAATCCAAGATTCCTGCGGCTTCACTGGATTTTTTTCTTGCATATTGAATTTGCTGAAATGCAAACACTGAAGAGATTTGTTTACTCTGAAAAATGGTACTGAATGAGACATCTTGTTATATTTAGTATACTGGTTTACAAAAAAGTTTTGTCTTAAAATATTCACGGAAAAGAAAATTTCATTAATATCCATGCCAACTTTTGTCTGGGCATATGTTTGCAGCATTTACTGTTGGTGCTTGCYCTGCTGTTACAAGAACCACAGAGACACAGCTGTGAATCACAGGCAACTTACACCATGGGTTTTGTGTTGTGACTAGCAATTGTAAAGCTTGGAGAAAGCACCTGGTAAGGAAATGACTGAATTAATACCTTTAACAATAATAACAACAAGAATAAATGAGTACTTTTTTCAAAAATCTGCTTGTTTTTATCTTGTCACATTACCAAAATAGRAAAGAAGTCAAAGGAAGACTTAAAAACCTAGATTACACCAGCCCTCTCTTAAATACAAGTAGGGTTTAGATCCCACTGCAGTTCTACAAACTTGTTCTCTGATCTCCCTCACAATGTAAATAAATAATCTCTTCCAAAACTAGACACCTCCTTAATAAGAACTGTAGAAGTGGCATAGGTAAAATACTGCTGTACAGAAATTTTAATTGTACATCTGAGTTTTCTATATAAAAATATATACACTTCATATTGTACTATTCAAAGATAAAAATGAAATAACCACATTTCTGCTGTAATACCAGAGGAGAAAGTAAAGAAATGGTTGAAAAAAAGATCAAAATCTGTGGAGTCCTCTCAATATAAGTATTCTCTTCACTGAATGGCCATCAAATTGGGTAGGGGACAACCAAAAAAAGAGTAAATGGGCTTGCAACTAGAGTGAAATGATTAGTAGAATTGAATTAATTTAAAATTGCACAAGGATTCCTGTATTAGAGGCACAAATCTGACTGTATTTACTAGGATCATTAAATCTGAAAGTRTGCAGCTGTTGTTTCACCTGTTACCAAGCCTTGTCCAGCCAAAGAACAGCTGTTTATTTGCCTTCCATTTTTTCATCTCAGCTACACAAGAATTCATCTGTTGCATTCCCTTCCTGTAGCCTCTTTTAATTTCTCCACAAATGACTGGAGAGGAAGAGTTTGGTTTTGTAAAGTGAAGCCAGTGAGAGCCATCTCTGACCTCTGTGCTCAGGAACTGAAAGGCTCTTACATGGTTCTGATGAGCTCTTTGTGTTGTGGTTTTTTGTTTTGTTTTTTTAMATYAAAGCGCAGATACGGAGAAGAAAATAAAATTAGAAAAAAATTCTAGTTAAAGCAGAAACCTGCTTCTGTCAGTATTTTTAAGTGGCTGGRATTTATACTGAATTCATAGTAATGCTGCTGAATTCCACTGAATTTGAATACCACAGTTTTGTTACTTGCATTCCTGCTGTTTGGTAGGCAAAGAAATTAGGTGTTCAGGAGAGAAGAAAAAAAAAMCAAAAACAAAATCTGTTTAACAACAAAACCTGGCTAGAACACTCAGAAATGTGAGTGCCACTTAGAGAACTCAGTGCTTCACAGTTTATGTTTCTGATTTAACTGTTAACCCAAAAAGTATTAACTGGTCTCAGACATTGTTTAAAATTTGCATTTCTTCTTCACAGCAAATACTTTACAGCGTCTGACTGTTTACAGAATTGCCTAAATAATTCGTTCTCTTTCTTCTCTCTTGTCTTGATGTACTCTTTGCAAGTAAGAATCCAAGCAAAAACTTTTCCCCCGTGACTCACCAGACACCGTGCCTGTGTGCTTTACACATGGATATATGATCCCTTGAAACTGTAAGAGAAGCTGTCGCATCTTAGTAGACACAACAGAGTTACATAACAAGCTCTGACCAAAAGCTTGTCAGTTTTGAAGCATGCCTAACTTATAAGTCACAGGGGACACCATGTGGACATATAACAATACTTGCATGAACATGAACTTCAGGTGTAAGGATCTAAAGGGGAGATMATGTGCATCATAAGACAAGAGTTCAGAGGAGGGACAAAATCAAAGCAAAAGCTAAAACATGCAGCACGCATTTGAAGAGGCATTGAAGAGGGACTTGGTGAAGGGAGATTTAGGAAGGCTCTGGAACATCTACTGACTGGTCATGTTAAAAAGTAGCAGAAATAGAAAAGGTGAGGAATCCAGCTTTGGTGAACAAAGAGTAAGGAAGAGTTGATTGATTTATTAGCATTTCCAGTTGCCACCTTACATTGTCTTTATCCCAGGAACCTGCCACTGAAGGCAGCCACAAAATCAGCAACTCCACTATATTAATACAGCATCTCTTCTGAGTGACTTGGTTATGGGAAGGAAGAATACCAGCTGGCTGCTGCAATGTGATCAGTAGGTATTAAATTTCAACCACTATAAATCACCTCAAATTTCTTCAGTTCTTCCTTAGCAACAGTGTAAAGCACACCAGAGGAGCTTGGGAAAGCAGCTGTCYTCTCAGAGACTTTTAGCCAATCTTCAAATCTAGCATAGTCATCCAAAAACTTTTGCCACAGCCGCCAGGTCTCTTCAATTCTGCAACAGATAATGGAAAATGAGAGAATGCTTGGACTGATWGCCAGCTGACATACAAAACTTTAACCAGTCATCTACAACAGCAAACTAGCACTGCACCACACAATAACTGACTATTAATCTGACTCAGCCAGACTGACTGATAAACAGACCACAGGGAAGGCTGGCTCATTCCAGACTGAGCTAGAATAAGATGAAGACATTTCTTTTTTAACGCATCTAATTTTGGAATCAGTATAAAAAAAGTTTTAAGTTTGTAATAAGAGCTCTAAAAAGCTGAGCACACACTAAATAATGCCTGAAATGCAGTGCCAGTTTTAGCCACTGTTTTAAAGATCAGGAACAGTTAAGCCACTGTTTTAGAGATCACAAATTCCACACTGCATTCAATTGCAGAACATTTTCTTACAGAACGGTAAAGAAGCTGCAGCATCTATTTTGAAGTTCTTAGTCATTATTCTGCATTGCAAAGGGACATAAACTTTTTTTCTACTTACCAACTAGCAGTAAAATGCTTTCAGTATATACTGCAGACATATCTTTATTTTTAAAACTCCAAAAATTAATGTTTAAACAAAACCCAATTTGACTTCAACTGAATATGTAAAAATAGTGGCTGATACTTGACACTGAAACCAAACTGGCTTAAGACTRAGACTGAAAAATCCAATGAAGTTTTGCATTACTTGATTTAAAATAACAGGCTTTTAGGGACACTTGTTCTACAACAGAACTTTTGTCTGTTTTTACATACAGAATACATCTTTCCCCAATCTTAAACATGCAGGAATAAAAAGTTCACGACCTATGCAAAAATCTATGCTTTGCTGGTGATATGTTGTTTGAATGGGAATTTGACATCAGTAAAGTCACTCTTTAATATGAATAAATGTTTCTAGTACAATAAAGATCCCAAATTCTGACAGCTCAGTTAATTTACCAGTACAAATCTATAGCATAGAAAAGCGTAATGTGTACATTCTAAGAAAGTAAAACAGARCTCAATGCACTGTTCCACATTCACTTAAAATAGCTCTGAATTGATCTGTTGGACACAATGGTATGAAAGCCCAAGAATGCCAAAGACATACTATGCCAAAGATAGAACTTATAATTGTAGCTGTAAGTTAGAACTTCTAAGATACAACTGCACTTATAGATACATACAATTCAAGAATTTCCATGGCAATAGTATAAAGTTATTGAAATATATCAGTCTATGGATATAGAGCAGCAAAACCTAAAAGCAATAAACGTTTTGAATAAAATAAACAAAAAAATCTCACTAAATACAGTAAGATGTTCCCAAAAAATGAAAGATCATAAAAAATTCAATTCAGCACTTGAAACACCAAATTCTCCCTAGAGTTGTTTATATGACTATTACAAAAATGACAGAAATAAGATTAATAACTTAAAAAGTTAAAACAAATATGTTCATAAATACAGGAGTTTAAACCTGTAAACATGTCTCATTACTGGTTAGCACACAGTATGTGCACTGCCCTGATCTAGCCAACATCATTATTTCTGTTGAAATCACCAAGCTATGCTGTGTGGGAATAGAAAACAATGAATATTCTGGACATGATGGGCAGGCAGCCTACATGGTCTAAGYATGTGCAGTCACCCAGACTACTCCCAAGAATCTTGGGTACTATGGCCCTCACTTGCTCAGCACAGCTACGGTGGGCAGGTGAAGAAATTCCATATAAATGCTCAGCCCTAAAATTCTTCCATGTAAACAAAATCAGACATTAGGGAAACTGCTGAGGAACAATGGGTGCATATAAACCCTAATACCTGCAATAACATTCCATTCATTCAGTAACAAGTTTCCCCATCAATCTCAGTAGTTCTTGGGTAAATTTAGGTGTGACAACATCCCTTTTAGGTCGTTTTCTAAATCTCTTGGAGTCTCTGTTATCATCTAAGCTTTATCTAGTTTCTCATCATTTATTTGAAGCATGGGAAATAATGTATCATTCTATCAAAGGACTTGTGAGTGAAATTTGATGATTGTTATCTGTACTTTGTATAAAGGCATGTGTAACCCAAAATTCCATTTTTTTTTGTAGAAGCACAGCAGCTATTGGCTTCCACTCAGGGTGTGATCTTTTCCTGACCGCCACACTCTTTTATTCAGTGCTGCAACCATACAATATACATCCCAGCCTGTGGAAGAAAATACTAATTTGTAGGCATTTTAGACTTACTTAAGTCGCCTTTCCATTGACATTGCACAAATATTCCTCCACCTTCTGTCCAGATTGCGTGTGGCCTGCTGGATAGAGTCACACTCTGCTTCTGTGGCACAAGCATCACAGTCATGAAGAAGTACTTCACACAGATTGAGAACAGATGCCACGCCAGTGCTGTGTTTCTCTATGTCCCTCTGAAGTTCCTGCAGGTAAAGAAATTAGCTCTTAAGCGAAATTGCAGAACATGCATGCATGCAACTGTATTTATTTTCTACTTATTAAAAAATACAAAGAAGAAAGCTTGCAAACAGAAGAAAAACATCCAATAAATTCCAATTAAGAGAGTGCATCTATGCAGGTGGTGATACGAAGTKATCAATGAGGCCAGGAGAACCTGACAGCATGCACAGCTCTCCCAGGGACTACCAACACCAAACCATTACCTGGGAGAAACTGCCAGAGCTCTGCATGCTCAGCTGAGCATCCTTCACACAGATTTAATCAACATCACCAATAAACAGTAGAATTATTCTCAGCCCTTTCCCATTATCACGGAGAATGTAAAGCAGAAGTTAGTAAGAGAAGTRTGTCAAGAAAATTTGTTCTCATCTACTGCAAGGGTTTGGCAGAGGGACCCTTCATGAACCTACTGTTCCCTGGGTGAGAAAGCTGCAAAGGGGCATGTTTGACGTGGATACTGGCAGCAGTGCACGTTGAACAGGGCATGTGGAGTAGATTTTCCTTCCTTCAAGTTTCCAGTTCTATAGCATTTTCACTGGAAATGGAAAAGGAAAATTCCAGGCACTTAAAGAAAATGTACTCACACTGTCTTAGCACTTATTATATGTGATTGGTATTCTTTTTCCTGTAGCATTCTTGGTTTCAATAGCTTGTTCTACACTTACGATAACTGAACTAATACTTCAGCTTCAGTGTCAAACTCCAGATTCAATTTAAGACAAATTACAAAAGTAATTGACTGTAACTGCTGGATCAGTGCAATGAAAAGAAACTCTGCTTGACTTTTGTTTTACATTTGAAATGAATCATCAGATTATTAGATGGAAATATCAGTACGGACAATGACAAAGCCAAGACAACCTAATAGTGACAAAGAAATACTAATGTAACAAAAAGTGCTATATTGCATCTAGAATACTTGGTTCAATTCTGATTCAGATGAAGAAAGGAACCTAGTATTCTGTGGAGGTTCATTCAAGCGAATGAGAATATGGCAGCTTGAGGATGAGCAGAGATTACCAGCGCATTATAATTTTCCTACTGAAGTAAGCTATGACATGAAAAGGGAACTACAGASTCAACATTCTGTGTCTACACAGATTTAAGTTTTAACTAGAGGAACTTTTCTTACAGCTAGCAACATCATCTGAAAATGTCTTCCCGCAGGAAATGAGATCAAAACATTGACTGTGAAAACCTCAGGAATTTTGAAATAGAGCAAAGCTGACCTACATCAACCATTTGTTTTGGTTTGTAATAACTGGACTTTCACTTAATGAAGTAATCGATTCCATCTTTTCATTTATGAAACAGAAAGTAATTTTGTAAGCATGTACTTGARTACATCAAGTGCAAAAACGCAATCTTTTCTTTCTCAGCAATGGCCCTTTCAATTCACTAGCCTGAAAAACACTTTAATCCTGAAAGTGCTTATTCTTCTTTTTATCTACCCTGAAGTATTATAGAAGGGTGGATACTATAATAAGATGCAATAATTTATGAAACACACACTCCAGACAGCTATGAGACTTGAGGTTAAGTAAGTTCAAGTAACATAATCTCCTTTCTAATATTTTAGAACAAAACAGTAGATAAAACTGTAGGTCCTGAGCATTCTTRAGAATTAAACTTTTTTTTCACCTGTAGAACATTTCCACAAACAATGTCTAGATTATTTCTTCTCCATACCTAATATTTATTTCCCAGGTTTTAAAATTTTCTATGTCTATTAGAACATAAAGCCTTTGGGTTAGTTCACAAAGGAGCATCACTTTTATGCACTGCTGTCACCCATAAACAATCTTTCTTTTTTTAACTTCATTTGTCCAGAGGCAAACAGCTTTCTTTCACATTTCAAGTGGTAGCAGACTGAGAAAACAAACAAACAAGTAATCCTTTAAACAGAGTTCCTTAGGCTAGGAAAATGCTGCATTGAAGTTACCCTACCTCCCCTGGGAYATCCCAATTCAACTGTATTTTTTATTTCACAAGAGACCAGCAATCTGCAAAGCTGATGCTTCACTGAAGTAGATGCTGAGAAGTAGGTAATGGATTTTCATAAATGGATTTTKTTCCTCCTCTTTCACAACATAATGTTTTTATCCTAATTTTGCATGTGAACAACTGGAAGATAACATGACCTTAGTAGAAGATTGAACATGGAAAAGAACACAAGGTCACTAAAGAGACAAGAGAACAGAATACTTGAGAAGGCAGCCTTCTGAGATGGTGTGGATAGTGATATAGTCTCCAACTAATAAAAATATTGGTTGCCACACATTGAAGGTGGGTGGGTTTTAAAAATTATTATTATTATTATTATTATTATTATTATTATTATTATTATTATTATTATTATTATTACCACCATGTCTTGTATTGTTATCATATCAAATCATCACCAAGTTCATAAATATGGCATTGTTTCCTGTTAAGATTCACCTCTATTTCTCCCCTTTACAGYWCAAATTAAATTACTCTCACTTCTACAGAATGTTACTGCATGTTGTCCACCACAAGAAAACAGTGGAAGGCAGAGAGATACACAGTCTCTGTGCTCAAAATAACTCCCATAAGGAGTGCTTGTAACAAAGTATGGGGTGCCTGCATATGGATTCTAATAAATAATCTCAATCATCTTCTTTGTTGATAGCAATGTTTAGCCCTTCCCAGCACTTTACTGTCTCAGAAACATCATTCATTAACTGATGTTTGTGTATTATAAATTATTATCCCTATGTAAATGCCACACAGAATATTAGTAAGTAATYCTGGACAGCCATGTGGTGTATCAGTCAAGAAGCTGGCAAAAACTCTGAGAGAGTTCTTGGCTCTCAGTTCCACACTGAGCTTAAAGGAGCAAAATCCCCATTTGTTCTCTTCATAAATTATCCTGTCCCACAAAATATCCTGTCTTTCCTCTTCCCACACATTTCTTTCTCCTCTGGAGAAAGGACTCCAGAGAGCATCTAACTCATCTCCAGTGGGCACCAGAAAGGTATTTTTGCCAATAAATAACCAACAGGAATACAGAAGAGAACAGTTCTATCCAGCACTGTGCTTCTAGGTAAAACTGCACTAGTCAGTGAAGTGGAACAAGAAGGAAAAAGTACAGTAGATCACCTTAGAAGTAACATTAGTTTCAATGCCAAAAAGTGGTTGACTTCACATTTTTCTACATATTTTAATCTAGCACTGCATAAAGGCTTGTGTAGTATAAATCAACCAGTTTTAACTTCACATGTATAGCTCATGCAACTTTGCATGCAGAGTGACTCTCAAACAAGCTGCAAAATAAAACTGAGTTAGAAAGGTTGCTAAAAATAGTAATTTTCAAGCATTTGCAACATTTGYGAGGTCTAACAGATGTCAGTTTTGCCTCTGGGAGCAGACAATTCAAACAAACCAAAACCACAAGCCCCAAAGGAAAACAATTGCAATAACTCGTTCAGKTTACATCTCTTAGTGCCTTACCTTGCTTGGAAATGCCAATCAGCTCCTGGTGGATTCGATGTCAAGGCCAGCAGAAGGCTCTATAAGTGACACAGTAAGTACCACTTGCCTTGATATTTAAGYATTTTGCCTCCTGCCCTCTCAGCTGAACTGGGTATGGGCAGCCCAAGGACACTCTACGTTGGCTCTCCCCATGTCACTGTTCATCTGATATGTGCATTGTATTTTACCTGCTGTTCGTTTAGCTTCCTTTGTATCTCCTCTGAGTCACAAGTTTCATAGACGATAGGTTTGGACAGCTCTGACTCAATGTGGGCAAGCCAAGATCTCAGGCTACTCATATTTTTGTCCAGCTGCTGCACTGCAACAAGGGTCTCCTTCAACTTCTTTACCCTGCAAAGAAAAAGAAATAGCAGTATTAGTACATGCTGAAGAAAAATTTTCACAGCATGTGTTTCAGSAAGTTTTAAGAAAAAACTTCACTTAGATGGCAACTTGTATTGTAAAGTGTTCCTATATTATGCAAAAGAAGTATATTGTAATTGCATGCAATCCTGCATTCATAGCTGCTGGTTAAGAAAAACTGAGTGCTTACTAATGCCACACAACATTTTCAAAGCTTCTGTACCTTTATCAGTTGACTTTAACATTGGTTAAGAAAAGTTTCCGTTTTTTATTTTTATTTTTTTTTTTAAATGAACTTGCACACATCAAGCACCCTCCCCCCCCCCCAATCTAAGTAACTTAGTTGTGTATTTTATTAATAGATGACAACTGTTCTTCTGAGAGTACAAATAACTTATCCATGTACTGATGGGTGAGTGCACTGCATGAACAATCCATTTTCACCCACAGGAAAACACTGAACTACATATCAGAGAAGGTTTGGGTTGGAAGGGATCTTTAAAAGTCATCCAGTCCACCTGCTCTGCAATSAGCAGGGACATCTTCAACTAGAYCAGATTGTTGAGAGMCTTGTCCAGCCTGACCTTGAACATTCCTAGGATGGGGCAACCTGCTCCAGGGTGAAGACTTGTCCTTGAATAAATAAGTTTTAGAGCAAGAAATCCAGCTGAGAACCTGGGGAGGATTCCTRAATCCCAAGTGCTGCTTTTAGGTTGGTGTTATTGGACTATTTTGGGTTTAAACAGATGAAACTGGAAATGGAACTGCGTGGTGATTTCYAACTAGTACTTTTCTTGGAATCCTGACCATGGAAGACTGAGGACCAGGAAAAACGAAATAGATTTTTGTTTGTGGTTTTTTATTTTTTAATCAAGGGACCATTAAGGTTAGAGAGTGAATTAATTCAACTAAACTTTCATCCTATTTCAATAATTTTTCCTTCAKTCTGTTTGAACTCCAAAATTGTCTGCCAGTAATTCTCTCCTTCCTATCCCCATGTTACATAACATACATTATTAGTAGATTYTGAATTTTTTTCTAAGCTCTTTTTTCCTGTTTGTGTGGTACCAAAAATAGTCTTGAGTCTGAGCATGAATGTTCCCTTTCATGCTCCCATTGCTCTTCTACTTAAGTGTTTCAGTATCAGAAAGGTTTAAAAGATGAGTGCAGATGGGAATAGACTGACTAAATCGGTTTGAAAAATATGAGATTGCCAGAGCTCTTAAACAAATAAAATCCCACCCGATTATACTATACTTCAAAATAAGCAATTCACATTTTTTTCTACTATACTAACCAACAAATTTATCGTTTCTATACTGAAAGCAGTAGTTGCAGCTGACAAGTAAGAGAATCGCAGAGATATTAATGTAATCTTAAAAATAGTTAGATCTTCCCAGTTTTCATGTCTTTATAGCCCTGTCTTTAGCTCACAGATGGTTAAACTGTGTTCTTTATTGCTAAAAACCTTTGAACAGTTCAAAAGTAGCTTATTTGACAGAGTGTCATGACCAACAGTTGTAGGGTTTTAATCTGAAAAATCCCCACCTGGAAACTGGAAAAATATCTGGGTAATCTGAAAATCTGTCTATGATAGGACTAAGTAAATACAATTATGCTGAAAGACTGCCTCAGTCCCCATAATTGGGCCATCTCAAAACACAGCCATGAATTTAGGCTTRGGGAGACAGTAGGAGAACACCCATTGTCTGGAGGCACCATCTCCTTGTCACCCATGGTTCTACATACAATGCTTTSTGGGTGTGAATCAACTCAAACTTGCTCATAGGATGACCAAGAAGGYTGGCCATCACCCTTCTGGAAGTCACATATAGCTTTTCAATCTCTGACATTATTTAAAAGGAGTGAAAACTTGCCCATTTTCTATTTAGTTTTTCAAGGCTCAATGCTACTGATCCTTTGCAGGCCTTTTAGAGTGGGAAAGGGAACAATGAGTCACATCAGCCTGTGGAGAAGCAATGTCACTTGATCATCTGCAAGGCCAAACTGTGGACCAGGACGTTTTTTGTTTGCAGTTGTGTGTTACTCTMATCTCTGTGCTGGACTTCATTCACATTTTGCCTGCAGCAGCTGATAAAGGGTCCATAGTCTAGAAAGTGCCCTCTGCCTCAGGCAAACTGCACAGGAATTCATCCCTGCCAGAGCACAAAATAAGTCTGGGCCAACTACCACTGTTTTCAGACATGTGTTCTACCTTACTCCAAAGAGAAAAAGAAAACCAACATGACACACTAGAAGAACACTTCAACCAAACCCAAACCCTGTAACTTCTGCCCTATCCCCCACTACATCAACCCTTAACTGTTTTGGGTTTGGTTTTTTTTTTTTTTTTTTTTTTTTTTTTTTTTGTACTGAGTTTAACATAACAGGTTCCTTGTTCATGGTACAAAGAGAAACAAATAAATAACTGATTGCTGGAGTCTGCTGGGATTATGCTTTTTTTAGACTGAACTGCAATACAGGGCTGTGCCTCCAGCTACTCTGAAAATATATCTGTGGTCAAATAATAGATAYAATCCATCATGTCTAAGAGTCTTCCCTCTGAATTTCAGCAAGCCAGGTTGCCTATGTTCTAAAAGCTCTGCTTAAGGCACAAAGGCCAGATTCTAAATCAAGAATGTGGGATCCCTAGCCGAGTGTAATTTTTAAGCTTTTGAGATTTCACTTGCAAGAGTATATTTAAAATGTTAATTATTCCAATAATCATTTCATGCTTTTGTTGCAGCACTGGGCAGCACAGGAACATCACATGTTACTGTGAAAGACTTGAGATAACTCTTCTCCTTGATAATGAAAATTCTGCACTGAAATCAAAGGGTCGAAACCATTACAAAGCTGGTTTAAAGGTTGTCTTCCATAAAACACACACCCCAGTCTTGTTATATTTTACAAATACTTAAGACTCTCAGAAAGGAAAATACTGTCAAATTCAGTTGTTTTTATGACTTACTGATGAAAAATCATCTGAAAATTGGAATGGGTTTATGATACTTATCTTTTCATGTTCCAATTAATGTGCCTCAATTTCCCCAGGAAAGCAGTAACTTTAGACTGTCTATTAATAATGTCTATTTTTCTACATTAAGAAAAGTCAGTGGGAGMACAACTTGGAGCTAAATTTAAGCACAGACACATTTGATTCAACTAGTTCTAAAGCAGACAGCCTTAGATTCCACTTAAATCTAAATGGGAACAACCCTGTAAGTACAGAAAAATGCATCATATAGAAGTCATAGCTACCACATTAGTCATTTAGACAGCTGCTTACTAATATTAAACTTTAAAAGCAACATAAAAACACTCAGTAGGAGCATGTTAGCTAAGTCTGAACAACAGACAGCAGAAAGCAGAAAAGGTGCTTTAAAAAATCTATTTAGAAAGAAAGGCGAAGTTTTAAGAAACACTGTTTGAAACAGTGAAAAATCCTGTACTACTAAAATCAGTTTTGAAAAGATCAGCTTAAAAGCATCTTTTTATGATTAAAAAAAGAATTTATTTTCCAACGTATAGTACTACTCAGTAGTAAGACACTAGTAAAGCCAGTTATATTTACTACTCCAATCAGTTGCTCTTTCAAAGACTCAATTTCTAGAATTCTGTACAACAGCTAGATTTCTAGCAAAGMTAATGTGAAGAGGGAGAAAGAGAAGCTGAATCAAAAACCCAAGATGATGTAGCTGAGTCCAAGTATTACATGCAGTTACAAAACAGTCATTAATATGAACAGGTCAAACAGGCTTTGATAAGTTAAGTCTGAAATACTTTTTTTACAGCTTCTTTCCTTCTCTACCTTTTGCTTGTAGTCATGCCCCTTTGATGACACAAACAGCAAGCAGACAGATACAGTCTGGTTTTTCTCATGTCTGTACATGCYCTCCTATTTAAAAAGAGCAGTAAAATCAACCCACAGTTTCTCTCAGACAGCTAAGAGATGTTACTAGTTCTAAGTCTCCATCACTATCAAAAAATTATTCTGGGATCCAAAAAGTACTAGCTGTAAAACAAAGTATCCTGTTATCACTGTCAACTTTTTAAACCGAGCAGAAAACAGTAATTTCTAGCTATAGTAGTGATTTCTACGTATCAATATTTCAGTTAGTTTCCCAGCAAGCCAAGACTTCAGAAAGGATAGTATCAATCAAAAGCAAACAAAAATAGCTGCCTGCCTTGTGATATCACAGTTACAGTCTGGGAGGTCTGAATCCACACTGCTGTCCTCCGCCATCCTCACAGCATGCAAGTCTTCCGCCACAACCATGAAATTTTCCAGTATTAAAAAGAAGAACTTCAACTCCCAAAGCCTGCAAACACCGTTCTTTTGGTGGAGGTGGGGGGAGGAAAGGGGACACACTTTGCTGGGAAGTACTGTACAGAAAATGTTTCACGCCAAACAAATGTTACCAGCCGTTGCTTGATAACATGACACTGGATGGTGACAAGTGGTCATGTTTCTAAATAAAACCTGCATTCATCAACATGTGCCAGATTTGATCCCCAGGAATGTGGACTGTGAGTGGTAGGGGAAAGGATGAAAACACACACAAAGTCTTCTTTGCAAAGTCTGAGCAGTTGCAGCAGTAGCACTGTTTCCTGGCTGTAAACAACAGCAACATTTTTTTTGTGAGACCGACCTATCAGAAAAACCCATCTGAAAGGATTAAAAGGTCGTGGAAGGGAAGAAACGGAAGTGTCTGATGCAGAGACACAACCACCTCTCTGCAGCTGTCACTTGTGTGGCGACAGCACTCCTCTGAAAGGAGGGGTAATAAAAGAAATGGGTAAGGGAATAGAATGTGACAAAGAAAGATGCTTTTACAGGTGACTGGGGAAGTTTCACCATACAGTATGAAATCAAAAGGTAAASGTTCAGACTGGACATGTATTACCATAACACACTACCAAAGCATTTTCACATAGCACATTCTATTAGTTCACAGCTGTAGGAAACAATCCACAGAGAAAAATGCTCCAGGGAAGGGATTACTGCAGCAATGCAGAAAGGTCTGCAGACTCTAATAATTTATTTACACTGTTAGGCGTGTATTCATATCCAGAATATGAAAAGATGTATTTTATTTTCAATACCAGGGCAATTAATCTGCATTTGCTAGCAGGATACAGCCAAAATCACATTATATGATACATTCCAAACTCTAAAATACCTTAACTAGAATACATGCCAATATGTACGAACATATTTTAAAGGGCCTCTGCAGCCTTCTAAAAATTACCTTGGGGAATGCAACCCTTTTTTTCCACTGGCAATTAGACATCAATGCAAACATTTTGTACATGCATTAATCAACAGCTTGGGTTTTAATAATTTCCAGCCCAAGGTACAGCTGAACTACCAAAATTTTCACAGCCTATCATCAAACCTTTCTACAATTTATTTCCAAACTTCAGCAAACTTTGCAGAGCTTTTCTTTCARTTCAGTGAGCACTGGGATGGAAAGGGTTGTATGTTTAATTGCATACAATAGTRTTGAGCATGCCAGTTGAGAACAATAAATTGAAATGATCTAGAAATAAAAGTATATAAATATTTTACATACATTAGTGAAGAACTAGGACTTGACCCTTCATGATAACAGAATGAGAAGGTTTAATTGTATAATATGAGTGCCTTACACCTCCCCACCCAAGAATTATATAGAATCCTAAACTACTCCCACCTGTCCCTAGAGTGGGAACTAATCTCTACTCATTAGGTATTATCTGAATATTTCTCCAAGAAAGCYTTTCAAAAGAGGAACATAAAAATGTATCAAATATACTTTAAGTTCAACAACTGTTGRTGTATCCTCTGAAACCAAGCCGGCTCCTCGACTGTAAGGCAACACTTCCTGACTTAATTGTTCTGTAAGAAATATATAGTGTTCGTTCCTTTAAAATGTATTACTATTAAAGGAGCTGGAGCCACTGGAATGCTTCAGCTTGCATAAAATTAACTGCTCCCATGTTAGCAGATTTCAGAGCAAGAATGCAATAAAACTATACTAAAAAAGAACAGACAAAAAAAAAGATTATGAAACTAAACAAACCTTTTTACTGCTAACAGTACTAAAGTTTCACTAATGCATAAGTCCTTACATCAAAGAAATGTGAATTATAAAGTATAYGAGCTWTTTATGCAATWCATGAAGTGCAAAATTRATAGAAAATTATTGTTGGTAATGGAAGAGAGGCTGTAGCACAGCTCATCAGAAAGTGTTCAAACAAGTAWATCAGTTTCTTTAAATATCAAACAACAATCTTGTATTCCTTTAAGGAACTCCTCTGAAAAYTGCAGTTATACTTTTGACCTTGAATAAAAAGAGTCTTTAAGCCAGTATGCATACATCTACCTGCAGTTACTCTTTTCCATCAGTGAAAAATTACTTGGTGGAAAACCTAAGACTTAGTTTTGGACATGCTCTTCTTGCAGTCCAAAACTATGAAGGCATTGTTTTGGTTCCTCTCTCAAGAAATTTTTAGAAAAACTACATTTGCATCCAGTTTGAGGCACCATGTAAAGTAAGATGGTACTACAGCAAGGCTCATTACATCTGATAGCAACTGATCCTATATTGCAAAAACACAGAWCAGTTAGGGTTGGAAAAGAGCTTTAAGAKCAAGCCCAAGTGTAAACCTATCATCATCACCATATTATTCTAGCCCATGAAGTTTTYAAATGACTCTTGCGGAAGAAACGTCCTGTACCATAAACAGGAAGGTGAATTCCACAGAAATGTGTTGATGGTTAAGAATAAATTCAYTTCACAATTTATGATGAAAAGGCAGACAATAAAGAATTTTAAATGCATSAGTTCCAGCATATTTACTTGTCCCTCTTAAAACTCAGAAACAAAGCAACTGTCTTACCGGGCTGCAATAAGATCTAGAAGATGCTGCCACCTGTCATTGATCTTGCCAAGTTTGTAYTCAATCTCTGATGCCTTACTCTCATGGCTGGCTTTAGCAAGTCTCTCTCCCATTTGCTGAAGCTGGATTTTGTTCTTCTGGGCTACACCAATTTCCTCTTGATAATCCTAGACAGTMAAGAGCAATCATAAGACAGGTACTTATTCTAAATATACTCTGCTCTACACTACTGAAGGAATGATGTAAATACGAGTGAAGGTTTTTTAGTTGACCAGTACAGTGGAGTGACAACCTCTTACATATTTGATGGATAAACACAAACTACTACCAGAAGAATGAAAAAAACCACCCAACACAACCTGAAACACAATRCCTTCTATAAATATGTMTGATATCATTTAACTCATTACAGGYAATTATCATTCAACACTCAGCAAAGCATTCAGATGCCTCTGACTTTGTAGTCACTTAATTTTCTGGTATTCTGGGAGGTCCTATCTCAAGAAAGACAGGAAAATGCTGCATAGCAGRAGAACAGAAACACCAGAACACATCAGGGTGAGGCAAAACCTTAATTTCAGCTAATTCACAAACAAGTAAACAGTTAAAGAACAGCATGTAAGTGTACACTGTACCTTTTTAAGTTTCTCAATCATTTCTTCTATGAGGATGTCACCATTTTGAGACACCTTACTTTCCATTTGAGTCAGCCATTCACAGAGCTCCTTGTTCTTCTCGCTGAAGACAGCCCACTCATTCAGYCTCTCACTAACTTGTTGTCGACGCAAGGAGACCTTAAACCAGTTACASAGAGTAAATGAAAATGAAACAAACCCAGTAAATACATTTAAGACATGCTTAACACACTTTGCGCCTCAATGTGAGCTCCTCTAGCTTTGAAAAAGTGTTGCAGCCGCTTGCCATTAAAACAAACTGGAGTTGTACAGCAAGAACTTGCAAGACAGCCTGCATGTTCAGGGGTAAGTGCTGATCTCACATTTCCTGTTAGCCACATCCTATGCACAGACTGGGGCACCCAAGCGTAAAGCTCAGTAGTCTGTCAATATCTTGTTTCATAACATCTCTAACCTGAAGTTTTCATTAGAAGATAAAATTGTATTTTCTTACAATTCTTGCTCACTTATAGAATTTTGTAAAAYATATTAGTGTATTTTTGATCTAAGAGATTAAATTAAAAAGTAAATTAAAAATGCTTCACCAAAGCATAAAAAAATAGATACAGACGTAGTATAGGCCAAACTCCAAAAGTCTGTGTCATTCATGCACAAGCATGAGTACCATGTTAAATCCAAGATACACTGTATTTTGCAAAAATATATTTTACTTGAGTCCAATACACTCATTTCATAGACAACTATTTCCTGTGGATAGGCATGACATCTTGAGGGATCCCAGGATTGAGGTGTGCCCTGACAGGAAAGAAAAGGCATGGCACATCAAACAAGCAAGTACAGCAGTTAAAACAGAAGGAAGGAAAACATTGCTGTGTTTAAGAAATAGCAGAACCTGTGGTACCATCTCAGAGTGCAAACAGTAACAGTCCAAGATGGACACTGAAATCAAAATAACAGCACAGATTGAGCAAAGTCATCTCTCCAGTTTCAAACACTGGTACAAGTACTTACTTCCTCCCCATTGTRATCTGGGTTATTTCTGACTTTACACCATATATCATACTTCATATCATGTACCATAATTTCAAAAGATGAAGACTGCATCTGCTCTTTCACAAATTAATGTATGAGCTTTTTAACTACTGTGTTAGGTTTAACAGGTGCATACAGGTGATCTTGCTTTTCCTTTCTGAGATTCTAAATGACAGCTTTCCAGAAATGAGTAGCAGATGAATGAAGGGTTGCACTAGGTTACATCCTTAAACACTGAGCATGCTCAAAACTAAGACAGAACTTCTTTACTTTTACCATATACATGCATTGACTATATCATAATTTAGATGTGTCCACWTTGGTTCATTCAAATGCAAGTAAATCATAACAAGTTCTCTGTTGCCAACTGTGAAGCATTTTTTCTACTTTGTGGTTAGTTAGCCCCAGCATATGTGGACTGCACTCTTCACTAAACCACATCAGGAAACTCTGAAATCATCAGGAATCTCTACTGAAATGACATCAGGATAATCTGAAAAGCTGGGTAAGGAAGACTCCACTACCTGGAGGGCAAAACAGAGGCCAGAAGCACATTAAAATAGTGTGATGCACCTGAAAAAATAAACCAATACTCCTCAGCTCATTTTGCAGGCAAGCAAATCACCCTCAGACTAAAGGAAATGCAGACACCAATGTTTGAAAGAAAAGCTATGAGCAGAACTGAAGGTACAATAGGGCAATACTGAATGGGGAGGAAACATCCTTTCTGAGCACCRAAACAAAGTAGAACTGTAGTATTTCTATGATTTTTTCCCAGCCAGCCATGCCAAGTCCCACAGCTCACAGTGCGACTTTTTTAATTTTTCAAGGCTGTTTAAATATGWCCTCACAGCCATTATAAAGTTCAAGAGCTCTAGAAACACTAGCAGTAACTAAAGCAATATTTCAATCAATGTTTCCCCTGACTCAGAAAGAATTCACTTTCGAATTTAGGTGTGTCRACATGAATCTCTTCTAAAAGTTTTCACTTGGATTCAACTGTTCTCCTGGCACTTTAGTAGCATTCRTACTGCTCCCATCAGTGCTCAGTGCTGCACTTGCCTGGTGGCAMAGCTCCTCCCACTGCCTGTGCAGGAGCTCTATTCGCTCACTGAGGATTGAGATATCATCTGCGCTGATATATACAGACAAGGTCTCCTTCAGCAGGGAGAGGTGAGCAAGGTCATCTGTCCAGCCTTCAACAGCATTCTCTAACTCCTTAAAAGAAGAACATAAGGAAAAAGAACCAGATTGATAGCAAATAATAATTTGAGTACATTGGTGAAACAKACAAGAAGTGTTATTCCACTGATTTAAGTCATATCTGAGCAGACCCACCATGTCAAGCAGACTGTTTCAGCCCCATTTCAAAGAAAAAGAAAACATCAACCCCAAATGTATTTTTAGAGTTATGACGCTATTAACTCCCCAGTACAGAATGATTCATCAGCCTTATAACAAGAAGTTGCAAGTTAAGACACTRCTCAACTCTCCAAAGTCCAAAGGTATCTGGAAAGTTCAAAAACTGRTTTGGACTCCTCTGTATTGAAAATATTTTCAAGTGGTAATCCACTTCTAAAATGCCTAAAAATATTGTCTAAAATCCCCCATGGTCACTTCACCTCAAATAAAAAGCACTAAACCAGGAGCTCAGGTATCATGAGTTTATGTTTGAGGTTACAATTTACATTATAAAATTACATCAATACAGCCCTACTGCAGTATTTTTCAGACTCTGCTCTTGTACCACTTYGATCAGATCTATATTCACTATAGTGAGACCACCCTGGGATCATGCTATTCATGTTACACGGATAGTTTCTTGTCATGGGGATGCCTGACTGGTTTGCACAGTCAGTAACACAAAGCAAATTAACAAGGAAAGAGGTTATTGGACAAGGGCAGGCAAAGATGAGACAACAATCAACAGAGAAGAAGTGCTTTACCTTGCAACGAATCTGCTCTGCATGCARCTCATCATGGTGATCTGGCAATGGCTGAGAAAGCTTTTTTTTGAATGATCTTAGCTTCTCCAGGGAGTCTCCTATGCCCTTTTCACATTTTTCCCAGTCCTGAAAGCAGAATGTTTATTAGGTTTCAGTTCTCATCTGTATTATACTTGTGTGAATTGACAGGCCTAAAAATAACATGGTCTGAAATCTCCCTCTARACAATATTCAAAGTCTCAGAGCTTGAGTCATGTGCAGAACTGTGTCAAATTTTTAGTGTGTAGGTCTCTCTTTGTAGAAATACACAAGGTCTTTTGTTATTAAAATCCTGTCTAGATCCAACTCCATCCTTTCAGGAAAATCTCTCCCTGACAAAATTAATTTCCCACTTCCTTTCCTGAATGCCTGTATTAAACCCAGAACTATTCTTTGAAAAGAGCTTCATTCAGGGGCATTAATCTCTGAGAACAAAAAGTGGTAGGGGAAACAGCAAATTCAGGACAGATTCAAGCAACTGTTATATCTACTTCAAATCAAGATTTTAGTAGCTATACCCAGCTTTAATGTTTGCATTCTTTCCAAAATTTTTAATGTGTCCATTGCAATCAAACCATGTCAGGGGACAGTATGGTTTTACGTGCCTCACCTGCTTGAAAAAACCTTGTAAGAAGACAGAAAGATCTCTAATAAGCCAGTCAGCCCAYAAAGAATGCCAGTGGTGTGATACCAGAAAATACAGAACTTGTCCTGAACCTTTCACTGCATTGAAAATTAGTTTTCTGTTTCAAGATAATCTCCTTATACCACTTCCTTTGAATTTCTCTCCTTCCTTTTTTCCCAGTCTATCCCAGTATTTYATGATCATCTTGATGAAGAATTACCCTGATTAAAGAATATGACCTGGCGTGACAATAGTCTGTGATGCTCATAACACTCTTCCCCTGTTTCAGCATGGGGTCCCTCCCACAGGACAGAATCCTCCACGAACGTCTCCATGAGATCTCCCTATGGGCTGCAGTTCACAAAATGCTCCAGAGAGAGTCCCTTCCATGGATTGCTTCCAAACCCTAAGGAACAGACTGCTCCAACAAGGCTCCGGCACAGGGTCCAAGTCCTGCCAGCAAAACTGCCCTAGTGTGGGCTTTCCATGGGGTCACAGCTTCCTTTGGGCACCCACCTGCTCTRCTGTGGGTCCTCCACGGGCTACAGGTGGATGTCTGCTCCACCACAGAACCCCATGTCTCTACCATGGGCTGCAGGGTAACCTCTGCYCTGGYCCCTGGAGCTCCTCCTCCCTCTCCTTCACTGACCTCGACATCTGCAAAGTTGCTGCTGTCACATTCTCTCGCTCCTCTCTCTGGAAGCAATTGCTCCTGCACAGTAATTTTTATTAAAATTTCTTTTCATCTTCCTAACTGTGTTATCCCAGAAGCACTATCACCATCACTGCTGGGTTCAGCTCTGGCCAGCAATGGGTCCATCATGGAGCCAGATAGCACAGGCTCCATCAGACACAGGGGAAGCTTTTGGCAGCTTCTTACAGAAGTTATCCCTGCAGCTTCTCCCTAGAAAAAACTTCACCACTCAAACCCAATAAAAGTATAAAAATTAACCAAATTTGTGCAATTAAAAAAAAAAATGTTTATCTATTTTGAAAGTAGGAGTAGTAGGATATACTTTATCAGCAGTATTCTGGAAATATAAGTTAAAATATATCAACTAGCAAGCCTGTTGTGAAGTAATATCAACGCTCCTAAGTTTCAGAAGTGGTGAAGGGAAATTGTTATTTCATGTCCTGTACATGCAGTTCCTGATTTGTGTTTGTCCACTGAGAATGCTTTCCTTCATCAGGGCTCACAATGAGAAAACACAAATATGCTGAAGAAGTACAGAAGGAATSGCATACTTACCTTTAGCAGCAAAGCAACCTGTTTCTTCTGTTGCTCCAGCTGAGTGCTAACCATCTTCCAGCGCTCCTGGATTTCAGTAAGCTCTGCCTGCAGGASTGCCTCAGCTGCACTGTCAGCAAAGAGCAGCAGTTGCTTCCCAGCTTCCACAGTGAGGATGTAACTCCCTTGCTGCCTTAAGAGAACTTTCTCTTTAAGCTGAAAATATTAATAGTTTTCTGTCAGCTTTGTCTTTTTAATTACAATTAGCAATTCAGTAATTCAAACCCATATTTTAATTGGTTGCATACTCTGTGTTCAACATGAGCTATGGCCCAAATGCTTTACCCTAACATTTTCATAATCATTTACTGCAGCAGACCTTTAGAAAATTTCTCCAAGGAGATAAAAGACATGAAACACTTCTTTCTCCCCATTAGTGTCAGCATCTCAATTGCTCTTAAAGAGAAAGGGTTCCTCTACAGCCTGTTATCCTTTTAAGCATTATTGTAATTATATCCATCTTCCAGCTATAAAGCTTGATGACACCAAGCTGCTTGCTTGATACTGTTAACAGCCCATGAAGATGGACTCAAGGAATCCTTGTTATCAGGTATACATTCCTCACACAGGTCATCACCATCTTTTCAAGACTGTTTCAGTGTGACACTGGCGGAAAGCAAAAATAGAAGCAAGCAAAGCTTGAGAGTGGGGGCCCAGTAAATTCTCTTTTACATGTTCTCCATGAACTCCAACTTTGCTTCCATCACACTATTRCTTCTGATGTAATGCCAGTTCTTAAGAGCTGGCAGAGCAGATAGGCTGAATCTAAGCCTTTTTAAAGAACGCTTTAAGTGTTGAAGACTACAAAAAAGGCAGGGATTTTTTTCCTTTTTCTTCAAACACACTGGACATACCTGCACTTCATCCAGCAGTGCTCTTGCTTGCTGCAGTGGGATAGGAACTCTGCCCAGCTCAGTCACTGGCTGACAGGACATTTCCAGCAGCCACTTGCGCAGCTTCTCCGCCATCTCCCTGTAGCGCTGGCACTGCTGAATCCGGCTGTCAATGATGCCCCTCATCTGCTGTGCCCGGCGAATCACTCCTTGCCACTGATTGCTCAGAAGAGTCAGATTCAGATTAAATTCATCCCTATTGTAAATAGAGAAATAATAAAAATACAGAGTGACCTTCATACTTCAATATATTTGCTTAATGAATAAACTGAAGGGAAAAAGAAGGCRCCTGTCTGTCAATTACAAAACACTTAGAGAAAAGCACAGAAGTCTCATGAAGGCTGACTGAGGATAAGAACTTCACATACTGGGAGAATTAAAGGGATCCAATTATTGAAACCTTAAAAACCCCAAATCCCTAATGCACCAAACTCTTCTACCTTCTTCCCAGAAATACACAAAGAAAACCCACAGGTTTTGCTATCTTGGATTAATCAAATTCAGAGCAAATCTTGAAGACTTCACAATTCACCCYCCCAGATTTACTACTGAATTTGAAGCAGGCATAATATACACAAAACATTCAAACAATTCTCACATTCCAGTAAACAGTTCATCTTMGAACTTTAGCAAAGTCAATGTACATGCACAAGTGTGAAGCCACTGGTGTTCCACAGATTTTCATTTATTTGACCCCAAGCATTTAAAATAAAATCCCAGGCAACAATGATTTCCTACTCAATCACATTAAGGCTGCAGGTGTTCTTATATGGCAGAAGGGAATCCTCCTGGCAGAGGCAAATCCCCAGGCGGCACAAATCAAGTGTAACCCACTAAATGTGTCACTGCAGGCTCCTTTGGTGAAAGTGACATTTTGAAAATACATCAAAATCGATATGTATTTAACACACTTGATAATCCCAGACAAATCTTTGTCAGAGAAGCAGCCTGCTTCTATTCCCAAACGCGTTCACATACCTTGTAGCGTTCTGAAGAACATTGTCTTAAGATCWGGCTAATTAACAGCTTAACCACAGCAACAGTGGCTTCCACTTCAGAAGAACAYGATCTGAGCACTGCCATCTGCTACCTTCTCTGTTTGGAAGTCTCCCACTACCCTGAGTATTACTTCACATACCCAGCAGCGGCAACAATACAGCAATGCCTACCTGTCATCCACCTGTCCTTGTTCTAGGAGGTGCTGCCCATCAGAGATAATTGAATGYAAAATCTGCTGGCGGCTGAACATCTCTGCCTGGAACAGCTGTTGTACAGGAGACAAKGATGTTAAAACAAGATCTTACATTTTCATTTTGTCTGAATGCACTGATAAAAGTGAATTTTCATGTATTTAATCTCACGTCAGATTAATTCAATGGGAGCTTTGTCATGACCTTAATAAAAACACACTGAAAACTCTCCTTTTAGAGTTACTTTCTGCTTCTAGTMATTATTATTAGTTCCTCGAGACCAATATTATAAAGCTAAATTATATAAACTGGAGCTAGRTTTTATGTTTCTGAGTACAGTTGAGTGATTGACATTATAATTTACAACAAAATCCAGATAGGGTGTTTTTTGCTTGGACAGAAAGGACAACTTTTATTTTTTGACATATTTAAGAATTTTATAATGTTTTGCCTTGTTACACAGACCATRTATGATAGCATTATATAAACTTCCAATACACTTTTACATTGCCAATAGAACTTTAAAACAAACAGACATGTACAGGAGCTAGAAATAAATTTTCCACTTCCAAGTTTTCATATTTATTTTCCAATTTTCCCCACAGGCATAATAAACTTCCACAATACTTTTAAAACTCCCTTATTACTTTAATGTTACTTAAGACAAAAAATTACCTAGGTACTACTTAAGYAAACATAATTCAAGTGTATATATATTATACCTAAATTTGTTTTTAAAAACRCCTTTATTTTAATAATGGACCATGTAAGATTCTTTAGGAATAATWTTATGTTCATGAAGGCACACTCAGGCATCACTGGACTCACTCTATGTTCAAAAGGTTTACAGAGAGATTCAAAGAAAAAGTGCACTGGTAYGAAGCTTAAGATTTTTTTCCTTTGGTTAGTGATGGCATTTACAGTTGACAGAAGTTCTAAACTGAGAGCCACTGTTCTCCAAGTCTAGGCCACTCCTGTTACACGGCTTCTCACCAGCTCAATTTGTGATTGTACCAATTCCTGCATCTGCAACTGCCAGCAAAACACCCACTGGCACCTGCAATTGAAATCCCTCAAGCACATTGTGTGCGCTTGTTTAGGACTTTTAGGAGATGCAGCAGTTTTTAAATAAGAGATTTTGCCTCTCTGAATCACTGAGTTAACTCTGAAAATGCTACTCAGGTCATAAATTTTTCCACAGAAAGAAACAGTGTTGTCTGATTTCTTTGCAGAAATATTTGATGCTGTTCTTTGAATACTTTGGCACTTATCAATGGCTGAGCGTGAATCAGAGGGAGACTGAGTGCCATTATTATCTCATGAATGAAGACACAATAGTGTGGCACTGAGAATTTCARAAAGCTGAGCAAAAAGGCAGAACTTTTACTTTCTGTAACGTCTATTTTTGTGAAGTTAGGGAACATGAAGCACAGGAGGCACCAGCATCTACCAGCACTGTTGACAGATAAAGACTGAACAGAACACAACTGGCTGCAACTGGTTAAATAACTCCCCTATGCCACAAAAAGCCAACCTTCACCCACCCCTTCCAAAAAAAAACCCCAAAACCCGAAAACAAAGCAAAACTAAAACCCAGCAAAACCAATTCCTCCAAAAGGGAAATTTTCAATACTTTTTTTAGGAGGGCAGGTGAAAGAAAAACMTATCAAGCTTGAGGAACTGCTTAGAGTGGATGTACTCAAGCTCTACACAAAAGTAGAGATATTTTGGACACCATSCACTTCTTTCCCCTATGTACACTCTGTTCATAAGAGGGATACTCCTCTTACCTGGGACCACTTGTCACCCAAATTTATTCTCATATGTAGCTCACCATGAATCACAGAAATAGAAATTTAAAGGMGGAGGAAAGGAAGGCAAGTGTTGAAATACGCAACACCAGCATACTGGAAAAAAATTTAGTAATTGAGTTGGCAARGAACTTCCGTCCCCTTCCCCTGCCAACACTTTCTCAAACGTTTCTCAGTGAATTCCCATTGCATGGGTGTCCCAAGCACTGTCCCATGTTCTGGAGAACTGTGCAAGAGCGATTACAAGATCATCCTGAGACTGAAGCAGATGTGTGTTAGCATGAGTTGTCTGAAAAAGATATCACCTCCACCTTGCAAACGTCACTGGGAAGGTATTTCTAAAGAAGGCCACTGAGGTGGTTTGGGTCTTCTTTGGATAAACACCAGCAAAGTTATGAGTCACTGGAAAGCTTATGACAGAGCTGGAAGCATTTCAATATCCATTCTCGGAATTCAAGTGGAAACAGAATATTTTCTATTTATTTAAAAAAAATACAAAGCAAAACAATGTGGAAATACATCTCAAGAAGTTGAGATTTGACCCCTTCAGCCACAAGGAGTGGAAGGAATATTCTTTGTGACTATCAGGAAGCACTGCAAAGGACTTTTTTATAATCAAAATGTGYTCATTACACAAAGTCAAAAGTTAAAGGACTTAAAAAAAAATAAAATCAGGTTACTTTTTTTTTTTTTTTTAGGCTGAACTGCAGTATTCAGAAAACCAGATATTAATTCTCTTAATTCTGAGATGACTTTATAGTTGCAAAAAGAAATGGCTTAAACAGAGTGCCCAAGTAACACCCATCTCCTCAGATCAAGGTTTCAGGACAGAATTAAGCTGAGATCTCAAGACAAATGAATGCGAGAAGATTGCCCTCCCTTCAAAAAATTATAGCTATGACTAGACACAACAACAGTAGGAAATCATGCACTTAGTAATGATTTCTGGACATTCACATCTCAAAACCTGTGATGTTTAAACTTACAATGAGATTGTCCAGTTAATGCTGGCAGAATTGAAAGAAAATGAAATGGATGACCTTTGTGAAAGCAAAGACAGTTTGATGCTAAAGCAAATGTATGCTAAAAATGGTTGTGAATTACTTTTTGCTATCAGACACTCATTCAAACACTATGCAGTGAGACACAAGGCAAGAGAAGGGGAAGGACATAATTCTTCCTGTAATCTGGCCTGAGTCTAGGGGAAGGTCAGCTGAAAAAGTTGTGGGAACTGAAACTACTGCGGCCACATGGGAGCTCTGGTATGAAAATTGACTTTTACTTGATCTTTACCAGGATTCTTGGCAGTAACAATATGGGTGGATAAAAAAATGCGCACCACTTGACTTCACAGAAGAGCAATAAACTCGGAATCKAGTACTAGTAAAAACTCTGAATCAGTTTTTCCCTGAAGCAAAAGCTGTGCTAGTTCTTGATTTGTTATAAACAGACAAATGACTCCATCATGCAGCAAAGCCCAAATCAGTTTGTTCTCCCAAGAAATGTTATCAAATGGAGGCCCCGTGGTGAATTACATAAYACAGTATTTGACAGAAAACTTCCTTCAACATGCTATTCTAAGGCTACATGCATTGATAATTTAGTAACAAATGAACAAAATCAGAATAGAGATTTTCTCCACTTATGAGTGAAGACAAAGAGTCAAATGGCACGAGAATTGTTAGGTTTTTATAGGAGCTTTGGCTTCCTCAGTACAAACCAATCTGAAGTAGACTAAATGTAGGGGACACTCACTCATAGGCATAGTGATGCATTATACGCAAACACAGACACTCCAGTCCTCCTCCACACTGGTTATTACTGACAAATCTGCATGCTTCTTTTTTTTAAAGTTATCCTCATGGTGCACACAAACGCAGTTTGTGAATGATACAATGCTATTGTATCATTCAAAAAAAGAATGTGCATTCCTTCTATGTATAAACTGTATGTATTTTAGCTATRTATACAAATACATGGTTACTTGCCTCATGCTCCCTTTGCTGCTCTAAAAGCCTTTGGTAGTTTCCTGAAACCTCTACTGCCAGCTTCTGCTCAGTCTGAAYTAATAAATCCATCCAAGTCCCACATTTCTCCAAGAAGGTCTGCTGTTGCAGCAAGAAAGACTGCAGCTTACTGAAAGAAAAAAAGAAAGAGACATGGATTCAGGTAGTTCCAAATACTAATTTTCCGCTTAGCTGCCTCATTCAATTTATTTAGTCAATACTTGGAAAAGTAGCAGTCCTGCTCATTTCAAATCCTGCTAATTTGTGGCAAAACCATCATCTCAGCTCAATGCTTCACTTCTAAGCACCCCAAAGAAAAGGAACTTTGGTTAGTGAAATACCTGAAACATTTTCTATATTCTGCAAAACATATACTTTCTAACATCTAATCGAGGAAAACTGTAGAATAATCTTTATTTATCCCCACCTGAATCTCTCTGTAGTCTGAGATGAGACCACAGACCAATGTCTGTTCAGGTTCTGCATCCTTTTGATTTCTTTGTCATTCAGAGGAAGCCTGTAACCCAGCTCATTAAGAYGGTCCAAATCTGGGGTCATGCTGCTGAACTTCAACATTTGACTCTGCAAYAAGCAATAAAATTGATAACTGGGAACTTCAGGAGTTACATTATTATTCACTTCAAAATTACAAGCCAGCACTCTGTTAAATTTAGAATAGCCTTGGTTGCCACCAAGTGGTAAACAATCTCTATGCCAGGGAAAAATTGCCTTACCAGTTTTCAACTTCTGGTGCAAACTGTGTTCATGTTTAAATGTGTGCAGAGAAGTATATTCAAATTRCAYTGAAGTGTTTTGCTGAATTGGGGATTCACAGCTCAGGGCTGCAGAAGTAGGCTAGAGTTTAAAGTCATATGTTTGTACTGTCAAAATAAGTGAGCCTTTTTCTTTGCTTCTCAGCCTGAATTCTAGGCTGGTAAATTCCCATTGAAACTACTCAACTTTTTATTTTTAGGTTTTTGTTTTGCAGTAGAGAAATACAGAAATACTCGATTCACTGCATAAGGAAAATGCCCTGCTTTTTAGTATGTCCAAAGTGGAATTCCATCTACAGTTAATCATGACAGAAAAATGATGGAAGATTAAAACAGAAACAGCCTAGATTGCAAAGTTCAGCGACTTCCGGTCATGGTCTCTGAAAGAAGGGGAAGGAAAAAAGAAGCTCCATAAAAACAAAGTGTGCAAGACTTCAAATAGAGATCACACATTATGAATGTTTCAATGTATATCAAGTTACCCAAAATGTATAAATTACTTCATACCTAAATGAGATAGCACYGAGACAGGAACTGAATAAATACAAAAAACATTGCGAGAAAACAAGATGAAGGAAATCTCCAAAAACGGCTAAAGTTTCCATTCCCATTTTGATCTGTTATTAATTGTATTCTGAACAGTTTGACTGGCCTTTTCATCTTTGTTCAAGGGGCAATGTGACAATCATCCCTTAACTGCCATCCAACTTCAATTTCTCAATCTTACACTTTTCATCAGTGATAGCAATTTCCTACATCCAGAACGCATGTATGATATCTGTGCATACCCTGGACTACAAATAACCAGGACAAAAGAAGAAAAACCCCAGTACTTCCTTCGCTTTTTAGTTACCTTGAGTTGCTCCATTCTGCTCTGGATTGCCGAGATGTCAGATGAGTGACTGGGATCCTGTTCTTTCAATGTTTCTTCTGCTTCTGTTATCCAGGCCTCRAGGACTTCCAGGTTCTTGGCAAAGGTTTGATAGTCCAGGACTCCAGCCTTGAACACACAAGGATCCACAGTTTAATAACTCTGGCTTCACAGCCTCCTTATTGACATTACACTCCTGGTTATTCTCATTATAGACTTGCAAACAGTTGAATTAGCCAGTAACAATTGTAACTGCTGCATTGCTTCCAGACTGTGGAATCACTTGGATTTTTTTTTAGGTTAGAAGAAGATTTTTGATCGTAGCAAAGGGAACATTTCAGCAAAATGCATAAATATGTCCTTACCTTGAAGTAGATAACCTTTTCTAGCTTTCTTTTATGAAAGCAACTCCTCTAATTTATCACCAGCAGAGAGAACTAGTCACTCTTAGYATAATTTAAAAAAAAAAATTCTCATGCTTTGTCTCCTCACAATGCTATAAGTGCATCCCAGACACTGCTGTATTTCTTGGGTAAATCCTCTTTCTTCTCAAATACAAGCTGCTACCCTTGTGGCTTTTTCAACCAAATAGTTTTCTGTGGAATTCATTCTTCCACTCCTTTTTTCTCTTTAGTCCCTGGTGACAMAAGCAATTTGGCAACATCTACTAAACAGGCTTTAACAGAAATAATAGGTGTCAGTCTGCTCACTGACATTAGGAGGAACCACAAAAAAATCAATTCTACACAATATTAAGSATCTCTCACTTCTTATACTGTTAARTAAATAGGTGGRAAGAGWGCTTTTCYTCAGGGGAGCAGTAGCTGTGGATCCAGCTGTTAGCACTATTGTTGTGTGCAGAAAGCACAGCCACCATGGCCATCTTGCCATTCCAGACAGCTGTTTTCCTGCATGATGTTTGCTATCCTTTTCCCAGAATTTGGACCTTCTTACAAGGTCTCTGYGCTTGACTTGAGCATATTTTCTACTTGCAGCTTTGGTTTCCAGGGAATTCTAAGAAAGGCTGAAGAACAGGCAACACTACCCTCTTTTCCCAGGCTATTTAGCTAATTTATGTGTTTTCAGGTGCTCCAGGATGATGTAAACACTGTCTGCATACCTGAAGTGCAGCCTGCTGCTTGCGGAGAGCCTGTTCTAGGGCTGACAGATTCTGGTTCAGAGACAGATGGTCAGACTGGATGGCTGCTGCTGCCGAAGCCTCCACCTGGCTTTTCAGCTCCTCCCCCAGTTCCTGAAGAACAACCAGTGACTCCTGCGCTGTTTTCAAATCCGTGAGTACATCCTGTGGCAACACATTGAATACAGACACGAACAATTAATGTGACATTCTGGTGATGTCATCATCCTCTGAATTAAAGGAAGAATGAAATCACTGAACTCCAGCACTACAATAACTTATATTTACTACTACTTTTCAATATCAAAGTTTCAAGATACATTCTGTGTAACATGCAGAATAAAAAAGGTATGTCAAAGTACCTATGCAGAAACAAACAGATAATAGACACTGCTCAGCTACCTTTGAGCAAGCCTGACTTACTGATGAGGAAATAATTGTTGAAAGAAGCCTTTTGAATTTACTGACATGATGGGCCCTAAGCACTAGCAGCCCTTACTGTGAATTGATTCAGGTGTAGACCTCCCTTTTCTTCCTGCTATGGTTTACCAGGAGGGCTGAAAAAATAACTTTTGCAAATGGCCTAACATAATGGTTAAAGAATGGGACCTCAGGAAATAAAATTATTTTAACTGAACAATTTGAATTGCCAGTCCATGGTGCCTGACCATGGCAGCAAAGGCTCCAAAAGATCACGAATATGTTTATTTTTTTAATACTAACATGTTTATTTTGTTCATTGCATTGGTTTGCTTACATTGAGACAATATTTTATTTTTTTGGTCAATGACAACTTAAGCGCAAAAGAAGCAGAATGTAAGCACAGAGAGGAGATAAACTATTCTGCTGCCTTGAAATACAATCTTGAAAAAGGAAGAACCTCAAGGTTTCAGAGTGAATGGTGCCCTTCCATAAGGCAGGATAAAGACATCCCCATCATTCTGAAAATGCGAATGGTCTTGGTTGGTGGGAATATGGTCAAAGGATTTTGTTTCTTTCTATTATAAGGAACTCAAAGGACTTGGTAGAGATACTTCCCCAAGCAAGAATACCTTCATTAGCAGCAACTTAAGGCTGAAACACATTACGTAATTTATCCACTTTCTCCACAGGGAAGACTTTAGATAAAACCTTCTGAACACCACAACTACTAATGAAGGGATCAAAATTTAGAGACACTCATGAAATCTGGGTAGATGTAAAGCTGTCTGTCCTGTGCCTAAGCTGCATCAGTAAAATGAAATATGTTAGTACACAAAACTCCAAAATACCAACTACAGAGTTTAGTAACAGAGAACCTCTTGAGATTTGTTTTAGCCCACAAAGCTGAGAAAACCTGCAAAGCTCAACTGAACATACATTGCAGTCCTGGATCCAGGTAGTAACTTCATCATCAGCGATGTCTTTGCTGGTGGCAGTCTTGAGGAGTTCATTGGTCTGCTCTTCCCGCTGATGGACSGTGGAAGAGCACTGCTGGTAGCAATCCTTGTACCTCTGCCACAGCTGCAACAGGGCCCTGCTGGCACGCAGCCGCTCTGCAATCTCCTGCAGAAGGTTGTTCCACCTGGTGAAGAGACTGAATGAGTGATCAAAGCCCRGGAGCCCACAATAACTACACACAGCCCTCTTCCTCTCTGATCTTTCCCATAGTCACTTGACTTTTAAAAGATTTGGTAATAATCACGATCCAGACATTTGTTGGAAAAAAACCAAAAAAACAACAGACCAGAAATATGCTGCCAGACTGTTCTAACCTGTCACAGTGTGTCTGACCTGTGCTACATCTTGGATGCTGTTTATTAAGGCTGGTGTCAGAGCTGCAGCACAGGTTTTGAAGTGAACCTCCTGCTGTTTCCACTTAGTACCCCCAGCATCATGGAGCATCCGTGACCAACCATGCACTGCCACCAGCAGGCTCCTGCGAGGGCCTGAGTGTCCCAGAACAGGTGAAAACAAGAAAACATTTCTTCTCCTGCCATTTCCTCCTAAACTCTGACACAGTATTTGAAGTTAYAATGTTCTGTGTAACTTGGTTGTAAAATACTCCCGGACATATTAAAAATCTTTGTATTTTTACTATCCAATTAAATATCTATTYTCCCTTTGAATTCTTTCCTATAATTACCCCCCATTGAATTTTTGTTCTAATAGCAACCAGGAACACATACTTTCTCAAATGTGCTGGTCATTATCAAACTATCTAATTGCTTCCTTACCAAAGAAAATCACAATATTTCTCAATTATTACTATATTATGAAAAGCAAAGTTTTGGAAACAATTCTGCCAGCCATCGCTGAAACTTGAATTCTACAGTTTTTCAAAATGGGGTTAAATAGTCCTTCCCCTSACTTCCAGTTTCTAGGACAGGACTGAACACAGATTAAAATAAATTTGGCATGATTCTGTTTCAAAAAAAACCTCCAGCTTTCCACCGAACTAGTTTTTTTCTTTTGCATCCTCCCTTCCTGTATCTGTTCTGAGTAAACCCTTATATTGGYTCTTGCCTGAATTCAAAGCTGGGAAAGCTGTCAGCCAAGGTACTGGTGAGGAGCTTAGACCTTCCTGCCTATGACACCCTTCCTAAACTAGAAATAGCAACCTAAAATTTGGGGAACCTGATGCAAACCATTGAACCATTGCAAACAAAACTTTCAGACACAAATCTCAAATTTCGACTGCAGTATTATTTTCCAGCATGACATTTATGAATCTTGATTGGCAGTCAAGCATGGAGCAAAACTACTGACATTAATGTACAAATGCTCCCTGGAGAAAGTGTTTCATTTATTATGAGCTGTAAATGAGAGTTCTATTCCAGTTCTTGTCAAAAGGAGCAACCCTGCCTGTCCCAACACGCAGAAACTTAAAATAACAAAATATAATCAAAATAGGAATGATGGAAAACTTGGTAATGGATATATACAGATTTGCTGCTGAAATTAAGGTTTAACACACAGACATTTCCTACCTCATATTCACTTCTTTCAAAGTGTTGGTAAGTGTTTCAGTCACTGGTGGATGACATTCTTTCAACAATTCATTGGTCACAGAACCAAATTTCTGTAAGCTATTCTCTTGTTTTTCCAATTCATCTTGCAGKCTCTAAAGTAGAATAATAACAAAAGAAAACCATGAGGTACTAAAACTACATGATGCAGAAACATCTCAAAGTAGTATGTATCAATTGCATTAGATTATGAATCAAAACTTGATTTTATGTGTATTTCATATATGAGAGAAGGTTGTTTAATATAAAAATTGTTCTTAGATTAATTTGAATTTATATCAAATTTAACAAAAAGTAAATGATAACCTTGTAGTTTTGAAAAATATAAAAATCTGGTAAAAGACATCATTCTAAACAAGTACTTTTGTACAGAATGAGTAAGCACATGGACTGATTCAAAATAATAACAGATGAAAGAAAACTAATTAAATAACATTTTTGTGCTTAGAACAAGATTAAAAAGTAACAACGTAAAGAAAACCTTATTCTGAAAATAAGGCTATTATTATTAAAAAATAGTTTTTCTTCCAGTTATCATTCTGCAGTTGTCTGYTAGGAAAGTGTTTTGTCCAGCAGAGGGAAATGAGGCTGATGAGGGGACTGGAGCATCTCTCTCATGAGAAAAGGTTGAGGAAGCTGGCCTGATGAGCCCCAAGAGGAGATAGCTGAGAGTGGACCCCATTATTGTATATGAATATCTGAAGCTGTATTGCCAAGAAAATGAAGCCAGGCTCTTCTAGTGGTGATGGCCACTAGGACAAGAGGCAACAGGCAGAAATTGATGCACAGAAAATTCCACCTGAACATGAGAAAGAACTTCTTTACTGTGCARGTGACCAAGCRCTGAACAGATTATTCATAGAGGCTGTAGAGTCTCTCTCCCTCACAGAGGATGTTCAGGAACCATCTGAACACAATCCATGTGCTCTGGGAGGACCCTGCTTGRGCAGGGAGGTTGGACCAAGTGACCCTGTGGTCCCYTCCAGCCTKACCCATTGTATGGCTCTGTGAAAAGGCTCTTTTTCCTTTTCTTTAAACAGAAATACTTTTATGCATTTTATTACAGTTTGAACAGCCCAGCAAATCTCAGCCTGAGCTTATATGCAACATCTCAATCAGTGAGAAGTAAGTTGCTGTATCTATTGTTTTACCAACTCCTTGTTTCTAATGTGTAAATAATTAAAATCTAGAAGAATGGMTGTAAAGTCCATTCTTAGGCTCTCTTTAAACTCTGGTTTAAAGTGCTGTCCAAGCTTAGATAATTTGGCTTTATAAATGTTTGGACTTCAAATCACACAAATATTTAAATTATAATGGAAATTTAAATTTTCTGGTAAACACTAACAGAAGACCAGAATAAGAACAAGAGAAGTTCTTCTGCAATGGGCATCTGGAATGCTTGCATAGCTATATTTTATTTCAAAGATGACAACTTTCTTTGAGATAAAAAGGTTTTTCTATGTAATAGAAAAATAATTTGAATATTTTATTCAATTAAATTATTGCAATTAACATTAGTTTATAATTTTATACTATGAGTCTCATTGTATTTTGTGCTTTTCTTACACATTATTTGAACACATGAGTATCTCAGCATCTGGATCATTTTTTTTTTTTTGATCATCAATCTACTGCGAGGATGGAGGGGGGTAAAAATGTGAACTCAACATGTGCCTGTAGCTCTGAAGTCCGATGAAGTAGCATGAGAAACTTTTGTTTTAATGGCCATTACCATAACTTAAAAACTTGTAACAATTTGATGGTATGGCTCAAAATTATAAAGAATGACATCTAGTATCTAAAAAGAAAAACAACTACCCCAATTTTATTTTTCTGCAACAAGAAAAATGCAATTTTTTGGCTGGTTTATAATGTGTTCTCTTAATGTCATATGATTTAAATGTGCCATTGTGTCTGTACTTCCACTTCTTACAAACCAAAATGTACAATTATCTGCATCCATACAATTTCAGACAAAATTGACTCTTTTCACCTGAAGRTTATCAACTTGGACTTTGACAGCTTCCAAAGAACCAGTAAGAAGATAAAAACGGGACAAAGAATATCTGGCTTCTGTCAGGTAGCTGTTCAGCTCTTCATAGGCAACTTTGTAAATGCTCCATTGATCAAGAACAGATTGTAACAATATCTTCAGTTGGCTAACCTGGGAGGAGGGAGATATAAACAGGAAAGTGAATAAAAACCATTCAAGCACTTTGGGATTTGTTTAAATTACTTTATTCCTTGGGATCTCACATGTTTCTTGTCCTACATGCCTGATTTTAAACCTACTGGAGAATGAAGATTAGGTACAACCATCAGCTGGGCTTAAACTGGCAACAGCATAAAGTTCTGCTTGATTTTAGAAAGGTTGGATGAAATGGACTGGAAAGATACCAAGATTCATTTTACTTTGRTCTACAGCAGGATCAAAAGAAATTGCTTGAGCCTACACATATCCCTAAGTCAGGCAAATCAGCCTATGGAAGTCAGCAGAGAGACAAACACTAACACACTGCGTTCCTCTTGAGAAGGCAGACTGATGTGGATCAAACTTTGAATTTGAAAATTAATGCTGATCTCTTYCTTATTTCATGAGACCTGTGGGCTTCAAATGTTAGTACCTTACAGGTAATTCGGTATGTTTACACTAAACTTCAGGAAGCATCTAAAAAGTTTCAATTACAATGATTAAAAGCATCATTGAAACAAGAAATAACCATTTTATGTGGGGTGTACACACAAACCTGGGCATTGATGGATTCAGAATCTCCTCCCCTACAGCACAGAAAGAATCCACCAGCTACAAATGCTAATTCTCCCTCTCCTCCATGCTTTATTCCTAGAGCTATATTTTGCTGTTAAATTATTATTTTACCATGTGATCCAGATTTGCCCAGGAATGGTTAATTTCTTGCAGTGTATTCATGACAGCAGAAGAGACTTCTTCTTTCTTGTTCTGTACCAAAGMAAGTCCACTCTGTTCAACATTTTCAACTTCTTTTTCCTTTGTTTTTATTGATTCTTCTAATTCCTGAAAAAAAACCAAAAGAAGAAACCTGAGTATTTTTGCTTGTTTGATTTTCTAAATAATACCTTGATATAGAAAAGATGCCCTTAAGCTCCTTAGTTTAAAAATTACGAAATGTGCTGGCATATTTTAAACTTTCATTATCACGGGATTCATAACTCATCAGCAATTTAACTGAATATTTTATGTTCCTTTTAAAGTCTAGTGGTTTGTTTTTAATTTAAATAAAAGTGGATGGGACCCTCATTTAACAGAGAGGAGCAGCCCCACACTAACAAGCCCTGGTCCTCATGGGGGACTTCAACCAYYTCAATATCTGTTGGAGGGACAAGACAGCAAGGTCTAAAAATTCAGAATGTTTCTGGAATGCACTGATGACAACTTCCTTCTCCAAGTGAAGGGAAGTTAATGAGAACAGATGCCATGCTGCACCAAGAAGAAGGGGCTGGTRGGGAATGTGAAKCTCAAAGRYAGCCTGGGCTGCAGTGACCATGAAATCGTGCTCAGTATCTTTGGGGTGYCAAGGAGGGTGTACAGCAAGCTCAGTACTGTGGATTTCCAGAGAGCAGACTCTGGCCTCTTCAGGAATCTACTCAGTAGAGAGAAAAATGCAGTGTGTCTTAATTTGTCCTAGAACACTGAGAGGGCTTTTCAGTTAGTCCAAAGGTGGCTCAAGCCTCTGGAAAAAATGCATTTTGTCACACAAGGAAAAGGACAAAATTGCTTTCTAGGGAAAGATGTCAATTTGCGACGACTCCTTACATGAARTGAAGTCTTTATTCCTTTGCCAGGTCCCAGCAAAGCCCCTTGCCTGAGGACATCAAGCCTTTCCACTTTCTAGGTGACAAGTRCATTGGAGTCAACCACTTACAACAAGCAACAGACTTCAGGAATTTTCCTTATTGCCTCCTCAAAGCTGCTTGCTGTTGGAAAGGGTTGACAGCCTTTTGCTCATGCCTCAATAGAATGAGAATGAAGACAGAAAATGAAAAACAAGAACACTTGGCAAGAAACTGTCAGAGACACAGCACGCTCCCATAAGCCCCTTCCTAACCAGGAARCCACCTATATAATTTCATAGCTTGGTGCAGGGAGAGCCAAGAAAGTCCTGCAGTGCTCTGACTCATATGGAAGCCCTGGGGCTCCAGGCAGTGCAAACGCTGAATCTGAGCAGARTGGGGATGTATGGCTTGTAGGCTTCAGGCCAGCACAAATTTGTGTTTATCTCTCAGTGTGATACAGAAAACAGACTTTGAGGTGACAGCTAATGTACCCCTACATTAGCTAGTACATCATGTGATCTCAGGTTATTTTTTAATTTTCTGCAAGCCTAGTGAGAGAAACAGATCAACACAGAAAGAAAACAATACCACAAAACTCTGGTCAACCTGAAAACCCAAGTCTTTCAAAAAATGTTGATCCCTGTGTATGCCAAAACACAACAAATGGACCACTGCCATATGAGACTTTAAATTTCAGATAGCTGAGAAAGTATTTGGAGCAAAATTCTAACCAGCCTTGCAAACACTTGTTATTAACAGAATTTATCTCTGCACAAATACAACACTTTTGACTATATACATATTTGTGAGAGTGTTTTTGCTGCACTATTTATTCTCAGCCTCTTTTTCTGTATTATTTCACCCAGCCATGACCTTGTTCTAGAGTAGAGCCAGAGTAATACATCATCTTTAACCAGCTGACAACAATGCAAACACTTCTATGTTGAACATAATAAATTAGACTTTACAAAAAGTGGATTTTTGCACTAAAATAAGTCATTGAAGTTTATACAAGGTTGCTCCAAAATTCAGAGTGTAAGACAAGCAAAAGTATCAAACACCAAGAACAGAAAAAGTTTCAAACACCAAGAAGAGCCTGTTGGAAAAGGGCTTTTTTATTCATCATTTAAAATCCATAACTGAATTAAAGATTCATTATTGTTTYTAACCTAAGATAGGAAAAATGGTTGACTTCACTTATTAGTATGACATTAAGCAGCAACTAACATTGGTTAATAAATAAACTCCAGCTTTTGTACTAGCTGAACCGGATATTTGGGAGGGCCCAACACAGCTATTTCAAACAATTTGTTTTTCTGCTGATCAAAGTCTTGCCATTCACAACTAACTCTCCAAGTGTATTTACTAACTTCCCTGACCAAAAGGAACCAAAAAGGTGATAAATCAGATTCAGCTTTGAACTCCAGCCAAGCACAGACTACTGGTTATGTCAGGCTATGCTAAAATACCCTTCCTTCAGTTTATTGCATAAGTTTATTGCACATAAACCATAAAGATACCTGAATTGAAACTAAGCACTCCAGACAGTTAAAAAACTTAGGTCAGGAACTTCAGAAGAAAATTTGACCTCTGATGTATCTGGCCTAACCACTCAGTCTGCCTTTACAGAATCCAAGACGGGTTTAATATACTGACGAATATAGAGTAAATTCTTTCACATATTTCATTTAAATAAATTTTCCAGCTGTTTGTGAGATGAACGCTAGATTATATTTTTCCCATTAATTAAATTAATGCAGGAAAGACTGCCACGTCAAGATAAACACACTTYCTCACAGCCTTTTATGCGGATGAGAACACCAAGTTGTTGTGCATTCAGTTGGCCTGACAGAGTTTTAATTTGATCCGRTGTGAAATTTATTATAAGGTATATGGTGGGACAAAGTACTTTTGAGCAAAAATTACGTGATGCCTGATACTGTGAAGAGGCCTTGTCTACAAATTCAAAAGCATCTGTTTTGCTTATACATCTGTAAATTTTAACTCTGGCCTGACAGCTCCAGAAGTAAGCTTCTTACAACTTAAATGTGTGTCACTCTGAGTAAGATGCTCAGAGACAACTAAGTGATACCCTGTTTACTGCTGTGTAGTCCTTGTATGAATTCCAGAGAAAAACTGTGGTGGTTTTGAACTTGTGTGCATTGTGTATAGCTGCGCTTTACCTCATCTCATCTATGCTCATCATAATCATGACTCTTTCCTTTTCTGGACAGTTAAGTATTTGGAAAAAAAAACCAACAAAAACTATTCCCAACTTTCTGAATGAAAGCATGAAACCTCCTTGGATTCTAGGTGGAACATATGAGGTGGAAAAAGAATGGGAAAAAKTGGGGGGTAGAGAAAAGACAGTGAAAAGAAGAAAAGCCCTTTAAGACTGGGTAAACAGATGTGACAACATATTCCTCTGACAGTCTTCCAGTTCACTGTGCCTGGCATGCTTTGAAATGTCCAGTATAAAAAATAATGATGACTTGGTTTTAAGGAGCTTTGAGACATCGTTGCTCCTTCCCCCTCTTTTATTGCTTGCACCTTAGGAATGAAATCTTTCCTTTGCTGAAGTAAAGACGAGTTCAGTCACTGATTTCACCAATACGAAGATTTCACATGGATTTATCAAGTGTTGTTTCAAACTCTTGGAAAAMGAACACTATGATTTACAAGCAGACATTACCTGACAGTCTTTCAAAGCATTCTGTACTGAAGCCTGGTCTCCAATCTTTTGTTGCTGTTTCAGCTTCCTCTCTTGAGTTTCAAACCAAGCTTTTAGACACTGCACATTATTTTCATATTCTGCCCAGGATTCTTGCAGACTCTCCAAGAGCTGGATCTGCAAAGAAAAATGAGTATATGCTTTTTCAAACAATTATTCTTTTTGTTGGGTCAATTAAATAAATCAATGAAGAATGATGCAAAGCAATGCCTTCTTGGAATTCAGTGCTTTCAGAACTTGAAAACAGTACGCATATTCAAACTTAGATATATCTAGTATTTTTAACAGAGTTAATTTTAACAGAGCTTCATTCAACTTAGGGAAAAGAGGGCAAAGGAATCATCTCACTGCGCTGCCCACTCCTTATAGGGAGTCAGGAGGAAGATGGAGGCATACTATTCTGGGAGATAGACAACAAAAGGAGAAGAGATCACAGCCACAAGTTGAAACATGGGAAATTCTGATTGGGAACAAAACAAAAAACTTGTCCCCCACCAGACTGGGTAAGCATGAATGAGCTTCCTAGAAGAGTTTGTGGAAACTCTCCTTGGAGATTTTCAAAACTCAGATAACCAAGTCCCCATGCAATCTGATCTAACTGTAAAGTCAGCTCTGTTTGAGCAGGAGGTTGACCTAGATGACCTGCACAGGCTTCCAACCATTACAATCTTATCATTCCTACACATTTTGAAAGTTCAGAGCAGTTAGTTTTTTTTCTTTACCTTTTCTGTTATCAGTCCTTGCAGGATCTGCCAACGCCTGTTCATTGCTCCAAGCTGTTCTGCAAAATCAGTCTTGTCGCTGCGTTTGCTTTCGACATCCTGGCTGCTGATTTGTAGCACTGACTGGTTCACAAAGTCGACAGTCAACTGTTTGCAATTTAAATCTATCTTGAAACCCTGGAAGAAAAGAAGGGAATGAAAAACCCAGCATATAAGTACTGTAGTTTCTCACTTTCCTGTAAAACAGAAGAAAAAATGCTCACAAGCTACAACTTTATCACAATTTAACTGAAAGCAGTTTTTAGCAATTGACCAGTAATTAGAAACCACATCACTCCCACTGTAAGCAAAGGGCAGGTTTGGCACCACTTGATGAAGCTGAACAGGCACAAGTCCATGGGACCTGATGAGATGTGTCCCAGGGTCCTGGGAGAGCTGATTAATGTCACTGCCAGGCCACTTCCCATCATATTTGAAAAGTCAYGGTGGTCAGGCAAAATCCCCAACAAATGGAGATGGCGGAATATCTCTCCTATCTTTACAAAGGGAAGAAAGGAAGATCCGGGAACTACCGGACCGTTTAGCCACACTTCTGTGTCTCTGGAAGATCCTCATGGAAGCAATCTTAAGGCACATAGAAGTCAGAAGACAGCCAGAACAGCTTCACTAAGGGCAAATTGTGCCTGACCTGTCTGTTGGCCTTCTATGGAATGACTGCACCAGTCAACAAAAGAAGACTKACCAAAGCCATCTACCTAGAGTTCTGTAAGGCTTTTGACACAGTCCCACATGACATCCCTATCTCCACATTAGAGAGACATGGGTTTGAAGGGTGGATTACTCTGTGGATAAGGATTTGGCTGCAGAGTTGCAGCCAGAGGATTGTACCAGAGGCTCTGAGTCCAAATGGAAACAAGTAATGATTTTGGGATTGGTGCTCTTTAGCATCTTCATCAATGACACCGTGAGATCAAGTGCATCCTCAGCAAGTCTGCAGAAGACATGAAGCTGAGCAGTGCAGTGACACAACTAGAAAATAGGACGCCCTCCAGGGGAACCTGGACAAACTTGGCAACTAGGTCCATGAGAACATCATGAAGTTCAAGAAGTCCAAGTGCAAGGTGTTGCAACTGGGCTGGGGAGATGAACTCATTGAGATCTGGGKGTTCTCATGGATGAAAAGCTGGACATGAGCCTACAGTGTGCACTTGCAGCCCAAAAGGGCAACTGCAYCGTGGGCTGCATCAAGAGGAGTGGTCAGCAGTTAGAGGGAGGTGATTCTGCCCCTTTGCTCTGCTCTTGGACGACCTTTCCTGGAATGCTGCATCCATTCTGACAGATCTAATAAGGTTTAGTAACATGAATAATGCTTTGGATTTTCTTGGAAATTAAGGTAAGCATAGAAAAATTATATTCCAGCCACAGGGACAGAGCAGAGGAAAAGTAATTTTGGCTTCTTTTCCACAGTATCAATATTGCCCAATTCTAACTTGTGTACAATTCCAACCACTCCACAAAGTTGGCGTTTTTTTTCTCCTGGATCACTTATATTTTACATATGTCTACATATTTAATTGTTGTAATAACGGGGATTATTCAAAAGGAAAATTAATATTATTGCCACTTAGTACCTTGTACTTCTGGACATAATCCTGAATTGCTTTTTGTCCTACTATATTTTTTATGTTTTCTTCATCTTGCTGAATTACATTTTCCATCAGYGAAATCCAGCTCATAACTTCAGTGATGGCATGGCGAGAAGGAATTTTGTCCATCTGAAGCTGTTGAGATAACRAATTTAGAACTCATGTTGTGAAGAAAATGGGTAAGAACTTGCTTTGCATTGACAYAGTTTCAGTATTTGATAGAGCACTGCTTGCCTGCATGTAGTTATTGAAGGATGTGTTCTATGATATTTTAGGTAGACATACATATTTTTCATTATAAGACAATTCAGAGAACTACTGAATGACATTGCTTTGTTTACTAAAACACTCTCAGCTAAGATTTGTGACCCTTTCTCTCTCCCCTTAAATCATAATATTATTACTAACTCTGAGAGCAYTCTAAGTCATAAACTGAAGCAACGTCTCACACTGATAACCTCCTATAGCAAGTAAATATTAAGCCAACTTTTCAACCAGTATCATTCTCTAAGTTCAGTATTATAGCATTAAAACCCCAAAACTACACAACTAAAAGCCTGTGCCTACACATACTAATAAAAAATCAAGGACATTTTTAGATCTGTTTTGTCTTTCAGACTTGAACCTAACGTATCCAATGTGAACAAAACCACTGCCCAAAGCTGACAGGGCAGGATGTGAATTCCCTCTTTCCAGAAAGTASACCAACATGTTGAAAATACCCTCATCTGTTCTTTGGTTAAACTTTAACAAATGTAACCATGGAAGTCTCAAACTAACACTGATAGGTTTTAGAAAGGCAGGATTTGAAGCTATGTGTAAGCTTTCCCATACTAAAACAGGAATAACTCTTTTCCTATCTTTCCTCACACAGATAAATTGRGAAAGGAAACAACTAGGCAGTGCCAACCGTACAGTCGGAGTTTACTGCAATATCAAAGGCCATCACTGGCTTTCTTACCTGGTGCAACTTCTCTTGTACTGCTGGGATTTGKGTGAGCAGCTCTGTCCACTGGGTTTCAATGTGGGACAATCCTGCACGCAATGCAGCCGTGTCTACTTTCTTAAGCCTGAGGAGCTGGGTCCCAGTACTCAAGACAGAAGCTTTCTGTGATGATTTAGCATCCACTTCTTTTGAAAACTCCTGTAAGCAGAATCATTTTTTGTGGAAATAAGGCAGTAATTTTTAATTTTACTTAAGAGTTTTGCCTCAGAAGACTGAGAATACCCTGCTTTGCCTTTAAAATACGTTCTTTCTATTAGTATTCACCAGCTATACTTCAGGCTAAGTTAGAACAAAAATTGTGTTCAGTCTTAAAAAAATTAGTTCTGTTTTCAGAATCCTCAAAATTTRCAATCATTGCACATAGCAAAGAAGAGCTTAATGTGCATACACAGCAGTATCTTGAAGGATGGCTTACCCATATACTCATCAATCATGGGAAGAAATACAACCATCCAATTAATCAAATGTTTATTTGTAATTGGAGAAAAATAGGTGTCCCAGGTCCATGAGCGACTTACCAAAAAGGAGTTCAGGTGGTCTCGGACTGTTTCTAGCTCCTGAGGAACCGTCAAAGACTGCTGGCTCCAAAACTCAAGTCGCTCCTTTGCTGATTGTAACCACTGTGTCAATTCATTTGATTCACTCTGATACCTGTGAAGATGTTTAAAGACTAAAATAGTCATCAACACCTCTTGCCTCCAACTGAGCATTCTCTCTCCCATGTGCTAGAGGAAGATACTGAATGCCAGATTTGAAATAAAAATCATTTTTTTCCTTTATAAAATTTCAGAAAAAATAATTTAGTTTTAGAAAAAGGCATGGTATCAGGAAGCTCCTGTTTTAGGCATTACGCTCACAATTTTTAACAGTGCTTTCATTTTGCCTTTAGGAAAAACTAAGTTTCGTGAAGGGCAGAAACCTCTTTGGACAAGCTGTAACCCCACCCAAAACATAMACACTTTTCATTCCCTTTAAAAGGTTCTGTCTTCCTAAAGCGTCATCACAAAGTATCTCAGAGCAGAAACTTAATTTTTTTTTTTTCAGAAACCATCTCCGTATCATTTCATATGCCAAGCAACTAATGAGATAACAGAATAAGAGTGTCCACAAATAAGCCAGGGATTCATAGCCAAAGCTTTTATACCAGTAAGACAATTAATTTCAAAAGTAGCATATGAACAGTACAAAGGCAGCAAAAACTCCTTCCATATATGCAATGACCCAAATCCACAAGAACTCAGAAGTTGCAGTGTGTCCACCAAAACATGGTGAGGCTACTCACATTATCCAGCAAAGCACACAACTTTGCTTATCAACCTGTGTGCACACAGGGCTTTTAAATTAGTCATTTAAACAAGGTATTTTCTGACTTCCTCGCACCAGCTCTTGCTATGTTKTATTACAAATGAGAGAGTACAACAGCACTTCTATGGAAGAGAAGAGCAGTCAAGCTAAGACACACATTTCAAAGCACTTTCTTTTGAATGTTGGATCAAATAGGTCTGGGTCCAGAACGGCTTTGACCAGAACAGCATAGGTGAAGAACTTTATATTGCCCATTGCATCAGCATTACCTTGTCCAGTGCTTCAGTATTGTCTCCAGCCTGTGAAGCTCCTTGGTAACTTTGCTGGTGTTGCTTAACCAGCGCTCTCCCAGCTGGTTCAGCTCACTTTCAAGTTCTGAGCAGCTAACAGAAAAAATGAGCCTCTTGCCATCATCTAGCACTTGGTATAATTTAGGCTGGTATTCAGTCAGGCTAGACCTCAGATGCTGGAATGGCAGAGGAGATGGTTAGATAGCGGCAAGTCTCTGCTTCCACGCTTCCTCAACAYTTACTTTCCTTTTATTGCATTTTGTAGCATRTCCAATGTCATCACAGCACATCACATTTTTTTTTCCTCAGCTCCAGCTCTAGAACTCCCTGAGATTCACCGTGAAGACAACATGCTAAAAATCTGAACATGCTGCTACAAAACCAAGCACGTCAATATGTTTATTGGTACCTCCYTACAATGAACTCTTCCTTCATGTATTATCCCATACTTGAAAATAAGCTTTGTAGGGCAATACCATTTCTGATGGAAATTGATTAAAATACCAGAATTTAGTTTTCTGTCTGCTGAAAATCTACCATCTAGTGCAATGAAAGTTAAAGCTGTCCAATATCAAATTATTAACACTGGCTCCCYCTTCAGCCCTTTCAATGCCTATCTTCAGCTCTTTGGACATCTCACTCTTTTACTGATCTATCCTCCTGCTCTTCATGGCTACAAAACAGAAGATCACCCCATCCATCCAAATCCCTGAACACAAAGACTGATTTTTATTGCACAAGAAAGCTAAAAAGATAATGAAAAAGGAAAGGATATATTACCCAGAATGAATCTGGAACTGAGAAAAATTTAATTKAAATGTTGACTCATGGATGGGTACAGAATTTGCACATGTGGGCAAATATATCTGYCAAATTCCACTATCATTACAAAAATTATATGGATTTTTAAAACACCTGTACATTAGCCTGAGTGCAAAATGCACATGCATTCTGATTTTTCAGTTCTGATGAAAGTAATATGAATATAAAAGGTACAAAACTACCAGTCTTATAGAGAGTACATGAACTTTCTATCACTCTTATTCCCTCTTTCACAAAAATAGAGCTCTAATACAATAAAAAATTATCTTTATATATGTGTGAGTCTGTGTGTGTACTTTCATATAACATATTGACAAAAAAATTCCTAGACAGTGGCTTAAAAAAAATTCTAAGATAGTCATAATTTTATTGTGATGGATTTTTAACCTAAATGGGGCCAATTAGTAAAATCTATGACATAACAGAATACAARAATCGGAATTTGAATAGCCTAACTTACGTAACTGAAAAGAAAAACAAAAGAAGAAATCTAAATTAGGGTCAGGACCAACACAAACAATGCCTAGCATYAAACAAAACCAAAATACAACCCCCCCCCTCCCCCCAAGAGATTGCTTCAGTTGTCCTCATACCACTGGGAAAGCAGAAAGCTGTCTGGTAAAATAACAAAATCAGTAATAACAGAAAGTCAGTTTTCAAGAAAAAATTGACAGATATTTMTCTGTAAAACTAAACAAGAGAATGGAAAAATCTCACTGAAGTTTCTAGTATAAGGAGACAAAGACAAAACACCAGACCAAAAAAACAGGATGTGGTAGAAAACCTGTATTTAAACCACTTGTTGCATTTGAGGTGGAAGGCAATTTGGGGAACCACAGGCTGTACAGCTTCACCTTGYTCTCTGGAAAGATCATGGAGCACATCCTCCTAGATTCCATTTTCACAGACATAAAGGACCAAGAGATAACCAAGAATATTCAGCTTGAATTCAGCCTTTTATGACAAAATTACTGTCTCTGTGGATCAGACTGACTTCAATATGGCCTTTACACCATCTCTCACAGGACCCTCCTCTGGCAGTGGAGGGAGTTTGGGCTGGATAAATGGACTGTTTTGTGGGTTGAAAATGAGCTGCATTACCAGTCTCAAACCAATGATCAAAGGCTTGATGCCTGACTGGCAGATTGCAATGTGCAGATTACGCCAGAGATTGTTGATATTTTACACCAAATGTTTTCATCATCTTAATGGCATGGATCACGGCAGACAGCATTCCCTCAGTAAAACTGTGGATGACACTAACGTGGGGAGAGTGGCTGGGACAAAAAATGGCAGACTTATTCCAGAGACACTTAACTAAACTTGAAGCTGGAGACAGCAAAAACCTTGGAAGTCTCAAGATATGGAACTTCTGCACCTTGGGCTGACTAGCTGTGTTTCTCAACATAGGTTAGGAAGGAAATTGGTAGTGTTTTTAACCTGGCATATTACATGGCAAGCCACAGCACTGGACTATTTTAGGACWGTGAACAGCCAAATGAAGTTATTTTATTATCCCCATCTAGATGGTGCTGATGAGGCCACATCTACTCCATCTGATTGTGCTCTGACCTTGTCTCTCACTGAATTGAGGAAGGAGGAAGTAGTCAGGATCTGGTATAGAACTATTAAGTTATTTAGGGACCTAGAGCACATGTCCTTTACGAAGAGTCTGAAGGAAGTGTGCTTGCTTTAGACTGAAAAACAGGAGGCTAAGGGCCAGCCTAACAAAGATCTACAGCTGTTTGGGGTAGAATTAAAAGGATGACAAAGGTAAATGCTCCTCAGTAGTGCCACATTATATAAAAAGTACAACAGTGACGAACTGAAAGCTGAAGTTACAGATTGGGCATTACAGAAAAYTTTTAGTAGGTGGYGGTGCAGGACTGCASGTGGTCTCCTGGTCAGCTGTGGGAYTTCTAMCTTTTGAARTTTTCAAARYTGTTGCTGATTCAGYCCATGACAAATGCAGTGCTTCAAGTGGGASCTGGACTAGATGACTGTCAGAGATCCCCTTCACCCCTCTTTCCTGCAGAAAATGTCTACAAAACACCAACCTGAAAAAGTGTAATCCGGTCTGTAAGCCTGTCCTCTGTCTCTTCCACCAAACCCACAGTGGGAATGTTTCCTTCAACAGACTCCAGCTGTCTGGTGAGYTCCTGGTAATCCTCATCCAGATGCATCCAGGTCTACAAGCAGATATTATCCATGGATATGATGAATGTGGGTATCTAAAGKTTTTATTATTTGCTTTTTTGATCTGAAACCCTAGAGCTGCATCRCTGTGAAAGCACAGAACTAAAAGTACAAATGTCCAGTGAACCTGTAAAAAGACACATCTTTGTGCCAAGCCCAACTTTTGGTCAGAACACACGGGTAACTGTCATGCTCTCCTTACTAGCTAAAGCTAAGCAGCTCTTCAGACTTAGAGAAACACAACTTATGCCACCTGAAGTTCACAGGAGTTAAATACAAAAGATTGTATGAAGTCCATCAGCACTTTGTGTGTAGGACAAAAGGGACTGATGCCTACCAATTCTGTCCAAGCAGAACATCATAGAATCAAATGAACATTATAGAATATCCTCGTGGTTGATCACAATGGAAGYACAGAAAAGACCACTGAAATTCTCACCTCCAGAATGTATTCCAGCTCCACACCTCGTTTATGAGCYAGCTTTAATACAGCTGAAGCTTGTGTCATTATCTCTGAATGTGACTGAGTTTCCTTCAAGAGGGCAAAGCTAGTCATCTTTCTAAAAAGTGTTTCTGTCAGGATCATGTGAGACTCCAACCCCTGAAAATATTCCTGAAAAATGTGGATGTGAGGGAGAGGGTAGAGGAAGAATGGAAAAGAGGAAGCACAATTGTTACTCAATTCATTACCACTAAAACAACATTTTAAGACRTAAGCAGTACAATGAAGCACTTACATAGAACTAGGTAAACCTTTCACTTCACAACATTTCACAAAGTCCAAAACACATCTTAAAGAAGACAATGATCTATTCAAAGAAAGCAGTCATTCCTTCCACGCAAATTCCATCCTGACCCTCATTACATGAACAAAATAGCTTAGATCAGATAAACACCCTCAAAAATTTCTGCCKAATGAAAATGTGGAAAATCCTTGCTATACTTCTGGGAGCTATTAACAAATGTAAATTTCTGTTGAAAATAAATGGAGTGGTGGATGACATTGCTATGYAGCATGACAGGACAATACTAGGAACTTGTTACTAGAATAAGGAAGAAAATGCAATCTACCTGGGTTCACCTTCAATAAAGCATTTGAAACTCAGTCTGTCAGAACAGTTCACTGGCTCCAATTTAAAATAAAGTCTGGCCCACCATTGAGAAAAGATCCTGAATCTCTAGGGACAGAAGGTTAGCAATTTGCTTCTCACAGGTGTCCTGGTTTCAGCTGGGATAGATTTCATTTTCTTCATAGCAGCTGGTACAGCACTGTGTTTTGGCATTACTATGGGGATAATGTTGATGACATACTGATGTTCAGGTTGTTGCCTAGTAGTGCTTACCCCAAGTCAAGGACTTTTTTATTTCTCCCTTGCTCTGCCAGCAAGGAGCTGGGAGGGAGCATGTCCAGGACAGCTGACTTGAACTGGCCAAAGGAATATTCCAAACCATAGTGCATCAAGTTCAGTATATAAACTGGGGGGAAGTGTCTGGAAGCTGCTGATTTCTTCTTGGGGACAGGCTGGCTATTGGTCAGGAGGTGGTGAACAACTCTTTTGGTACATCACTTACTTATTTCTCTGGTGTTTATTTGTCTCTCTCCTTTCYATTACAATTATATTTACTATTTCAGTTATTATTAGTATTATAGTAGTATTAGTGCTTTTAGTATTAATAGTCATATCTCAACCCACAAGGCTTACCTTTTCTTTCCAATTCTCTTTCTCCTTGAGGAAGGAGAGGTAAGTGAGGAAGCAGCTGTGTAGTACTTAGTTTCCCACTGGGGCTAAACCATGACAACAAGCTTACACTCTTAACTAGTCCTGAAATATGTCCCAGATTCTTACCTTATGTTTTTCAAGCAGCGCTTGAACCTCTTCCTTAGAAGAAACAATCATTTTRTGGTCACCAGCCATTTTTTCCTGGCCTGTCTCTACCAGGTCAGCYAGGTCCTGCAAAGCCCGCTCATACTGCCTCTTAAGAGCCATATTCTGATTCAGATCACTCCGCCTGGATCCAATGATCATCAGCAGCTCATCATATTTATCCTGGGGGGCAAAGGGCAGCAGTTKTCATTCMTATTTCACACCTTATATGTCTTCCTTGAAACAACCTCACTGTCCCTCTGTGAATACTAGCAGATTAACATTTGTTTCCAGCTCAAAAAGAGCTTGCAGATATACTGACTTCATAGATAAACTAACAACTCGCCGTTTAAAGACAGAAAAAATAAGCAAGACCTGTGACTCTTTGAAGTACATGCATTCAGAAAAAAAAATACAGTAATAAAGGCTTAATATAAGTAGCAAAGAAGTTGGGTGATTAGGCTCAATGCATCAAAAACCAGTGAATACCATGCAATGCAGATTTACATGTTTACATTTTACATTTTATAATGCAGAGGATTGGATGGACTCCAGCATAGATACAGACTACAGGCATCTCAAAGCCAGGTCTGTTTCCTTCTCCTGCCCCAGTATCTTCATGGTAGCATGCAAGAYACACACAACTTACTGTAAAAACCCAACCAAGCCCACACTTTCCAGCTAAGCAAGACATTCCAACAACCAAAATAATCTCTATGATCATCCAGTGCTGCAACAAAGTCCCAATTCTCACCAAGACTGCAGCTTAGCAGTCTCAGCCTTAAAAAGAAAATTGTGAAAATGAAGCACAACTGTCAGAAAAAGCAAAAGGAAGATTTTTCTAAAAACTGAAATGAAGGGAGGAAGAACTTAATAGCACATAATGTGAGAGTCAAAAAAAACCCAAACAAACCAGCAGGAGGTGCTAAGACCAAAAGGATAAAGAACTGGACAAAAGACATATTTCTTAGTGATTCATTYCTTAGTAGTTCATTTTTAATTATCACTGTCTTGTCAGCTTAATAAGTTTATGGTAATAACAGTTTCACCTGTTTTACTTGCTTCCAATTTATTATTTTGTCATTATAAATTCTGTCATAAACCTTCCCCTTGATATTTTCTCAAGTGTTCCCCTGCATCAGCACCGAAGTAGTTTCAACAGAGTCACAGAGGCTGTGGATCAATTGCCCCATATATGGACAAGAGAGGTGCTCTAACAAAAGTGGAACACTTCCAGTTTCAGTCTCACTTCACTCTCTATACTCCTTTACCCCCTTCCTGTTTTTTTAATGACAGTATCAGACAGTACTAAACCACAGATCATGAGACACTGGTGAGAACAGAGATGAAACTTCAGGAGACACATTTATGCTTAACTTCATCTCTTTGAAAAGGGAGTGGATGACAGAAAACATGGTTTTGTAGACTTTTACAATTAAAACTGCCCATAACAGAGATGTTGGAAAATCTGAAGAAGCAAAAATAGAAAAACTAGGTGACTGAGGKAGAACATAATCTTTCATACACACAGAAATACTTTTAAATCCATTTTTCTGAACAATCCCTGCCTCAYGAAGAATAAAAAGCAGCACTCTTTTGGTAACACAAGTGAGACAGGTGATAGGATTGACAGATCTAGGATGGAACTAATGAATCATACCTGGATCTTAGATAATTCTTGTACAGAAGGYTGGTCAATCTGTAGCTTGTCTATACGCTTCTTTAATTCATTGATTCCAGCATCTAGCTCCTTTAAACCTTCTTCTGCCTGCAGTATGACCTGTACATGAAAAATACTTTGATTAATTTGAAGTTTTAATAACAGTAGTGTAGYTGGCCTATGATCATACTCTTTTCTGCTTGCAGTATTAATCAGACCTTCAATGTGCTGAAATTTGAAAGAACGCTACAAAGGAATGTATTAATTAAATTTGGGAGACCCCAGTTTTTTTCTTAAAGTTAAATAAGCGTATATGTATTTTTTTTTAATAACAAGCTGTTTTATTATAATGTAAAGTACTATGTTTAGTATTTTTTATACCAAACATTGCTGTGAATTTACAYGCTTTTAATTTTATAGTAGAGGCCCCAAAGAAATTTTTCTTTGATGTAACAATGTCTTTTAAAGAATTCTTTTTATTAACAGTCATTCCTGTCATCTTTGAGCATGAAGCAAACACCCATCGTAGCAGAAACCATGTATGAAAACAGAGAGTGTGCATAGTTCCTATTCAGGACTGAGATAGGGCYAAATTTACTGTCAAGGAAAAAGGCTTTTAGCTCCCCTTTCTCATTTGGAAAACTGCAGCCTAAGAACATAGACACAGTGTATGCAGGTGGTGAGCTAGAACATCATGTATACAGGTGGTGAGATTTTTCAATAGAAGCTACAAGCTTTCCTAGGTCTCTCCTGAGGTAACAGATGCAGATTATAACAGTTAGAAGTATGAGGTAGATATTTGTCCTTAAAAGTCCCCTGTCGAGGCCCTTTCTTGGAAGCTGGCAATCCAAATATTCTTAAACTACATATGTGAGTCAGAACTCCTTCCTTCCAGTAACACGGAGTTTGCACAATACACTTATGAACCTTCCACTTCATGTAACTAAAATGACCTGGCTGATTAAGAGCCTTATTTCTATGGTCCTAATCACATCCTGAACAAACACTAATGCTTTCAAATTTGAATGTTTTATCAGTCAAGAGAGATCTTCAGAAACACTTTCAGTTGCTTTTGTTACGTTTGTTTTCCTCATTGGTAGTTCAATTAATCATAGAGGAAATAATTTTTTGCCAATATTTGGCATCACAAAAGACAGAAAAGAAACACATAGTGCAACCTCTCTTTTTCATACAGGAGACATAAACTCCTTCCAATTTTGAATGTCCGGTATATAAAGTCCAGTATTTCTGTTTAGCTGAAGGATAAGTTTCTTCTATTCAGGCACCTACTGGCACCAGTAGCAAGTAAAAAGAAATATCTTTGAAAAGTAACCCTTAGCATTGGTTATTCATTTTTATCACTGGCAAAACAGAAACAAGAAAACAGGGTATATTTTTTCATCTAAATAATTAWTTATTATTAATCGGGTCATTCCTGACAAAGAAATGCTAATTACTGCCTTAAATTAAACTTTGGGTAAAATCTTTACCTCTTCCCCTCTCCCCAATTGACAGATGTGTGGTTAATACCTGCATTTGCTCTGTTTCTGGTCTGTCAGCTGCCTCTGCTAATTTCTGTAGAACTGARTATTTGTTATCGGCCACCGATGTAAACATGAGCTTCAGATCATTCTACAGGAGACAAAACCAACAAATTACAGCCAATCCCAGCACAAAACAATTGAAAATTATTCCATGTTTCAAGATGTTCAAAGCACCAAATGTGACATGGTCAGCACTACAGYGCAAAACCTGTTTGAAAAGCACCATAATTAGCCAATGCAAACATTTAACACTGCTGAAAATCCACAGCTGGATATTTGTGAGCTAAGAGCTAAAGCAATTCTTATTCAAAATATATCCAGTGAATGCACTTCTGCTTTTGCCTTCCAATTAGATAATTGATTTACCAAGGGTCATTACCTTCATTTAACAGAAGCATGTTATTCTTGTGCAGTTTATTCAACTACATATGATTGTAAACAAGCTTGGTCTTACTTTTTAAGGCAAGCTGTTTYAATTACAAACTTGAGCAAATATAACACATTAGTAAACAAGGCCTCCACATGGTACAGGGCTGACTACTAGCTCAAAATTTTGGAATATTTTATCAGACTGGACACATAAATATTACTTGCTGAAATATAATCATTTTCTTGCATTCATGCCAACAGAAAATTATCAGCACATTTTTCTGAAACTTTCAGCATTACATAAGAGGTGCATTACTGATTTTTTRTTTATGTTTAAATTCAGTAATTATTTCAAACACTAAAAGTCTCTAAGAATAATGCAATGAATTCTAATCAACTTCRCTGTCATCAGCAAAGGGAGGTCTTTCATCAAAAAATGGTGACTATAGAGGAAAGAATACAGAGTTTGGAAGGAAATCTAGCACTAACAATCCATGACCCTAATCTGAACTCAAATACAGTATTTTTTAGTTTTTGTTTTTTTTTAATTTATGAGTTTTTAAATTAAAAATAAACCATACTGAAGGGCTTTATATATAAATGATAATGATAACAATAATGAAAATAGTAACAGGAGATAAGGTAGACACCAAGTAAGATCTGAAAGCACTTCTGAACTCTGGTTACAAAGTTTTCTGAAAGTGCACACTTCTCCACTTATCACAATTCTTTCATATTTCCACAATACAATTTATGCAAAGCCAGCATGGAACAATTATCACTTTACAGTAACTGCATGAGTTGTAGAAACCTTCTAGCAGAGAGTTTAAATTTTGAGTAATTATTGGGGTATCAAATTTTGCATAGCCTGAGAAGTTTGATTTTAAAAAAAACAAAAACCTATGACAACCTTGTTCTTTTGATTTGGTACCAAAAATTCAGAGTCTTTATACCCCCATTTGACATACACCCCTGTAAATTCCACCACATGGGTCTCATACCTTGAAGGTGACAATTTGCTGTAGCCGTCCTTTCATCTGATGGCATCTCTGATCTACCACAGACTCCAGTAAGGTCAGTCTTCTCAGGAGACAATCCAAAGTGTCTTCTATGATGACCCTGTTATCACTATTGTCAGGAAATATCTGAGCAAACAAATTCTTGTTCTTATCCACTTCTTCTGTTATGTCTTTGATTTCTTTGGCAAGAGACTGATTTTGTAGGAAAAAAAAAGTGATAATCAGACATTCCAGAAAGCAGGCAAACATTGTCATAATTGTTGTCAGTTTTGCAGTGATGCCATGACTTTTTTACATTGTTAGCATACACACACACTAGAGAAAGATAGCAGCTACAGTTATCTCTGATAGTCAAATGATTCCAGACTGTTCCAAGGAAAATTTTGTGCAGGAACAAAATTATGTAGAACCGTAGGAACATTTGGGTTGGATTAAAGGTCATGTAGTCCAACCCCCCTGAAGTAAATAGTGACATCTTCAACTAAATCAGGATGCTCAGAGACCTCTCTAGCCTGACTTTGAATGTTCCCAGGGGTGRGACATCCACGACTTCTCTGGGCAACCTRTTCCAGMACTTCCATATTCTCATTTTGAAAAATTTCTTCCTTATATCTAATCTGAATCTCTCCTCTTTTAGTTTAAAGMAGTCCTTGTCCTATTGCCTCTTTCTCTCTCCCCCACCACTCTATTCTTCCCCCCTTTCTCACCCCTAATTAATGTTGATGAACTTGTACTTTTTCAATATCCCAGAGAATTCCTCCCTTTTTCATTTTGTTTCAATTTTAACAACATGGTGTTTGATAATATTTAGAGAAGAGTTAAACAGAAGAAAGAGTCTATGATATCTGCAGTATTCTCTACATTGTCAGTAAATTTACTTCTCCCAGCAGCAGAATGCTGCAGTTACACAGAGATTTATGTCAGTGACATGTCACTTACCCAGGATTCTAATACTTTTTTTCTAAACACCACATAAAATGACATTCACTATTCATGGATTCCTTACCTCTTGCTTGCAGAGGTATGTTTCTGTTTCTTCCTCTGGCAACAGAGCTGTAGCCACAAAGACCTGCTCTTCCACACCATCCAGCCACACAGAYGTGGCTGTGACCCCATCATACAGCTTCTGTTCAAGATACAGGGTCTCATCCACCCGTCCAGCCTGAGAAAAAGGAACCAGGGAAGTCCAGAGTAGAAGTACAAGACAGTCTTTCTAACTTCTAGTATTTGGGAAAGGCCTGGATTTTCCAGGTCATAGCTGRAGGAGTCTTGATTGTACATGTGGCTTTGCTGAAGGACAGGTGTAAAGACAATTGAAATTTACCTCAGATGAGACATCTTCAAAGGCCTGATTCAATTCAACCAACACTGGTGACACTAAGGATTTGTCTTCATCCTGTCCCTCCTCCTTGTACAAAGGCATTCCAGGTATCAGTCTGTTTGGTCTGCTATAAAGCTGTTGAGAGAGAAGTACTAATTAGGATGGATCTGCCATATGTAGGGCACAAAATTCAGCTGTACAGATTCCCTGCTGACTGAGGCTATCACCAGCTCACAGTCCTCCCACAAATGCTCCATATCATAAATACCTTGAATAAATGTTTCTCAACAGAAGGTTCACCAGAAATGCAGGAAAAATACTTTCAGCCAGAATTAAAAATTACTATTTTTCACCAAAAATATTAACTACAGTTTAATTTKTACAAGGTATTTAGAACTCTGGAAGCTGATTAATGGAGTTTTATACAAAGAAGAGTGGGTCTGGGTCTATTAARAATAAAATGGAAAATGTATGTTAGTATAGATTTTGGATTGTCCCCAGTTTAATTGATTAATCCCTGTTTCTTTCAGTAGAAATTCTGTGCCTGAAATTCGTTATCCACTAAGCTCAAGAATTGAATGTAGCCAAAAAATTMAAACAGAAAATAACAGTTTTCCTCTAACATGTTGCCACAGTACTGGTCAGTTCCAGCAGAATGATTTGTTAACGAGTTGTCCTGAGTTAGATAGGTAGATAAACATTTTGTCTGAGCTCCTTCTTCCTTTCTAGTTCATTAACCTGATGGTAGTGCAATTCAAATCACTTTGAACATGAGCAGTGCTGGTGCCACTATTTAACAGTTTTTAAAGATGTCATAAAAATTAATTGTTCCATATCCCRTGCATTAACCACAGCACCTTAATGCATTTACATATTGTACCTCTTGTTGTGACAACTGCTTTTAAAGAGAAAATGGAAAGGGAAATGATAAATAGCTACCAGCTGTTCTTTTTCCAAAGCTTTCTGGAGCAGTTTCTGCTTGGTACTGAATTCCTGGTTTAGGCTTTCCCATTTCCTCTTCATCTGTTCTTCAGATGATGGCTTCTCACCCTCCAAGACTAATTCCTCAGAGAATACATCAGGCTTCTCACTGAATGGGAAGATGTGTAAAGATTTAACAAATGCAAAAATTATAACCATGGAAGGTTAGAATTTTTCATTAGGAAATTCCACTTAATTTAAGTTCTACTCTTTAAAGCTTTGACTTGCTGGTTTGGGGTTTTTTTTTCACGTAATAAGAGAAAGGCTGGTTTGAACGGCATGAAATTCTTGTCTGATGGAGTAAAATGTACCGTCTAAAAAATTGGTTTGAGTTGCAAGTACCCATAATAASTTAAAAAAAACCCAAACCAGACTGAATATATACTACATTGAAATGTAACCAATAAAGAGATTTTACTTCAAAACATGACTTAAAATAAATATTTTGTCTGACTCCTTCCTCAATTCCTTCCTCAAAATGCCAGACATACCTTCATATTTTAATGCAGGAGAAGCATATGTGTTTAGCTTTGGTAAACTGTGAAACACAAACAGTTTGTGTTTGATAACTGTATTATCAAACCCTTGCATTATAAGCCAGGACTCCAGCATCCTAGGTGTTGTAAAAAAATGGTAAAAYAAGAACATAAATACAAGAATGACAAAGCATAGTCGTAGAAATTTACTTTTCAGGATAACACATGAACACACACCTTGTAGATTGGCCTTCAGCAGAGCCTTGCTGTGTTAGGATCTCTCCTCCACGGCATGCTACTGATCGAAGCAGATTCTTCTGCTCTTCTAGCTCTTGCTCCAGCTCCTAGCACAGCAGGTTACGAAAAACAGAACAAATCTCAAACTGGTTTTGCCTTGGAAGGATACGTCTACCTTGCTTAACTGTCATGCAAAGTTAGCTGAGCTACTTCTGAAATGGTTTGCTTGAGCACCAAAAGTGGTCAAAAATCTCCAGAAAGGGACACATAAAATTTGAGTACACAAATTTGATTTATGAATTAATTAACTAATGCAATGCATTTCTGGAACCCACCCTAGTGAGAATATCTGCAAATGGTACAACACCATATATCATGTAATATGTGTATCTTTGCTTTTATGAAGACAGCTATTATTTTGAATATTATCATCTCTCCTTAGAGTAAGTTAAAGTGTTGATTCAATTTTATTGTATTGATGAATAAAAGAAGTGCAGACTTGATTAGGTCAACTGACCATGGTCACCCASGAAGTCTGGTCTGCCTGACCGTTAACAGATATAAGATAGTGAACTCAGATGCATCATTACAAAAGCAGTGAGTAAGAAACAATGTAAAAATTAGTATTTCAGTGGAAATATTAACGAGAGTCGTTCAGCTATAATATCAAAAGCAATCTAAAGATATGAGTAAAGGAAATGCAAAACACCAACTTTCTGCTGCTGCAGGGTACTCTGCTGCTGCTGTGAGCGAGTAGTTCTTGCTTGTGCCAGCCATTCTTGAACACTGGGGCTTTGTGAGGAAACAAAGTCCAGATCACTCTCCTCCTTTTCTTGTAAAGATCCCTGCTTTAAAAAAGAGAAAWTAAGACTTAAAAAAATCTCTTACATTATTAGAGAGCTGGCAAGTCCAGCTCATCTACTTAAACCACCTCACAATTCTCAAGCTGCTGGCTCATGAAGTAAGCAATGACTTTAGATTTCTGACTTTTACTGGTTTTGGTTACCAGAAAGAAAAGCATCCCTAAAAATGTAAAAATAAACATGCATTACTGCACTTTGCMGAATCGAGACCAGAGGTCAGAGAACATGGACTGATGCGTTTCTAAAGACTGCTCTGCTTCTGAAAAATAGTCTTGATCTGTAAAGGAGGGTACAGCTTTAACTGGCAATGCAGGGATTCAGTGTTTTTTTTCTGCCAGGTTTTGAATCTTTTTTTTTTTTTTTTTTTTTTTTTTTTTTTTTTTTTTTTTTTTTTTGTTTAACTGGAAAGGATAAAGTTCTGGTTGTCATTCTGGTCAATGTTTATTTACCACTCTATCCACAGTTGGCAGAAACACACTCAGTTAACAGCAGGTCATATGGACAGCAGAGAAAGTAAGAGAGATCAAACCACAGAATGTTAGAACAACACAGCAAAAAAAACAGTTCCTTCAATTCATACTTCTATCATTAAGCTTTTCCAACATGAGTGACTAGAAAAGCTTTCTTTGTAAGCAATGCAAAAAAGAACAAATGCCTTAACAGCTCAAAAAAAATGTTTTATTAACTTCTTGACTTCCAAAGTCCATGCTGGTTGTACGTTTAAGTAGTTTTAGCAGTCAGTGTATTSAAATTTAGGTATTTTAACATGCTTGGCCTTATGTTAAAGACAGACTTGTAGGTCTGGCTAGTCAGATGGACACATCTCTCTGGATTTATTTAATATTACTTGCAGTCATATCATGACTGTAAAGCTTGCGCCTTTTTGGATTTTTTGAAAGTTTTGAGATCTAAAGCTGGGGCTTAATACCTCTCCCATTTGGTCTGTATGTTTCATTTTTGTAGAATTCATATTATGCTCATGATTCAACTTTTATTATAAATAGACTAAGAGTGCCGGTTGGTTCAACAACAGGCTCTCCAAAACACAGACTCTGCCTTCCAGAGAKGTTTCTCAAATCAGACAGGGACCAGCAGGGCAAAGCTGGGTGTRGAAATCCTCCTTGCTTCACCTGGTGTTCCTTGTGCCAACAGCTGAGATGGACCTCTGCCAGTGTCCCTGGCACCAGCCACTGAAACAGCAGTTTTCCTAAGTAAGGTGAAGTAGAAGTTAAGGTGTAAGATTTCAATYTGGGTGATGATGAGTGTACTGAAGTTGAAAGGACTGATTAGTGTTAGAGGATATCTACTGTAAGAGGAGGAAAACAAGCAAGAAGTATCTGGAGCTGGAAAGAACCATTAGCCCTTGCTTTATAAAATATTTTTTTTTTTTTTTTACTAAGGATTCCGTTTACAGGTAAACAGTGATAYTTTACTTTGCAGGAACAAGTTTCTAGAAAAGATGACGTAGTTGGAGTGTGAACAATGTTATTATAGAATGTCAGATTGGGCAAAGAAAATAACATGTGAGAGGCAAAGAGGGTCTGGAATTTTAGCTTTTCTGTTATGAGAGAGAAAACAAGACAATCTATCTGTAAATGTAGGGGAAAAAAATCTGCATCTTTTTATATAGTCTTGGGACTACCTAGAGCTATACAACTTCTAAATATTTTTAGAGAACAATATCTAGTACTTCTTCGCATTTGGGTGGGCTGGTTGGTTTCAGTTACATTTTGGGTCTCATTTTCTCTGGGAAGAGGACTGAGAAACTACAATTTTGGAATTATRCCAGGACAAATAAACAATAGTCTCATAGTTCCTGCAATAGCAAAGAGWGTAAAAGGKATTGTGGCATTTGTTGATGCAATGYTGTTTTGCAAATATGCCATTGTACATACTTTTCAGATCAAAAGGATTTGTGAACCAGACATATTGCTGTCACATCACAGAATGTAAGTTTGAAAAAGATACGGTTGCATTTTCATTTGAATTCTGTCTGAAGGGAACTGTATAACATTTCCTTTAAACAGTCATGGAAATACAAGCTTAAACCTGTCATTCTCAGGCACTACTGTCCAGTCAAGAATAGAAATAAATGGAAAATCCCTGAAGAAGATGGTGATGAAATTGTTMTTTCAAAGGATTTCAGAAATATAGGCGTAATTTTTGTTTTGAAACGCGTCATTCCTCCCCCACACCTCCTTTGGAGTAAAAAGCAAAGAAACACTATCTGTTTTTTTGGGGAGCTTTTAATGCAGAATTCATTCTACTACTTCTTTATTTTAGGAGTCTGTTTTGTTTCATTGCCCCTAAACCAGAGAAAAAAAAAGTAAYAGACACGATATCGTGTACCTGTTTCAAAGTGCTACCTTTGGAGATAGTATAGTCTGGAACTCTCCTGTTCCAGCATGTTTCTGATTAGTTTCACTACTTTATTTTCTGAATAAAGTTAGTCTCCAAGTCATGTTTTCCATATTAGTGATTAATTAATTAATTGGTTAATTCAAATTAACTAAAATTGGAATCAAAACTGAAATTGCTGCAAGAAAGTCAGAGAATCTCAGACTGRCTCTTAAAAAGCCTTGTGCTACAGGAATAACACATAAGCTGAAATATGCTTTAATGAAAATATAGCTCAGTCTTTACAATGGTTAGTCTTCCAGTGCAACTTGGGAGGTTCCTTCCTTTGGGAGCAYGCTGGTCTATGCCTCTGGGCAATTAAAAGGTTATCAGAACATCTGGAGACATGTAAAAGTCTGAGTTTTCTRCATGCATGAACAACAGTGCTGTTAGCTTGTTATGTTTCTCAGGGTTAATACTGGCAGCAGATACAGTTTAGGCATTTTGGTGCATCTGATGCWTTTGGCCTCAGTCCACTGTTTGGGAAATGACATAACAGAACTTGAAATAATTGCTCAGTAAGGACGAGAGGCTGTTATACTGCCTATGTCTGTTTTCTTACATGATCTCTAAGTGACATCAAAGAAAGGCTTGAATTTCATAAAGAAACTTGAGACTTGCATTCATGCACCATAATAAATGATTCATATTCTACATCTAGAAATTATCTTGTTGTTATTTTAGATATTAGAAATCCATCCAAAGATCTGTTTTTAAGAGTTTAAGCGAACTAAAATAAAACCACTGCATTTTAAAATGCTCAAAATATTTTAAGATTTAGTAAAGAAGTTTGTGATGCCCTTTCACTTCACAGGTAATATATGAGAACAAAGTACCATGTGCCTRCATGCTGCTGCTAACTTTTCATTTACCTAATCATACGGTTTCATATGCAAGAATAACATTAAAGTTATACTACATCTTAAAGGCAATAGGAACAAATACCTGGGGGTTTCCTTTCTTTTTTATTTCTTTATTTTCGAGAAACTACCTTATGTTTTAAAGCCATGCAGTTCCTTTGGACTAAAAATAGTTCTTAGAACATCAAGTGACTTTTCAAGCTAACCTCTGAGTAGACTTTAATCTGCATTACAAGCCAGAAATCTTTGAAGCTTATCATGTTTAATTTGCACAGCAAAGCCAAGAAAAGAAGTAAAAGAAAAGGGAGGGGGGAGTCACAGCAGGGCAAGCAAATTCAAAACCAGTCAGACACATTACATGGTTGGGTTTCTTGTATGCATTCGGTTCTCCACATGCTAGCTTAACCTAAAGAATGACCAAAAGCAACTGTTAAAYACAATGAGTTAGCAACAATGAGTAGACCAAAGCTACYAGGAATAGAAATCTAGGGCATGGCYGAGGTTWAATGAACTTTGRTTTATATAATATTTTGTTTGGTATAATGATTTTGCCATGTATTAGCCATATTTAAAAACATTCCCTCATGTTATCTGTTCACTGTGCTTTGCCCACTGTACATATTTAGGATCATTCTTCTGTTGGGGGGAACAATCCTGCCCCAGACCATACACAATCTAAAGGGACCGAGGAATAGAATTAACCAGACCAAGACACTAATCTATCTATTTTACTATTCTCCTTTCAGGTGAAGACAGTGAGGTAAGGATAGTTTTACCATAAACCAGTGCTGTAAACATGAGAACGATCAAGTAAAGCCTTCTAGGAAGTTCTTTATTTCTGTTTATAATTCTGTTCACTAACTAAGATGAATAACTCAAATTGAATCAGTGCAACACTTTCACTCTTTTTCACCAAGACATCCTATTTGCATAAAACTGCTACGAAATCTGCAAACCCTTGCCCACAGGGAAAACAGCTGGAAAGAGCCACTCACCCGAATGTTGATCTGTTTGTCGTGGAGCACTCTCTGCAGCTCCAAAAGGCTGCCCTTCAGTGTCCTGAGCTTCACAGCCAGCTGCTCTGCCTCGTCCTTGGTGTGAGCCTTCCCTTCCATCAGCAAGTTCTCGTTGTGCACAGACAACTCTGACAAGGCTACCACCTTCTGTTCTATTTCAACCAACATGTTCTGCAGCAGCAAAAACAAAGACCCAAATTCATACATTTTCCAGTACCTGTCACGCCTTCTGGCAAGACGACCTGTGGCCTATCTCACCCGTTGCCAAACTAAGAGCAAGTCAGGTTAGCATTGCTTTGCCTTCCAGTCCCGTTCAGAGTCCTTTAGAATATGCTTGCAAATGTTTGCATTTGCCATTTCAGTTTGCAAACTTTTTCAAAATAGGAAATTAAAAAGTTACTTGAAACAAATAGTTTGTTTTAGAGAAGATGCTCTTTATTTGCATGTTAAAGGTAAGAGTGGCTAAGAAGCTAGACTGACATCCATTAATGACAAGAAGTGAAGCACGCAGCTSGAGTTACTTCTTTCCTCTTCTTTCATTGACATGTAGTCAAGTGCTCCCTACCTCCTCCTATGTGTTGCTCTGGCTGTGTTGATAAGCTTCTCTTCTCACTATTTGCTCTTTCTGATTGGTGCATGACGGACTTAAGGATTTCTGTATAATCCTCTTTAGTCTAAAGAGAGACTTAAAGTGACAAATCTGTGGCATGTTTATTCTCAAAAGCTACTTCCCTGACATTCCATTAACTATTCATGTATTAGAGACATAGTGCATATTTTGATCTTCCAGACTCAACGCTCAAACAGGTCTTGCTCAAAAACCTAGCCTGACATCAAGTTCTTTTGCTTCCATAGCAACTGTCAAGTATGAACATACAAAATTTTTCTCCTGAAGGCAATGTGTGCAGAATAAGATGGGCAGAGTCTCTAAAAAGTGGAAGAAATATAGAAAACTTGCTGCATTAAGGTTTTAAGAAGCAGCAACAGAACAGCAGTATTAACTTTTCTACAAAGTTAACTTTTCCTTTTGAGTTTCCTACAGAGTATATTAAAAAAAAATACTGCTTTCCAAAGTTCACAGGGCTTATCTACATACAGCTAAGGGCTCTCAAGGACACGTGATGAAAGAATTCTTGASACTGAACAGACTGAAAATTCCAATAATGAAGCATCAGTGAAAATTCAGACTTCCATGGAATTTAACTCGCATTTATCCTAGAATAGTAGAGATCCTCATTCTTGACATAGAAAAGGGCTTTTCTGTCCATCTGTCTCTTGTCTCTCTTGTAATTTTAATCATCACACAATTCTAAACTATCATTTAAAAATGGAAAACTGATTTGAAAACCTGGATATTAGGACTCATCCAATCTTGTTAATAAAAGTATTTGCATTAACTTATAACAYGTCTTTCTTCGGTTGTTCTGGTACTCTGAGTCGATTACCTTCAAGCCATAAAACCAGTAAATAGTGATGATTACCCTTCACTTTTACATGTATATAAGGATTACTCCTGAAGAAAACACAACCCCAGCCATCACTGGCTACCTCATCCACCACTGCCAGTATGTTCTTCAGCTGGAACAGGTAGGAAAGTACATTGCAGGTGTTTTCATACCTATCAGGTGAGCTGTTCAACAACTCCAGTTTGAGGGGAGCAAAAACAGTAAGTGAAGAAAATACACCTTTAGCTCAACAAAACTACATCTGAAAGATGTAGAACTTCAAATCTTCCTGCACTCACAACATTTTGTTTTCCTACCACTGTGCTTTCACCTGTGCTTTCTAAAGCACTGTTTGCAATCTTTAAYAAGAAGTTAAGAACAGGCTATATTTTGTTTCACAAATCTTTGAGGAAGCGAACGGARCATATAGAAGATGCTAAGGAGCTCAGAAACGTCTTCTCAAAAATATGCTGGCTCATTCAACTCAGTAATGGTCTTAATATTTTACCTGGCAGTCTACCAGCTGTGCTTCCATRTCCATAGGTTCCTCGGCAGGAAGCAGAGTGGTGTCCAGTGTTGCTCGGGTGCTGAGTAGCCAGTGGTCAAGCTCATCAGCTTCACAGCGGTACCTTTGAAGAGCCTGCTCTTGCCGCTGTTCTTCGAGCTGCTCATTCAGTTTTTCCTAGAGGTACAAATTATATTCTACTTTTTAGGAKAAACAAACTGTAACTCACTTTTCAAAAGTTTTTCCTCTCCGTTTTGCACAAATCCTACACAGCATTTTGAAGCCATAGTAAGACCTTTCTCTTACAAAATATAATTTCTTTCTGAGCGTGCTTTTCTGACAACTGAAATTTTGTTTCACACACTTCAGTCACTGTATTTCAAACTTTCCCAGTAGAAATCTGCTATTACAGCTTTCTAAAGGTGAGGTCTTTTCTGCCTCCTCTTGCTGCTCTCCTGTGGGTTTCCTCCCACACTGATTSAGTTTGCTCAATTAGTACAGCACAATTTGCTTAGGGAGAAAGATGTACATGAAGAAAGAGAATGCACACAKTTGGGAATGGGCTGCAGGGAAAGGAGAGAAGCTCTGCCTTTTTTGGCAGCAGGCTGTTAGACAGTGTTACTCTGCAGAGAGGCTGAAGAGGGGTACTTCAAGGACCAAACAAAGTATGGCTGGGCCTTTGTTATAGTCACATAGGTAAAGAGAAGCCTAAAGAGCTGTCTGCCTGCTCTGGCTTCTCAGAGGATCCCTGAGCCATGGGGTGTGGAAGGACATTAAGGTCCAGAGGCTGCTGCAGCATCAGCATCGCAGCAATACAGACACCCCAGGTCCATCGATCTGCTGGTCCATCCATTGGAAAGGCAGGGAGTGATCAGCAAGTCTTGGTCATCCTTTAATTGTTCCATATGGATTTAAAAACTGTCTGAACCGCTGCAGCCAGGGGATGGTGACCAGTGGCACAAAGCTGAGTGAGTGGCCAGTAATGAKCCTTAACAAGTTTGCTGATGACACAAAATGGGAGGAGTGGCTGATAGGTAGAGGGTTATTCTGTCATCTAGATGGATCCTGAAAGGCTATAAAAAGGAGCTGACAGAAAGAAAGGAAAGTGTGAAGCCCTGTACCTGCAGGAGAGCAACCCCAGGCACCAGTACAAACTGGAGGCCAAGCAGATGGGAAGCAGAATCGCAGAAGAGAACCTGGGGCTCCTGGACACCATGTTGAAAATGACCCAGCAATGCACCCTTGTGGAAAAGAATGCCAGTWGTGACTGGGRGTGCTTTAGGAGTGTTCCCACCAGGATGAGGGAGGTGATCCTGCCCCTGTATTTAACACTGGTGAGTACACTCCTGGAGTACTAYRTCCAGTTCTGAGCTCCATAGTACARRAGAGGTACTRARTTCTGGAGAGAGTAGAGGAGATTTTTGGAAAAAGAAAATGAATAGGATGGTCAGAGGATCCTTAGATGTATCAGATAATGTGAAACCTAAGCACGGTGCAAATATTATGGAACAAGGGGAAAAGATTGTATTGGCTGGGATGGAGTTAACTACATTGCAGTCTGTGCAKTGCTTTGCAGCTGTGGTTAAATCTGTGCTGATAACACAGCAATGYTATGGCTACTGCTGAACACAGCACAAAGGCTTTCTTTCTCTCTGCCCTCAAAATCACCAGTAGGCTGGGGGTGGGCAAAAGGCTGGGAGGGGAAAGAGCCAGGGCAGCGAATCAGAACTGGCCAAAGGGATATTCCATGCTAGATGAGATCATGCTCAGCAATAAAACCCTAGGGAAAGGGAGGAAGGGGCATCTGTGGTTATGGTGTTTGTCTTCCCAAGAAACACATGCTGAGCTTTCCAGGAAAGTAGCTAAACATCTGCCTGCTGATTGGGTAGTAGTGAATAAGTTCCTCATTCCTTGCTTACATGCACAGCTTTTCCTTACCCTGTTTAAGCTGTCATTATCCTGATCCATGAGTCCTTTTGTCTGCCTTCTATTTTTAACCCATCTCACAGGAGAGAGGAGTGAGGGTGGGCATTTGGCTGCTGGCAGGGTTGACCTACAGCACTTTGYAAGGAAATTCAAATTCAAATGTGCAGGGCAACTTCCTCACACAGGGAAGTGTTTGCACAGGTTTTCTGCATGCTCAATTTCAATAGAAAAATTAAAAAGTAATAGTTGTTAGGTATCTTAAATAATCGAGACATGAATAGTTCTCAAATGCTAGTTACTTCAATTAGATCCAGAGAAAGAACAGTATAACCAGTCCACACTCTCTGTAACAAAACACTTTCATTACCTGTTCTGCCTTTATTTCTACATTTACTTCCCTGSGGTGTTCTGGAACATTTTATCTGTGAAATCAGAGCTATGAAGTACACAGGTTAAATTACTGACTGTTGTCTACATACCATATACATTTCCTAACTATAATTATTAGGGAATACACGTGGTATTGTATCAATGTAATTATCAGAATCCTAACCAAAATTAAGAGTAATATATTTGACTCATGCTTTATCTTGAAATTATTAGTTAGCATCTCCCAAGTACTACCAAGAAGTTAGATATTGTATGGGGTGCAAATATAAACAGCTAGATCCCCTATTCTATTTCTAAACCCTCATTTTTAATTTAAAGCTGTTTTTCTTCTGAGAAGGAAAAACAGTGAAATTTTGTTATATTAAGAGTAACAAAAATATTTTCTAATGACCTTTTCACTGTCCCAGGTGACTGGACAGAACTAAAGCAGCTGAAGCACCCTGAGATTCTCCTTAATCCAGTATCTTGGTTTAACTCCAGCTGGCAACTAAGCACCACACCTTAGATCCATCCATCCAGTCAATTCTCACTCTGTTTCTCAGAATCAATTGATGCTGGAAAACATTAAGGCAGCACTTGTTTGGTTTGTAAATTCACTGCTGCAGTTCCTAGAAGTGCAGCAATAAAGCTGCCCTGCATTATTCAAAGTAGCTGAACTCTAACCATCTTTAGCATGACTACATTTTCTCACTTGTATAACATATGCAGCAACATTCCTATTTGTAAAGGGYTTTTAAATATCCCCCTAGTATTACAGGATTTTTGTTAAAGTTGGTAGACAAGTAAAATAGTGCATCTTCCATGAAAGAAAGTTGCATGCAAATCACTAGGAAGATGCGTGTAGACAACACCACAATGATTTGGAAGAGGAACTATTTCTTGTCTTAAGTGTTCCTTCTTCTCTTGTCTCCTAGCTTGGAGAGATGACTCCTCACAAGTTTACAGCAGATAACATGACTCTTAATATCCGCCCTTCATTACTTTATTTATACACACACATACACAYATATATGTGTATATATCTAAATATATAGCCATACAGCTATATATAGCCAGAAGGAACTTGGCACCTATAAAAAAAGGAGTGTTTCCAAGATCTTTCTGGCTACTTATCACATTAAGATGAGGGGCTCACTAAAAAAATAATCATCATTATTGAATGGAATCATGAGAAATAAAGAGAACTGAAAACTACATTTTTATGGAGACTAAGAATATTGGTGATGTTCCTTTCTTGTACCTCTAATAGCTGTCGTTTTCCTGATGCTTTCATTCGAATTGTGGCCATTCTTTCTGCYAAGACCGTGAGGGTGGACTGCAATGCCATCTGATCAGCACCTTCTGCATCCAGTGGCTCTGAAACAAGCTCTTGGGCTAATGATGTCTGAAGCTCACTGATTTCTTCTTGCAGCATTAAAATCTCATCCATCAAAGCCTATTTAGAAATGAGAGCAGACAACGCATTTGCCTCATTTACCAGTGAGAAGAAAGTATTTYAGGAGGCATAGACTAAATATAATACTCAAGACTAAATATAAAATTCAAGACAACTTTCGTGGGGGAGTATGAGGAACACAGAGTAACGCAGARTATCACTGCTGGTATGGTAGAGACAGAATTCCAAAGGACTGAGTCCTGCCTTTAGAAGCTTAAGCTAGGATCGTGTATCTGATTACTTAAATATGGATTTAACTACCTATCTTGAATTTCAGACATTATCACAAGAAGGAATTATTCTGGATATATTATACATACAGAATTATTCTTTCAATAAATTAGSTGCATGCATTCTAGTATTTACAATAAAGATAATGAACAAGTAACTGAGTGTGTGCTTGTGAGAGAAAAGATAGTGGCACRAGTTAGCTTCTAGCCCAAAGCTTTCAAACTGGACAAAGAACATCCAGTAACAGATATAAATATTCAGAGATTTATTCCATGGTGTAAAACAAGATCCTGCTCTCATTCTTAACCTATGAACCAGTTTTCAAGATACCTAAAAAAGGTTGCTACACTACCAATACCTTTGAGCTGATAGTTTGATCTCTGAGAGAATATGTGCACTGGATGCAAAGGACATCAAACAGTGCTGCAAAAGCCAATGGTTATCCTTTCCAAGTAATGGAGCTTCTATTGAAATAAGAACTGGCCCCACCAGATAGATTCAAGCTATCACGTAAAAGGCTTAGGTGATTACAGCTTAGGCATATGTCAGATAGGTTATTTGATATTCTCTTACTATTCAGAGCACTATTTCTCAAGAATTCCGCTGTGAGGGACTTTTTGTGTGCTTTGGTTTGTTTGTTTTRTTTAACAAGGTGAACATTTTATTTTGGTCAATACACAATACATCAGTATTGGTCATGATCTTATCAAATTTGRCAACATTATAAATATTCTTCAGCTCTGATACTGAAGAACAGTATGTGTAGGTGTCATTGGAAACAATCTTGTTTTGCTGAAAACAAACTCTTATGATCTATTTCTTCTAAAAAGGCTCCTCATTAAAAAAATGCCCATCATACAATGTTTAGAACAGTAGGAAGCCCAGAAAGACGAGACATAGTAGTTAACAAAGAAGGTTCACACAAAATTGCCTCTGTTTGAGGTATGTAGCCATGAAGAACTGCACTGTCTAAAGAACAGAATGAAAGATACGCAGGCAATGTGCGCTCTCCCGCTACTCTTCACATGCAAGGTTTTACCTGATGTTCTGCCATCTGGCTCTCTGGGCTTTTGGCTGGTTCCAAACTCTCATTTAGTTTGATTTCAGTGGTCTCCATTTTTGTGGATATAGATTGGAGTGTGTCCTGATACTTCTGTTGACGCTCAAGAGCTTCATAGAGTGTGCGCTGCTTTTCACTGATCTGAAGAAGAACAGAAGGTATACATTCTAACCTCTGACACAGGATTTACTGTTTAGTCTGCCTCGTATTTCCCTAGGCTTGAGAGAATAAAGCAGAAAAACTGGAACGAGTTTTCAAGAATATAAATTATCCAGCAAATATTGAAAATATTTATTTGCTTAAATTTCATCAGTCAAATTCTAGGCTCTGCTGCTTAAAAAAAAAAAAAAAAGGACTTTAATAAAGCATAGGGAAAACCTATGCACATTCTCAGGTGTTATTTTAGATTTCATGCACTCAAACACAGATGGCACCATTTACCAGACACATAGTTCTTAATACCCCATAAAAACTACTTTTCTTCTGAAAGGAATTAAAATTTATAATATCTGATCAAAACTCTGACCATTTTCATACATTGAATGATTATGCCACAAACCTATACAGAAATGTGCTGACTCAGTATTTGGATAAACTGGATTCTTGGGCCTTTCTTGCCAACTCAAGCTAAGACAGTTATTTGAATTTTATTCCTTATAATTCCTGGCCAATTATTTTAAAGTCTCCAGATAAATACTTACCACATTTTTCAGTGTTTCCCAAGAACGCTGCAAATCATCCAATTTGGCACTAGCAGGTGATTCTAAGCCTGGTTCGTAAAACTCCTGGGGGGCTGAGGTGCTGGGTTGAATTTTAGCAGCTTCTGTCTGCAATTGTTCAGCAGATAAGGCTTGGTAATAAGCAATGTCCTACAAGCACGAAGTACATTATTGCACTTTCAAAAAATAAAGATACTGCACATTATCCCCCCGATACTGTTCCACTGCATATGTCCATTAAAATAAAGCCCACAAAGCCAAAACCACTGGGAAACCTCTGAAAAACACAGTAAATCAGTATTTAATAGTAGTAGACTGAGCATGTTTTGGACCTTCACTACAATGAAGATTTTGAATGCATTTTAATCATGTTCATATTAGCTACRAGGTGCAGAAAGCAACTGTGGACAATCACTGAAAGGCTGGAAGGGGGAGTGTTATAAACGGGAGGGTTTTTCCAGCATCATTACAACTACACATGGGGGAAAACCCATCACAGAAGACAGTGGGTTATGGTACTGTAGATGGCAAATAYCACCCTAATGAACACTATCACAGMGAGAGCAGCAGAGGAGCCTGAAAGRAATATACTGAAGGACTGGTAAATGAGGCAAGAAAGAGTATGAAGCATCAGGCACAAGCCTTCCAACAAACAGATAGTCTCAACTAACTTATAGAAGTTACTGAGAAAAGGGACAAAAAGCACTAAGAAAATGGGCAAATGTTCAAACCACCAATGAAAATTCAGAGTGGAATTAYTTCTCACCAGAACTGTCTATACTTAGTGTATGGAGATTTCTTCAACTGTTGCAGATGACAACTGAAAACATCTACAGAAAATGTAGAATTAAGAAACATGTACAGTGTCTATACTTAGGTCAGGAAAGGAGACTTGATGACAGGGATTATTTAAAACTGAAACCATGTATGACAGTTAGCACTGCATTATTTGGGAGGTGAAAAATGCTGCCTCAAGGGAGGGCGCAAAGCAGACAGAACCAGGCACTTGTCAGTGGTTCCAGTAACAGGAGCAGAGGCAATGGGCACAAACTGCAGCACAGAAGATTCTCTCTGAACATCAGGAAATGACTTTTTACTGTGCATTGTGACAGGCTGCTCAGGGATGTTGTAGGTTCTCTGTCCTTAGAAACACTCAAAATAAACCTGAATATAGTCCTGGTCAACCTGAYGTACAGGGACCAGCTTGAGGAACAGTGCTGGGCCAAATGATCTCTGGAGGTTACTTCAACCTCAACCATTCTGTGATTYTGTACAGACGTATAAAAATCAGGTACTAAACAAGACTAATTCTGAGACACTGGAGCACAGAGTATAATAAGGATCTTAATTTGGAACAGAATGTAAACATGTTATCTAATACCATGCATGAACAAAAACAGGCTTTGGAAGAGCACAGAAACCAGATCACTCCAATGAAACGGTCCAAAAGTGTCAGATGAGGTACTTCTTCAGAGACAATAAYTGGGAAACTTGAAAAACTTAATGAKGAAAGTGTTATGATGTCCAGGAGCCATCATGGAATAGGTAACAGCACAGCATTCAGCACTGCAATTTCAGAATTTTTTTACTCTGACCACAAGTGATGTTTCCAAGCAATGATGAAAAGTTGCACCAGTGGGGGCAACTTCTCATTTTGCCTTGCCTGCAGCGACTCTCCTTTGCTAGTCCTCTCTCAAAGTCAATGCTTCTGTGCCCTCTTAATATGGTTTTCAGAATAAAGGGCTTGTTTTCACCAAGAGAGAAAAGCAATCCCTTTCCCCATCTTTTCAACTGCTTTCTGGAGTATACAACACAGCAGCTTCTCTTTTGCAGAGGTTTCACATGACAGTAGGAATCCGAATGTTCATACAAGTAAAAGATTTTCTTGCCCCTATGAGGGCCCTAATATCTCATGGCTATTTTAATGAAGATTAGCCAATGAACAGCAGTCAAGCTTTGTTGTTAGATGTAGAGGCAATGGTTGTATTTAGATTTTGTGAGATCCGCAACAAGGGCTGCTGCACCGTAGATGGGTATTCATAAAGGAAAGAAAAAGAATCCTTAAGTAGGCTGTGTACAAGGAGATAGAAAAGCATTTAACAGTGACCCAGTGCATAAGACRTGAATCACAGGATCAGCTGTGGCCTACAGGGCGCTGTGCCAACACTTCAGCTTTTTCACTTCAACTGCTCTGCATTGTGTATCAGAAAAAAACAAGGTTTAAAAAGTGTGTCAGATTTTGATCAGCTACACCCTTGGGTAAGTGCAAGAAGATTTAGCCCCAAAGGATTCTCATTCAGTACTGCAGCATAGATGAAGTGTCTAATTTTGCTAAACATCACAATGAACTGCATTTCAGGACTCTTAGCTATTGCTCATATTTTACATACTATGAAATTCCTCCGTGTTTCCAATGTTAACACCTCTATAATTTTCCCCGACCTTGCTGTTTTTAGAGGAGTTTAAAAAAAGAACAGGCATTTTTAAACTTACGGTAATGCTAGAATTGTCACTTTATTGTATTTCTGGTCCTGTTTTAATCTATTTCAACACATAACCCCAGTATTTCACTAATAAGCAGTTGGCACTTAGTTTATATTTTTGTTACTTGTTAGAAATGTAAAAACAGTGCATAGATGTCTGAATTCAGACTAACTGTGTTTCACCATTAAGAGATGATATGAAACTGCTGAAGGACATAGAAAATTATTCAAGATGAATTAAAAAGCAGTCTTWACACTCAACCCTTCCCTCCCCAATTGCCTTTTCAGAAGAGTTTTACTTTTTTTCCCAAATAAGTTATTCTACACTTTCTGGAGTTCCTATTCACATTTTTTCCTGGTAGTTTGCAGATGCTCTTCCTGTGAGGAATTTGTTCTTTAAATTGGCTACTTTTTAAAACCAAATATTTCCACATAATTTTGCTGATTTCCTGTAAAAATACAAAATGTTTAGAACTTACATTTAAGCTCCTAGTTCACTAGAGTCCAGGATATATTTTTCTCAACCAACCTTCTTTCCTGAGGTCTCCCTGGGTATTCATCATGACCAGCACTTACAGCTTCATAGCTTCTTCACTTTTAATCTCAAGTGAGAGTGAATTTAAGAATTTTGTAACTAAACCACTGCATTTTGGAACATTCTTCCTCTTGTTGTTTAGTACATGCAGTTCATTTCAACATCAACCACACAGAAGAAAACTTCAGCTCGAAATTTTTTAGGTTATTATAATAGCATCAACTTTATCGCTCTGAAAAAATCTTCTGCTAAATGAAAGACATAAACTTTTTGTTTAATTTTGCCCAAGGAAACWGTGTATTCTAAAACTTGTATTTTGGTATCAGCTTATGGTGGAACATCATCTTCACTGTGTTTTCCTTATTATCTGAGTGACTGGAGCTGTTTGACTTGTACATTTTCAGAGAAAAGTAATGAACTGACACTGGCATTGTTGATTAGGAAGTAAGATGCGCTCAGTCCTTTAACTCCTTCACTGATTAATGGTGTCATAAGACTTCTATGTTGAAATGTATCTCTACCTTTCTACAGCAAGTGAAYTTCACAAGGAACCTACTGATCATCTTAAATGACAGAACACTAGAAAAATTCTTCTTATGCATTATACTTTTTTTTAAGTATGCCATTGATGATTTTGTTACCACTCTTACTATCTTAGATTCTTATATTTAGCAACTTCTATAGCACCATATACATTTCTGAAATTAGCAGAAGGAATCAATGAGCATCTTGCTCAGACTTGTCCAATTCTACTCAGCAATGCAACACAAACACATTCTAACCCATAAGTCAGCAGTGGTCAGTTTTGGAAGCAGTCACCAACGCAAAACCAACCAATCAACCACAAGATCCAGAACATGATGAATTCAGAGAGGTGGTGACAGCTTCTAAGGCTCATTTCTAAACTTCTAAAGCACAACATTTTATGTGTGACTTTATGTACAAGATGCTTAATRTGCTGGCTCAACGTTTAATCAATCACTTTAATCAATGCTGATGTATAGTTGTTCCTATTAGAASTGCAAGAGCCCTCAGTTTTGATTTAAAATCTAAGTTGGTTACTTCAGTGATCTGCCTCACTGGCACTTAAAATAGACTGCCATGGAAATGAACAATGTTGGAATGAAAGATACAGGGAAAAAACCACATGAAAATTAATGACTCAAATGGTAATAAGTAGAAGACTTCAGGCTGTGACTTCAGTGCCACAATGGCAATAGTACAGTAAGAYAGATGGATATGGACATAATGCAATGTTTCGTTATGGGGAGTACAAAAAGGCATTTTTTCTCAGGATGCAAGATTCCATTGAGTACTACTGAGAAAATAACAATTAGGTTATAAWTAGAAAATGCTAGTGACATTGCAACTGCCACTTAAAATTTATTTTTAAAAATAATGAATGGCTGTAACACTGACTTATACAACTTCAACTCACAAGTCAGTATCTGTATCCATTCTGAACCAGAACCTGAAGGCTCAGTTTGGTAAGAGGTTAAGCCTCAGTTACTTGGAGCTATAGCTAAATATTATCTCAGAGGATTAAAYAAACCACCTGTGGAATGGAACCATGAATGTCTGAGATAAAAGCTGAATGAATGCCAAGAGAGAGGTACCTGGTTAACAGAAGCATCTGTATTAGCCACAGGTGAGGGAGAGCGACAGGCAGGTGGAGAAGAAATCTCACTGTTGGTTCCCTCCTCCCCAGACTCCTCAGTGACAGGGGAGAGCAGCGTGTGACAGCGACCTGCAGTCATCTGTCACAGGAAAAGCAACCCCAGAGCACAGGAAGAAAATAAGTTACCTCAGCTGAGGCTTGACTTAGACTGAGATCAAAACAACACACGGCCAGAATTACCWCGACATTAATTAGTCATGCTTCATGCTCCTACATTTACCAGTTTAGAAATCTGTTGAATAAATRGTCTCACGTACTTGTCATACTTCAGTATGAAAATGCTCTCTTGTACCCTAGTGGATTTTAAAAGACAATGTAGAGCAAGCAACTCGATAATAACAAATAGGTTATAGGTTTGCCGAAATGTCTTCTAATACAATCACTGCTGCATACAGAAATACTATGGAGAGCTACAGAATAACTGCATCCAGGTCTGGTTCGAACAACAAGGAACAGATTTAAAACATAAAATACACATAACCCAGTATTCAGACATATCCTTCTTCCTTCCCCAGCATTGCTATAGATGGATAAATCCTGAAATCTGACACTCAGATAAAAATCGCAGTAGCATCAGCAGTATGTTTGTAATGAGACCCAGTTAGAAACAAACAAAAGCAAAATAAGCTAAAYATTAGGCCTATGGCAGCACTTAGACAGCTTTCATTTCCAGAACACTCATCTGAGAATATAGCAGTATACTGTCAATTATCACATCAACATTTCAATGTTTGAAAAGCCTATACACTGCAATRTCTTATGAAATAGTATTTATTCTGTTTTTATTTTATTCCTGCAACTCATCAGTTTCTTAGCATTTGTTCTTGCATGCTGACAGCTAAAAAAAAAGCACAATATTTGCATATTTCTGTAGACAACTTTTATGCATTTGTTTYTTAAATAACTTCATCCTTTATCAAGGAGTCTTTACAACCAATATAAAGCAAAATACACTAAAAGGAAGCTGCAACTTGTCTGGTTTGCCACACTACAGCCATTTCAAAAGCTAGATGTGGATGTGAGCTGTGGCAATGTGCTACACACGAGTGTTGTAATGATGCAAAAGGAAGCAGCTCAGATAATGAGCACAGTGACCATTGCATTGCTTACCATAACCACCGAGGGATGAGCGGGGTGTGCCGGGAGCAGGTCTGAATCCAGCTCCTCCATTCCCTCGGACAGCCCCTCCACTTCTGTCACTGTCAGCAGCATGGTGGCATGTTTYGCTTTCATTGTCAGCATCTTGCACTTGGAATTCAAAGAAGCAATTTGCTCCTGGTATCCTTTGATCTTCTGAGCCAGCTCCTGAGGAAACATTTTTTTCCCCTAATGCTGAGGCAGCCGGTAAAGGCAGCAGGACCGGCATTTCAGCTTCCGCGGCGAAGTGRAGCTGTCCCCTCCAAGCCCAGTCAATACCATGGCAGCGCTGCCGCTCTGCTGACGAGCAGGATGTCGCCAGCGCCGGGACCGAGCCGGGCGCGTTCGGCTGCGCCGCGAAACCGCAGAGCGGCGGCGGCCAAAGGCTCCGTGCGCCCGGCAGCGCAGAGCGCAGCGAGGGAGGCAGCGACGCCTCACGCTCGCATCCTTCCTGAACCTGAGCCCATGGCTGAAAGCTTCACGCTGCACCGAAGGGGAACGTCTCTCTCTCTTCCTGCCCTATTTTTCCCCCCGATCTACTTCCATTTATCTGAGGAAGATGAAGCTCCCCSGCATGGTGCATGCCAGGGAAATGAGGTCATGTGGTAACCACAACTGTAAAAAATGCCCCATTCAGCTCTCACCAGAAAGAATGAATTGTCCGAACAGTAACTCACAGGCTCTAACAGGATCAAATGTGGTAGTTACAATCAGTCACATAATAAGATTACATGCAGACTGGATTGCTTTTTGCCACTGTTTGGATAAGCTGTATTTTAATCTTGTTTTGGTTTTGTGTAAGTCTGCTGAGTCAAAAACTGAGCTGCCCACAGGACTAACCTTACTTTGAAAAAGAGATGCAGAATCTGGCTTAAAGCAGAGTATATTTTAAAATATTGGCGGGGTTATGCTTATGAAATGGTCTATTTATGTGGCCAAACACTATCATAAGCTTCAGTTTTTTTACACAAGTAAGATTAAAATTAATAGCCTTATGACTATTCATAAGTGTCTTCTCTCCTACACTATACTGTTGCCCTGTTCAGTGTCCAGTTTCAAAGCTCTCAATTAATGCACTTCAAACAAAAAATGGTGGAAGCGTTTAATATTTCTGCTGAAGGTGTTGTCCCTGTCTCCCTAGAGGCTCAGTAACAAGTTAAGAGTTTTTACCCATAAAGTGAAAACACTTGTATAAGCTTGCCTGCTAAATTGGTGACTATTTGGTCAAATATATATTTCTGCTTTATTTTTATATCTGTTTTTACTTCTTCAAAACTCGCAAGTTTTCAAGGCAAAATAGCAACAGGAGTTGTAAGGTCTAGTAGGCATAATAATMTATTATTACAATATCTTTCCAAAAGTAAGTAAGACTACTTCTTCAGGCTGATATATGAAAAGTTTGCTTGGATGTATAACATTTTCAGTAAGAAAATTCCTCAAAATTACAGTGCAGAACACTCATTCCAAGAAATACTGAGTTAGGAATTTAAACAGCTCGAAGACTGAGGATGACACTTAACTACTTCAGTTTCAATGTCACCTTGTCACCATCTGCCACATTARCAACAAAAGGACCTCTCTTGGTGCTCCAAAGCTTTCCTTGGAGACTAAGAAAAGTCTTGATTATAAAACATCAAGCAGAATGGCATGAAACCAAGCTACAGTCCAATCAAGCCACAAATTTAATGTCTAGCAGCTCGAATAGTTATCTGCTGTTTGGCAAAGTCATTCACTAATGCTCAGTGAGTGACATATCTGAGCCTCAGTAAAAAATTACTGTCATTCAGTACACTCACTTTATTCCATCAACATTACTGAAGTGCAATTTGTGCACATTTGTGGTTTTAATGTCCAACACACTGAGTATCTAAAATACCTCCTTCAACTTTAAACAAGGAAAAGTAGGCAAAAATGTGATTGAAAAAAAAAAAAGTAAAGCATCTTATAAAAGCAATGTCCTATGAGGTATTGTATTATCCATCAAAATAAAATTTGCAAGTATAGAGATACTTGCCCACACTTTTAACTGAAATTCTAAAGAAACATGGGTCAGCAAAGATAGTATCTACTTACATACATGCATATTAACACAAGCTTCCTAAAAATCAAGATGTAATTTCCTTCCATTTTCTTCCCTTCTATTATTTTAATTCTAAATACAGCTACTACAAATGTCCCTTTAAGTTCTTTTATATACAGGCTTCAACAGGGATCTGGTAATAAGTATTTTCTTAATAACACAGTTAACAAACATCTTGACAGACTTGACTTTTGAGTATCTACTTCATGTTATGCTTTTTCACAGGTATTTAACAGAGAAAACATGAGCCAAAAGTATGCTTTTTACAGTTTCTCAAAACTCCTTACCCCTAAATGTGGAAAGCTTGCAAGCATGAAGTCTGCTGATCCCAACACGTGCATTTGCATAAAGCTGCTGCCTTCCTGCAGATGTTTAGGACAACTCCTGGCTACTAAATTTGCTCAAATTTAGATGTAACTTTAAGCTGCCCCATTTTTAATTCCTTCCTGTCKGAAGCACCATTCCTCCAGCAGTATTACCCTTTATTGCTGAATTCACTCTCCTGCCTTTGCTGTCACAGAGCATTTGAATAGAGAACAGTAGCATTATCAATTCCATACTGAAAAAAACCCAGAAATTTTTGTTTATTCAACCTGCTCTTGAATTCAACTGCTGTAACTACTGGATAGAAAATGAGCAACACATATAACATTAGGTTAGATGACACAGCAGGACAGATARCTTTAATTCAAAGGTAAAGAAATGGTGCCATCTGGTGCCAAAAGTGACACACAGAGATCAGTGCATTTTCTATCCCAAGTATGACACAACAGACAGGTGRAGGGGAAAGGGGCTCAGGAGGAGCTCTCAAGCCAGCACAGCAAGAAGGCTGCACAGAGACAACTCTGACTTATTCAAGGGCTGATGATCAATGAGTTAGTGGGTAGGACTAACTAGAGCACAAAAATCTTCCCAACAAAGACTTTAAAGAAACGCTTGGACTGAACGGTGCAGAGTTTTCCTCCAAATCTATTGTGGGTTTCCTGTGATTCAAGTATCTTGGTATTCAGTACAGAATGTCACTGGGATGAAAATGAGCAAGTACTTTAGGATATGCATGCACACATGTGGATCACTGAAATAGGATATACATGCATACATGTGGATCACTGAAATAGGATATACATGCATACATGTGGATCATTGAAATAGTTGTAATTATCTGACTAACTGCTGAACTGGGACTTCTAGGACATTCCTCCATCAAGTTCTGATGTTAACTGTCCCTTAACTATGCAATGCTGTTGTTTATCATAATGTTGTCCAAAGGCTAGGATATAACTAAAGGAACAAAAAATGAATTCTCCCTATTGTACCACTATCAGAAATTTCCTGTCTGGTATTACATCTATCCACTCAACCAGCCTTGAGGAAATCTGAAAAGCAACCCAGCTAACTTATGACCATTGCTCATGAAAAGTTGTTTGGCTCAGTGAGCTGCCATTGAGCCCAACGGGTTGATGCATTTTGGCTCTCCTACCTCGTTACGTGAAATCTGGACCTGGAGTTCCTGGATGTTGCTGGTTGCTATTGGCTTGTCTTGGATCTCGCGATGGGCGCTCTCTATCATCTGCTGCAGATGTTTCATTTCTTGCTCATATTGCTCATACTGAACCACTGCTTCCTAGAGAGGGAAAAGAAGATTGAGTGTGTCTACATTAAAATTCATTTCTACTTAGTCTAAGCATGACAGATTTCCTTCCTGAAATGGAACAAATTTACATCTATCTGGCACTCACATCTTGATAAGCAAAGTCAGGAAAAGGTCTATTCATATTGTGAGCTGCAATGATTTGCATTAATATGTTAATATATTAATTAATTAATATATTAACCAAATAAATGGTTTCATTTATTTACATATTTCCCAAGCCCACAGTCCATATAACATAGTATTTTAGATTTCTGATGTAAGGTGCTATAACTTCTTATTCCAACAAGTTCCTGAACCAAACACATCCACAAGAAGATAGCCTTGCTGAGTCTCATGGTTTTACTATAAAGCACTTTTATGTGCTTTTTCACTTCAGGTGYTCATTTATCACTGTAAGAAGCTTAGATTTTACAGAAAATATATCTGGGAGAGGATTACGAAGATTGATTTAGATAATTATCCTACCAGGGTAGTATCACTGCTGTCTATCATAGATACATGAGCAGTGTAACCAGTTTTTTAAACTTTCAATGTGACATTGTAACCCTTCTTCTTCTGTTATCTAACTTAAAACTTTGTAGTTGCACTCTAGCCCACTATGTATATTCCTGTCAATAAACAGCAGAGAAGAAAAGCTTATTCTCTCCTKTGGAAATACCTTTTACATGTTTAATTATGAATCCAAACAACCAAAAAAATCTAGTTTATTCATCTTTAAAAAAACTTAACCATGCAAATTTAACAGATGTTAAATGATTCCAAAATAAGGAATATATATATATATATATATATAAAAATTATAAATAAAGAGAATAAAAATAATTACTTTATACTAGAAAGTTAATTCAATGACTCAATAGTTTTTAGGCAATCTTCAGAAGCAGCTGCTGTAAAAATGTTACATTTATTTTATTAACTTACTATATATCTTATAAAATTAACCTGCATAAAATTGCATATTAGCTGTCTGTGTAGTTAACCCTAACAGCATTCAAAAAACCATATCAATATCAGGGAGAGAACTGAGGTGARAGTCTGATGAGTAAATCAACATGGTCATGAACATTAAAATCAGGAATGACTGAGACTCAGAGGGGAAGTTCCTAATGGTACAGTGGAACAGAGGAATGCACAGAGATATGAAATTCTGTGTTTTCATCACGGTTTGTATGTCAGTGTTCAAGTTCCTCTGAGTAAGCTGTGGATGGAGTTGCACTTGCCTGCATGATGTTGCACTGCTGAATGGCAGTGTGCTGCAGGCGGCTGGCCTCCTCCTGGAGCCGCAGGGCGCTGTGRCACATGGGCAGGCTGGTCACCACCTCCTCAGGAATCCTCAGGGCACTCTGGCAGTCTTGTACTGCCTGGACTTTTGGCTTCAGTGACTCCATTTCAGACAACAGATGCTAGAAGCAAAGTCGGTGACACAATAAGCCAATTTTTCAGAACTCCCAGAGCAYTTCATGCAGCCAAAGACAAATAATGGTAAGTTCAAGCAATAAAATAAAGAAATCATAATCTCTTTCCTAAATTGGATATAATTAGGCACACTTTCTCTGGAGTTGCTTATTTTGAAATGAGAATTCTTTCAAAGGTTAGTTAAGCAAAAAGTCCATATATTAGGAATAAAATTAATTAATAAAAATGCATAGAAGTACCTAATTGTAGGTGTCTAAAATAAGTATTTCTATTAACAGATTTGAGAAAATAGATTTACAAAATACACAAATAGAAGCAGCACATAATTTATCTGTATGCATATCTCATGTTAAAATCTGAGTAGAACTCCCTGCTGAGAGACAGAAGCACATTTTCACTACAGCAAATGAAACCCTTTGTATTCACAGCCTTTCCTTGAAAATACAAACCATGGCTGGAAAATTTTGCTTAAAATTCAAAAGGCAATCAAACAGAAAGGAATACAGCTACACAGAAATCTCTTTTTTTGAATAATCACAAGCTGGATGCCTTTGTTAACAGTGCCTATTCCATACACAATGTCCATTAAAGCTGTCTGTTCATATGTATGAGAAGGGTCCTAGTGCAATGATTGGAGAATAGATTTGATTACCGTTCTTATAATCTACATTGAGGAGTTTAATGTATGTATGAATATGGAAAGAAAAAAACAAAAGAAAAAAAAAAGGCAAAGTTGATAAAAAGGGCCTTAGCATATTAAAAAACGACTTTAGATTCAATAGACATAAATTAGCTGGAGAGTGAGGCAAACAGGGATAGAGAGATTGGTTATCTGCCTTTCTCTACAGCACATGCAGAAGGATAGCTAAGTGGGTCTGCAGTGGCATACTGATTAGAGGATTGTGGTTTGTTTCTTATTTCTGTGGTTTCATGACATATGGTGGGCAACCTAAACAGCATTTCTGTATAATGACCTACTCCTCAGACAGCACTGGTGGGGCCTTTCCTCTGTCAGGCTCCACAATGCTGGAAAAGGGTGTCTATTGTGCAATCAGCACCCAGAGGCACCTTGGGGGTGGCTTGCCAGCCAGGCACTCTCCAAGACCCCCTCTCTGGTCTGGTGAAACAGGTGGACAGGGGATACAGCCCCTTTCTGTACTAAAGAAATTCATAGTGAGATCTGCTAGAGCCAGGACAAAGAATACACATAAAACCCAGTGCAAACTCCRTGCTCCTTTATTCTTATGGTGGGTGATGTGTTTCACTTACACTCTTCRAGGCCACATTCTGAAATATGTTTGCAAGTCACCAGAATAGAAACTGCATTTTAATGAAAAGGAAAAGCTGTGCAAATTTACCTTTCTTCCATATGTTTTTCTGCAGATTTTTATCCTACAGTGAACCTGCTGACATCCAGTTTTCACTGGCAGACTAAGACAGTGCTCTATATTAGCTTGCAGAAATAAACATGTCTTAAGAACATCAGAAAGCTGTAACTYGCCTTATTTTTGCTGTTAAGAGACTGAGACCTAAACTAACAAACTGACAAATCTCCATAGCAGATCAAATGCAATAAATAAAGATACAAATATCTTATGGAGGTAATTCAACTAAATRTACAAAAATGTGACTGGGCTTAAGGAAACCTAAATTTTCTCGTCGCTCTCCAGATGGCTATTGGGGAAGTTAGAAACAAACTATACGATTGCATCTCCATGTGTAAAATGATGACAACAATCTAGACTCTTTTTTGAAGTACTTTAAGAACCTCTTGACCAAAAGTACTAGATAAGAATTGGGCTTTATGATGATTACCAATACGGATTAAATGGATTGGATGCACACTTCTCAGAATTGCATCAACGTAAGAATGGGCTCATAAAGAATTATATTCTGAGGAACTATTCTTGCTCCATCCCTTATTTTCTTGGCAGTAATTTGGTGCTACACTCTGAAACAGTGACCCACTTAAGAAACACAACAATCAGTCTCACTAACGCTCATTATTCTTTGTGTAAGCTCACACTCTCAAATGCTAACTTTGAGATCATGGTCTTTTACCTGTCTGTGAGAAAGTTGCTCTTTCAAGCTCAAATGCCCGAGCTCTGGAGAGGTCAGCGTGGCTTGGGCTTGCTCCAAAGCAGCCTGGAGAGCTCTCAGCTCAATTTCAAATTTCTTCATATCCTGTAACACAACACATTTGATTCAGGGATCAATGAGAAGAAAAAAAGAAATCACTATAAATATATMTGTCTGGATATTGTAGGTACATCCCCCTTACATACAGTACAAAAACTAATTAATAGTTTGACAGTTAATTTTAAATGTTTAAAATATTAGATGAAAATACCAGTCATATGACAGATTAGAAAGAGGGATTGCAAAGGTAGTTATTATTTTAGGTACTTCAGTTTCAAATACAGCATATACTTCATAAAACTTATTTCACAGTGTTCAAGGCCCAGAAAGAAGCTGAAGATGTCCTCTAGCCAACTTTTTGCAATAAGACAAGACACAACTGCCTCAAATTTATAGACTGTTTTTAAAGACCACTAGCAATGGAGTCCTGCATATCACTACAGGCAACAAGTTCCACTATTTCAGTAATCTTTTTTTGCAGAAAGTTTTTTCTGATGATCTGACACGAAGTCACCTTTTACTGCAGTTCCAATATTTTACTTACTATCTCACTAACAACAAAYACAAAGAACAAATTATTTTTATCCTCTCTTTTCATGAGAATGCATGTCCTCTACAAATTTATGCCCACAGTACAATCATTCCTATCCTCGGATCTCTATGCAGTTGATCCACACCTTCCTTCAAATGCAAAACTTAACACTGCTGAAACCTTGCTAGAAACCAGTACATAGAAACCAGTACACAGAACAAAAAAGAGCAGTTCATACACCTTACAATTATATACCTTATTTTCTGCATGGTGTGCAGAAATTTTTCAACAGTGTTATACCATTCACTCATTTACCCATGAAATGGATTATTAAACTTAGGAATTTTCAGCAGGGTATGTCAAGACAGTAGTCCCTCATTCAGAAGTAGAACACATGCTTGGTTCTTACTTTCTAAACATAACAATTTACTTCTGTCTTTGCTGCACAGTAGCCTATTTTTTTTTCAGGTAATCCCTGTACATATGGTGTTGTCTAAGTATCCCAAAAGCCATGATCTCTAAACCAGCATCCAATTTATTAATGAAAAATGCTGAATAGTACCAGGTCYGAGGAAGAATGCTACAAACCCTATTTGGGCTGCAAATCATTGWTAATTACACAACACGTAAATTTTCTAGCTAGCTTTATAGCCAGCTTTATTGTATTTTTAAATAGAAAACCTTATTAACTCTTTTAATAACAATATAATGTGAAATAAATTCAAAACATGCAACACACTGTGTATTTACATCCAAATTTATGTATTACTTTGACATAAAATTTGTTTTGATTTTCTTTCTTCATAAATGTATGCTGGCTTATCTTCATTCATTCTTGCTTGTAAGAATTTACAAATAGTATCAATATTTCTCTGAGAACTGAAGCTAGTATGTTTCACTTCTACGATGATTACTTACATGTAAATATCTGGTTTGTTCCATGAAAAATGATTATTAAAAAAACCCATATCCTTCAGCTCATAAACTGGTTTATAWTTTGGTAATGGAAAGAAGTCTTTTTCAAAATCTCTCTGCTACACTGTTACAGCTGCTGCAGTTGCAGCATTTCTCTTATGWCCCACAAATGTTGTGAAGTAAGTGACAAATGTKGAGCAGGACCATTTTCAACCTTAGYTGCAATTGTCCTAACAAATGATAGCCTATTCTCTTAGTTGCTTTTAGGTATTTTCTTATTTAGTCCTGTGTAACTGTAGCAGGTAACAGAAAAACCCCTATAAATATATTAATTATACCCTTAAAATACTCTTTTTTTCCTTGGATTCTTGTATCAATAAAAAAAAAAAAAACCCAAAAAAACAAAAGTGAAATTTCTTGCTCTGGAGGCAAGAGCACATAGAAAAAGCTTCTGTTCTTTTCCCTGTGTCTTTCATCAGCTTACTGTGCCTTCAGACACTGTACAGGCATAACACACACTTACATTAAMAACTATCCCATACAGAAGAGCTGCATAGAAATGTCAAGGACATGAAAAACCATGTTCATTCTTTTCACTCCCTTCYAGAGGTAGGCTTTACATTATGGAATTCTGTTTCTAGTCCAGTACTAATCTTAATTAGTAAAAGGATTTAGTTACCTTTTTAGAGAAAAATAAAGGAAATGGCAGAATATAAGTGTCAATAAAAACCCTTTTCAAGTATCTAAACACAGGTGCTCAGTGCTATTTAAGACACACCAAAATCCCAAATATATCTGTCCAGAGAAGGTACTTATAACAGGACCTGCAGAAACCTTGTGCCCATCAGAGTCAGCACATGAAGGCAATATCTCAAACAGCACCCGATACCTGACTTTGGACAACACAATCATGCCCTTTATAGACCACAGATTATCTTCACTGCTAATAATCTCAGTAGTATGATGCATACACCACCCTAGCTGCCAGTTAGCATTAGACAAACTGCTTTCACTTACCTTGGCAGCATCTTGGAGATTTGGTAGCTGCGCTTTGATAATTTGCTGCAATTCCTCTGTCCGCCGGCCCAGTTCCAGCACTTGCTGTGACATTCCTTCAGTACAGTAYACACTTGCCAGGTAATCAATCCTCTCACTCATGGCCTCAAGATCACCATGAATCTCCCCRGACTCATCAAGAATGCTCTAGATGGAGATATAAGCAAATTGAGTATCAGGTTTGAGACTCAGTGACACATWTCTTTTAAGTATATTCTTTTTCTGCAAACTATTCAATCTGTACCCATTTGTAAGCCTATGATTAAGTTCTACTGATTTCCTGTAAGGCAATATTCTTAGTCCTGAATGTTTGCTGAAGTGCTTCATCTTATAGAGACTGGGAAACCAATGATTAAGTCATGAAACTTCAGCAGCTGTACTTACCAACTTAATTTTAGTGTTTTGCCATATACAGTTATGTGTAAAAATACAATATACGCAACCTGTAGAGAAGATTTGTTCTGGAAGCCTCTTGTACCTAACAGGAAATAGCAGAAAGCATTTGGGTGCAGTGTTATAGTAGGACAGGAGTCATTAATGCTGCCTAAAAATACACTGCAAAAGTATTGTGTGGGATGGCATTGGTTAAGCCTCAGATTTCAAGGCAGGGAAAAAAGCCATAGCAAAACCAAAACAGAAATTCTGTCTCCAGCTTTCCTCAGGATAAATTGCCTGGACGTTCCTAATCAGAACAGGAAGTGTGACAAACTACACTGCACTAACGTACGAGAACACAGCTGACAATTGAATAACGTATATATATAAACCATAATTTATGTAGTCTTATTTTGGTATCAGTTGTACATCATYATCTTATGAGGATTTGATTTGTTTCACATAGTCACAAAACACCAGGCACGCTGGAACCTTATCAAAACATCCCACTGATCTCACACGCATGTTCCACACACAGACACACACAGAACAAATTGCACAATTATACAGGGAGAGCAAATCACTCTGATGTGAAAAGTTCAGGAGGCAATTGGAAAAAACTCTTCCATTAGGTATCAGTTTGAGAATATTTGCTATGAAATTCATTAGATGAGAATAAAGAGTATTCCAATTCAGCGTAATGGAGAAAGAAAAAAAAACCCAAAGTGAAAATGATGCTGATTAACTAAAGCTTTTGAATATGAGCTGCCTTAAGGTGCTCAGTGTGATAGAATCACAGTGTACAATGTTCAGCCAAAAGCTACTGTGAAACCAAACCACCTGAGTAAACATGGAGACCTATTTTTAATAACTAAGTTTTATTCCACAATGTATCCCTATCTCAGTATTCAAAACAATTGCCCAAAAACAATTACTTATTTTTAAGGCTTGAGGGAACAGTCAAAGAAATCTAGCACTTCAGGATATTTTTTCCTCAAGGAAAGAAGGCAAAAAGAAGGTATAGAAGTAAAACTCCATTGCTTTAAAAATAATGGTTTTATACAGTGCCTTTTAAATTTCATTGCTCACATAATCACCTGGTAGGCTTTAAACTGATCACGAAGCTGAGAGGAAGAATTCCATGTTATACTACCATGTACTAGGATATTTGCTTTCTCAATCCATTTCAGTATGAACTCCAGCATCTCATTGTATTCTTCCAAGTGTGAAGCAGCCTGGATAAAAGAAAAATTTGCTTAAGCCTAATATGTAATTTTGTACATTTCTTAGAGAATGATAAAACTAATTTTTTTTTTTTTCACTGTTTTAACCTGGGGTCATTTCAACAACTTTTCCTTGCTGTTTTATATAATTTAATTACTTTTGCATTTATGGAGGTGAAATAGATCTGATTTCAGTAGTAAGATTATATATTTTGGGGAAAAAAAGGCACTGTAAAAATGATGGTCACACTGGGAGAGTCCACTGATGCTCAAGTATGTCCTTAGAGGGTATACTCCTTGAGTATATTTCAGACTCACATGTAAGTTCCAAATACTTCCACTCTCAGTCTGTGGCTCATTTTGTTATTTAAATAATGTCTCTTTCCACCACATCCTACAAACCACCTTTTTTTTTTACACAATTTGCTTTTTCCACTCAGTCATATTTCCAAAAAATGAAATGTTGCAACATTTCAAAATACAGGACAAAAGTTCTGCTTTCTGATGAATCCAATTTCTATTTAGCAAAGTACTCATAAATTCCAATTTTCTTTTCAGCAGGAGTAGTTTCACTGATGTTCATGAATTTCCTCTTTATAAAGGATGGATCAAATACCAGGTGACCAAACTTTGGTATTTGCAAGCAATTTTCAATACCTATCAKTTTTTATGATAAATGGATTTCTTGGTCCTAAACAAAAATATCCTAATGTTAAATCCRTCAACCAAATACCCTTGACTGAATTCTTACTTTGATAATAATTTTCTATCTCKTCTTAAAATCAATTTTTTAGAGGAAATGGAAAATAATATCTTGAGGTTATCCTTCTCAAGCCTTACAGAAGCATCTTTAGGCATGCAAAACGGAGAACTCATAATTTATCAGGGTATTGATGGCAGAACTCTATAAAATCCATTTCTTTGCTTTTAGCTAGAGGTTTTTTTGGGATAAGAACAATTAGGGGRAAAAAAAAAGARGAGAAAAATATCAGGGACTTTGAACCACAGGGGATGCACCTTCATGCGTGACAAAATACACATTATCAGACCCACTGCATTTAGGCTTTTCTATTGAATCTACAAGCTGTATTCACCCTCTGTGTATTGAGACTAGGGCAAAACAATTTTTTAAATTTTTTTTTAATGATACAAATACAGCTAACAGTGACAAAACAGAGACCCTGAAAAGCACGGGATTCTATTTCCTGGTGTGCTACTGTTTGTGAGATCCACAATCATTTTATGGTACCAAAAGAACTAAATAGCAGATGATTCATGCAAGGGGGTGTTAAAGCAGCATCACAGAATTATTTGGCTCTCTGATTTGACCTGTGTCTCTTAGGAATGTGATGCAAGCCRTGACTAATAATAGGCAGATGTGTCAAGGAATGCCCCTTCTGGCATAACTATAGGAAAATAAATGAGATGTTTGCACGCTCCTTCTGCTGCTGAAAGGGAAGAGCAGAAAGCATTTGAGGTCGTACCTGACTGAGCTTGGCTGCTCTGTACTCAGCCTGCCGTATGGTCTGCTGATGYAGTACAGTGAGTTTCCCTATCCTGTTAGCCAGCTGCTTAGCCAGGGGTGCGTTTTGCTCTGCAAAATCCTGGACTGATGCATCTAATTCCAACAGCTTTATATTGCAGCTGTCCAACTCTTCACCAAGGATCTAGACAGAAAAACAATGAAATCAGTGATCCAGGAATTGCTAGCTTTTTGGTTGATTATTTCTAGTTCAACTTGCAACTTTTACACCCCGTCCAAAGTCTCCGTAGGTTGTTCCATTTTTAGCAGGAAAGCAGAACAGCAGGATGTTTGGTCATCTCTTAAATATGTGCCATTACTCTTTCTTCTCTGACTTCCTCTCTGAAATGGATAACCGCTTTCCCTGMCACAGCCAAAGACTGAGTCACTTCAGTGGGACATTAACTGTTGTCAAGCATGTTTGTGTGTTTGTTTCTGAAATGAATAGTCAGCACAGACTGCCATGACAAGGATTTTTATTTATTGGAARAGGAGATTCTTTCATTGCTGTCTTGAAATATAATTTTATAAACTTCTAAAAATATAGTTACTCATTAATGGATTATGAAAACTTTTATGTTCATTTGAAACTTGTATTTTTATAGCATGATCTTGATGCACAAACAGTCTGATCATGCTAGACTGTTTCAACAGAAACAGAGTTTAAAATCAATTTTTCTTACCATAGCCACAAATATTTTGAAAAGGAGGCCTAGAAAGTTTTCCATGTTTCTCATAGATTTATAGCATACTTAACCAGACAGGTTACTGGTTATTTTTGTATTTGTTTTTCATAACTAAGATGTTAAAAATTAATTGGTTTTGTAACACAAAAAAAAATCAGTACAAAATCACAGAACAGATTATGTTGGAATGGTCCACACTGGGTCATCTGGCTCAACCTCCTTGCTTAAGCAGGGTCATCCTAAAGCACATGGCACAGAATTGCATTCAGATGGTTCTTGAACATCTCCAGGGAGGGGCACTCCACAGCCTTCCTGGGCAATCCACGGTCACTGCACAGTAAAAAAGCTCTGCCTCATGCTTGGGTGGAACTTCCTGTGCATCAGTTCCTCTCTGTTGCCTCTTGTTCCACTGCTTGGACAAACACTGTAGCCTCTCTCCATTCATTTTACAAATTTAAATTGCAACTATTCAGAACACTGCTCTAGCTACAGGTGCTTCAAGAAGTTACTTCAAGCTCTTCAGGCACACACATCTCAAAGAGTGTAAGTTACTATCAATCATTATGACAAATCAATATCATTCCACAAACGTGGCAACACAACTGTCTACATGCAGACACAAAGACAGATGTTGAACTGCTCCTCTAAATACAAAGACACATATTTCAGCAGGCATAAATAAACGTATTCACTACACATATTATGCACAATTTATACACTGATTGTGAGGGAAGGATCCATTTGACTYGGCTCACATGGATTTAAAACAGATTTTTATCTTAGCTTTTCACAATCAGTTTCAATGTTAATATAAAAATGTTTACTGCTGTAACCAAAGCCAACCCAATCTCAGGAGTGTCAGCCAGAAAAGAAGTTGGAACATWACTTCATCTCCAGTGACAGAGAGCTTTCATTTATGCAACATGGGAAAACGGATTTCATTGGCTTTCTCCCTTCTTACTAGAATCAAGGAGATACACCAGGGATACAGCTAAGTGACACTTCCTGCAAAGCAAACACTATTTTGGAACATCTGTATCATCTCATGAAATCAAAAAGATCATTTATGACATACSAGTCATGCTAAATCTTCTCCTACTTTGTATGCTTTCTTTTCAGTAATTCAGTCAAGCTTATCTTTGCCTAGTTAAAATAACCAACCAAGAAAAAAAAAAAAGCCTAAACCCTCAGCCAACTCCTCTCCTTTCTCTCCTCTCCCCAAAATCCCTTACTCTCATGTGATAATCCTAATTTGACCATTACAACTGCTGATCTTATTCTGAGATTAAGAAAATCTACAAAAAGAACCAAGACTCCTTTGTGCTACTCTTAACTGCCCCAGCAGTACTTAACCTCATTATTGAACCAAATTATGTGAGATGGACTACAAGTTAAGTAAAATCCTGTTGATCTATTCATGATAATTAATGATCTTTTCAGAACAGGCAAGGACAAGGAGCAGTTTGGAGGTCCTGAAGGCTTTCCCAGATTGGATGCATACTTGTTATTTAAAAGGAACCGTGAAACTTCGTCCATCTGACTTTAATGCTCAGCTACTTACTCCAAATTCTGTTACTCACTCAAGACCCTGTGTGGTCCAATTTGCAAAGAATATAGCTTAAAAAACCTAATATGTCAACCCTTATTTCTGTATAATTCTTCTGTTGAACTACATTAAAAAAATGCTCCTGCAAGTCTTAACAAACAATACTTTGGTAATAAGTGAGTGCCCCAATGAAGAAAAATTTATGGCATAACCACATAAGGAAAATTTTGTCTTACCTTTTGTTCAAGTTTAGCTTGTGCTATATCATTTGTTTTCTTTTTCAGTTTGGAAAGAATAGTATTCAGTTCATTTGCTATCCCCTGGATTTTCTGATCAAACTCTTGATTCAATGTTTTGACTTGCTGAGTTTCTCTTTCTTTGGTTTGAATCTGTCAACAACATGAATTAAATTCAGTAATCAGAAATCACTCATCCTTAAAGGAAATTCACTTTCATTTAACTTTTAAATCAAAGGATCAAGGTAATAAAACTATTCTGTCTCGCCACAGTGTGGCCACACCAGGATACCAAGTTATAAAGCCTAATGAAGGGCTAYAGATCTGTGAAACAGTTATCTACTGTGCTTTACCTGTTCCTGTACAGTTACGAGGGCCAGTCCAACTTCTGCTAAATGAAGAGAGAGTTCAGAAGGCAAAATGGTATAGAGCCCCAAGTATTTATTCTGTTGCTGTTCAGCCAGTTTTTCAACAGCCTGGCGATRAGTAGTAACTTCACCAAAGAGAGACTAATGACAGAAAAAACAATACTGTTAAGGACAATGAGAGTACATCATAAGTATCTTTAAAATAAAACATCACAGTCCATCACCTACTTCATGCTTTATGAATTTTTCTAGTGGGTTGCTCACTCATTAATACTGTWTTAATTTGATTTTTTGGTCATTTGGAAACTATTAACATTTCCTAACAGAATGAAATGGAAGTAAATATTGTGATTTAGAAATTGACAAATTTGGTATACCTGCAACTCCTGAAGTTGAATGTCCACTTCTGCATCAGGGCTTAATAAATATTCCTTCGTTTCCTGGATCCAGGACTTGACAATATTAATCTCTCCTTCAACCTCCTCACGTTCCTTCAGCTCCTGTTTCACCATCTTCATGCCTTTTTTAACTTTCTGTTGCATACTTCAGAAAGAAAGGAACAGTAACTATTTGTGAAGAATTAAGCAATGTCTAAAAACATTGTTTTGTCAAAAAATATTGAGTAATAATGATTAATAGCACCACATCCAGACAAATAAATCTAAAGAAATTAAATTTTTCATGTCCATGCTTTGGTTTTATGTGTTTGGACATCAAGCATGTAATTCTTTTGAAAAAATACAAATGTTTGCAATAGAGACCCCTACATCTGAGCTCATCACTGCAGACAGCCCTGATTGTCAGTGGAGGAAACAGGCAATTGCAAGGCATGAATTAGGATTATTCATTGCCATTCTACAAGAAACTTCTAAAATAGGTCAGAAAAATTACATGTTACACTTCTTTATTTCTCTACACTAATTAGAGAGCAAGACTTAACCTGTTCTGATGTTGATATCTACACTAAAATAACATGAGATAAATKTCACTCCTATTGATGGGATTTGCATTGGCAGAATACCCAGGATAAATTATGGATCAAATATCTGAACACAGTCTGTTGTCACACTTCCATTAAGACACAATTTTTGCACTTTCCTCAAGTACTTGGATCTCCTGTAAAAAATGACACCTCTGTGAAATGAGCATGTAGTTCTTATACAWGTGACAGGGAACTTACTTTGATATTCCCACATTTGATTTCTCTTTGCATAACCATTCATAGATGAATCATGCCTTATTTGCATGAGCAGGAGGTCATCACAGACCTATCTTAGAAACCAATTCTAAGTGAAAAATGGAACTGTAAAAGTGCTTAYATCTACATATTCTCTACAGGGATTGCTATTCTAATCTAATAATTTATACATGTAGGCAATAAACTTTGCACAGATTTGGTACAGGATTTACACTTTTTTCATTCTCTATCTCTTTTCCTGCTCTGGAGATCCACTTAATGGCATCTTAGTGTAGTTATGAGGTGGATATGTGTCATGAAAATGAACATAAACTTCTTGTTTCCTACATGGCAGGAAGATATTTTTGGATGTAGATAAACATTTGCATAGGCACAAGGTGAAATGTTAAGATATGCTTTCTTTGCATATGCYCTAAATTCCTCTGTAAATGTCATATAATACCTACTTTTGGTACCTATGTGCTTCAAACAAGGAAAACAAAGTGATAAACTAATTAAAAGAGGATTCAGAAAGATAAATGGTCACTTAATGCTGAGAGGCAAAGGAAGTTTTAAAAATCAGTTATAACTTTACTGCTTTAAAGTTTATGCAGCTTTTACACAAGTTCATATTATTATGCAAGGCAAGAAGTACATATTCTAAAATGCATACTCTTGATGGAAATAAAAAATAATGGCAGAGAAAGGTATTCCAAAATTAATACAAGTAATTTTCAATTAAAACTGATGCCATTTTTAAAATGAGTAACTAGTATTTATTTAAGCATGGTAATTTTAATAATATAAAGATGACAGATAAGCTCTTATTGATTAATTTTAAGATACCATTTTTCTAGTGAATCTTTTAAAATATTGCCTTACTTGTGGCATCGATCTTGCATTGCTTTGATTTCTTGCATAACTGGTAGCTCCTTCTGAGATGGAGGCTTCACTTCCACATCCTGCAGCATGTTAACAGCATGCTGCTTGAGCAGGCCCAAGGATGACAACTGGTGGTCCACCTCCACAAGGAAACTGCTGTGATAATCCAGGAGTTCCAGGAGCTCTGTCTTGGAYGCCTTTTCCACGGAGCTTTCTGGTAAGCGTCCTTGTAGCTGATCTATAGCTAGGGTAGCTTTCTGAATCTATGGAAAGAGAGTGTCAATAAGAAAATTACAAAAGAAGCTGGTGCAACTGACACAAAAAGGGATTAGACCCAGTACTRTACACTTAGATTCTGTAAAACTGTTGTGGCATAGGGCTTGTTCTTTACTGTGCCAGATCCCTTGCTCTTCACAGGGCATTAGGACTTCCTAAAGGGTTGTGGTTTTTTKGGGTTTTTTYTGTCCAGTTATGGGTGGCTCCTTGTATTTTTTAGCATTTATTATATTTATTGCCATACGACCTAGAGCTCTACCCTGGGGCACATCCATGTTTGGCTCAAGTCCTACATTTAACAAAATGATTATCCTCATTCCTAGAGAACCTGCCATCTGGGAATAATTAATAAACAAAGACAGATAAAAAGAGTCAGGTAGGATMTAAGGGGAAAAAGAGACATAGGATCAATGAGCAGTCATAGGCACTATCATCACTGCTTATGCTAAAGAAGAGGGAAGAAGAAGGGAAAAAAGTGTAATTTTGGTTGATGTAATTTAGAAAAGATGTAATTTAGGTTTGATGTAATTTAGAAAAGAACATCTGAGGAAAGGAAACAGAAGATTCTGAAGAAGCAACCAGAAGAAACCAAAACAACTCTGTATGTACTATACACGGATGCACACAGAAGAACAGTCCAAACTTTGGAGGCAACAATTCTAAACCTAGATCTTCCATGTGTTTTTCTAATCAAAGGAAAGAAATCAGTTATTCCTGCTTTAAGTTTTCTCTACCACAAGTCAATTAATAGGGWAGCATAATGAATGAAAAGTTATGTACAAGGGAGGAGTTACCAAGACTAGAATTTACCTTATCATTAAAGCCCTTCCATTCCTGCACTGCATCTTCCAAAATTTTTTCTTGTTCTTGGGCTACATTCCGAAGCCGTGTCCAGCGCTGCCAAACTGTTGTCATGGATCTACTTATAGATGCCTTACTGGCATCATTGCTGATTTTTTCCAGCTGTGAAGCCTTTTCTTCTAGGGCTGTTATCTTCTCATGGAAAGAATTCACTACGGACACGAGAGTCTGAAAAAGCAAAGGAGCYGTTTTTCTTTTCTACAGGACAACTCATTACTATTCAACATGCAGGTAGGGTCACCCCCACCCATTGCAGGTGAGGAGGAGGTACTGTATGTGAGTGGTGTGGCTAGGTCACACTTTATTTTTCATAGGTAGTATTTTAGCTACAGCTACTTGGTCCAAAATGCAAGTCCCTGGAAGAAGCAGCAGGAATCTGGTGCAATCAGCTTTTCCCTTCTTTAACAGCCCCTCAAAAAGGATGAAAATGAGCATTCARCATCCTTCTCATGGCAAAGACTAACTTCCAATATAGTTTAAAAATGAAAGAAGCAGTTCAGGTGTTTAAGTGTACATTTATGTCATGTTCATCTTTAATGATATTTTAGATGCCCAAGGATCTGAGGATATTCTCATATAGCTGTCAGACATGATATTACTCTTAGAGAGATTCTCAGTTTCTCAGAGACACAGCTGGCAGCATTTCTGAAGTGACACTGACTACCTATAGTAAGGCAACTGATTAGTACCTTAAACACAACAAGAGAAAGTAATTTTTTAAGCTACATTTCTCTTGCTTTTAGACTAAACAAGGTTTAATAATAAACTCCAGCTCTTCCTGTCCTAGTAAAACTGTTCCATGTGATCCAAAGCAGATGGATGTTTCTACTGGTCTGAGTTGCTTGCAGGGTATGTAATTTTGGGGCTCACAGAACCAAGGCTTTTAGGAACCTCCTGACTCTTTGCACTTCTSTAAAGTGATAGGCACAGAGACAACAAGCTGAAAAATGATTTAAAGTATCTTTCTTGGTCATCCCACAAATAAAATGTGTGTTTTGCACATTAAACATATCTTTGTGTGTGACACAGTTAAGTGCTACAGGTAAAGATCTTAAAACTCTATTCCTGTTAGCATAGGTAGGGATCTATGTAATACACATTCATTTTCACTAGAAAGAGAAGGATTTCATGCAATTATCAGTACCTTACCTTATGTGTTAGCAATTTCTCTTCTGCTTCATGAGAAGAAGCAGCTTTAGCTACTGAGAATTCAGATAATTTTTTCTCAGCCTCATTCATCACTTCAATAACCTTCTGTCTCGCTGTTTGGTATTCCTGCCACTCAGAAGCACACCTTAAATAAATACAGTTCCAGAAAGAACTTAATGCAATATAAAAATATTTGAAAATAAGAAATATTATTACACCTAGTTTTCAATGTAACTGCTTAGTTTTTCTGTTACAAAAAAATTCCTAGAAAAGGAAAGAGTATTGAGAAACAGCATGCAGAGATGCATATGCTCCTGATTATCAGCTTTTGCTACAGAAACCACAGCCAGGTGTTTAATAGCTTTTAGACTGCCTGTGTTGTGTTTTTAAGCTACCCAAACTTAGGGAATTCAGAACATTCAGGAATAATAAGTAATATAGTTATACTTGCTAAAAAGGTATTTCCTTTTAGTTTGAAAAATCTGTTTCAATTTCATTTGTTTCTGCATAGGCCTTGAGTCAGGTGAAATATGGGACAATCATTTCCTACTCTTGTTCTCCATGCTGTTCTATACAATTCTATCACATCTTCAAGATCATACAGTCAGTCAGGGGCAGAAGAGAAAACAGAGTCCAAGAGCTCTTAATTCCCCATATCCACTTCTCTTATAAGAAGTCCAAATATTTAAAAAACTTCAATTAATGTTCTCATTCTTTCTTTCATTACTATCAAGGTGATCTTAAAATGAAGGAAGGCAAAAAGCCAAAAAAAAAAAAGAATATAAGAATATACCTTTGTAACTGCTCTTGCTGGGTTTTGGCTTCTTGCTCTGTCCCTTTGGCCTTTTCCTCCAATGCAGCTACATTCTGCACCAGCTGTTCATTTGCTGTGGCTTGTATAAAGGGCCCTATTTCAGTTACAAGGCCTTGCAACTCTTTCAAATGATTATTGAACTGACTTTCCGTGCTGAAAAACTCAACGTGGTTCCTTAGATTCTCCTCAGAGTTCTCAACATCTAGACCATTTCTTGCTAAATGCAGAAATTCCTGAGCATCTTCCAGCCAGTCATTTGCTATCTGCATCACTTGGTAATAYCTTTGGCAGAGGCTATATACTTTATTCAAGTTGGCCTGAAATAAAAGGGAGAGTCATAAACATAAAATAACAGTAGCCTGTGTCATTTTAAAAACCCCAGAAAACAGGATTATTAAAATCAATCGTTTTGTGATGATTGCAAAGATCGAGCCGCAGAGCCATCATTTTCAGCTTTGTGAAAATAAGCTAATGACATTTAGGGTGCACTAACCTGTCTCGTGTGTATAGCTTCTTGAACTTCACCATCTARTTCTGCCAGCTCAGCAAGGGTGTTTTCCAGGTCAGCAGGTATCAGCTCCTTTGCTTTCATGTAGCGCTCTTTCTCTTTATTGCTCAGTGCATTCATTATTCTGAGGCTTGACTGCACCTCTTCCTGATGTATCTGAACCTTTCGGATTTCTTCTTGGATGTTTTGCAGTTTGAGGTCCAAACTTAAGGTTCCATTAAGTTCTGTTTTCACCCACCTCAACCAGTCGAGTGAGCGGCAGATTTCTGTCTTGAAGTCTATGCTCTGCACGAGTCTGTTCTCACATTCCATCACCGTGTCAGCGATGGCAGAATGCAAAGACTTCAGTTTCTCTTGCCAAGCCTGAACTTGGTGATTTGTTGTCTCATATGCAGATGAGTCAAGCTGAGGAGAAAGGGCTTCTAGATGTTCAGTTATTCGCTTCAGAAGACTTCCTGAGTCTTGCAAGCTGCCCATCAGAGAATGGAATATTTTCAACTTTTCTTCTATCGGGAGCGTTTCTTCATTTACCTTAATCTGCTCCTTTTTCACTGTCTCTAGCTGCGCTTCAAACTGCATACACATCTTCTCATGCTCCTGGCATGCTTCTATTGTGTCTTCCAACAGGTTGATTTTCTGTTCTATTTGCCTCTTCAACTTGTGATACAGTGAGGCAAGTTTTAGCATCTCATCTGGCTGCCAGGGCTGGCCAGTGCTTCGAAAGGCTTCCTTCTTCTGGTTCAGCTCATCCACAGCTGCACCGAGGCTCATCACTTCACCTAAGAGATCTTTGTATGCTTGCTGGAGTGACACAAATTCTTTGGCTGAAACAGCAGCTGGAGCTTTGTCCATGTTAATAAACTGGTCTTCTAGCTCAGTCAGAGCTTTACTTGTCAATTCAATCAAAGAGGCATAYTCTTTTCTGGCACAGATTGCTTCCTGAACCTTATATAATTTTTCTTTTGCCAGAGCAGTGACAATATTGAATTGCTGAGGGAGACTGCTAAGCTTTTCTTCTAGATAAGAATGATCCACTTCGTTCAGTGATGGTAGGACTTCTTGGCCATCTCTTTGCAGTGCAAGTAGCAGATTTTCATATTCTGGAGATTGCTCAAGAATCTGTTGATATTTTGCCAACTGGCTGTATAGCTCAGTGTCAGAATTCATTACATTGACTTCTGGAAACGTGACAATATCAGCTTGCTTTAGCCAGTGGCAAGCTTTATCCAAATCTTCTTTAAAATATTTCCTGGAAACAATGTTTTTCTCCAGTTCTARCAATCTCTGGTTACACTTTTGTAAAACAGTGTCATACACATTCTGTAGTTCTTGAAGTTTCCCTAACACTTCACTCTTCTCTTGATTTGTTGCTTCTTTCATTAAATCCCTTCCTTGAGCCCACAACCCTGTGACCTCATTTTGATAGGCCTTCAGATTAGCCTGGGTATTCTTACAAGTCCTGATTTGTTTATTCACATCTTCTGGCAAAAGACAGATGTGTTCTGGAAACATCACCTTCTTTTCATGCTGGTGAATTTGGTTTGTAGCCTGAAAGACTGCCATGAGAAACTGGGTCTTTTCAGACAGTGCCTTATTCAGGTGTTTTCTCCTCTGGCCAACCAGATCGCTGAGACAAGCCACATGGTGCTGTGCATCAGAAACKGTTCTCTGCAGTTCCTGCCTTTCATTGAGCCCTAGGTTGGTCATCACCCTGTCAGCATCCTTCAAAAGCATCTTCAGAACAAGCTGTTTGGCTTCAAGCTCACTGCAAATGGTGAGATGATCCATGAGAAGACTCTGAGCCATATCTGGAGGAGGGCTCTGTTTRAGGGCCTCTGAGACGGTAGGTTGCTGTTCCTCTGCCCATTCCATTAGTTCCTGAAGTCTGGAATACACCAAGTTKAGCTCTTCTAGGGTTGAAATACAAACTTGAATTTTCCGTTTGACGAGGTCTTCCAGCTGAGTCCAGCGTTGTTCAAAATGACTGAATTGCTCYTTCACTAATTCTTTGTCATCAAGATTCAGATGTTCTATCATCTTCTGTTTCTGATCTTTCAAATCTTCCAGAGCAAATCTCCTTTCCTGTAGTGCAATTGCCAGTTTTTGTAAYGCTTCAAGGTACACATTTGTACTTTCAGCATCAGATCTGTCAGCAAAATGGACAAGACAAAAATTAGTTTTTAGATCTTATTTCAGCACAGGCTTTTAAGAGACGTCAGGATTAATTATAAGCCCACTACATAATGAAATCAATATGATATAAAGACCTACAATTTTGGGATTCACTTGAAGGTAGCAGCCTTGAATACTAATTAAAAAGCTTAGCACTTATTCCTTTCCCTTTCCTCTACACTGTGGTCATCAGGCTGACAACAGACAYTTACATGAATATTTACAATTATAACATAAACATTGGCAATTATACATATATAACACAATATCACAATGAAAATGAACCATGAACTCATGAACCACCACAAATAAAAGACTTCAAATGAAAAACAGTTAACATTCTTGAAATACCAGGAAATGCTACACCCTGAGACAGGATCAATCAGTACTTGCCTTAAAGACAAACACTGATGATCTGGCRTCTCAAACTCTCTTTATCTCAATAGAAATTATTAATTGCCTGATAATGARTAAGGCAGGTGTGCTTTTAACTGAGCGTGCAAAAAGGGGTTTTTAGTGGCTCCCACTTAGAGACACTCTGTAAACAGYTCTTTCAGCATATATGCAGTTTGCTTTGTGCATGCCACTTCTTTTTTACCTCGCCAGGTTGTCCCATTCTTTTGTGAGTTTTTCAAGGAAAACTTCAACTACATTCATCCGGTCATGGTAATCCCTTGTCCTCTGCAGATCCTCCTCCCTCTGCATGAGCAAACTATGTGCCTGAAGGCAGAGGTCCAGCCACTGGTTGCTCAGTTCTCCTATTTCCTTGTGTTCAGGTGATTCCTGTCCTTGGGTTAGTTTGTTCATCTTTTCAGTCACAGAATTAAGAGCTGACTGCTTAGACTGCAATTTCTGACTGAATTCCTGAAAAAGATACAAGYAAAAACCAAAGTAATAACATGCATTCAAAATTATAAAATGGAATTKAAATAAAGACACTGAGATAAATTAMTTGTATATGGACTAATTRTCTGCCCAGGCARACGATCTGCAGAAATAAATTGGAAATGTYTTCACTCCTCTCCAAACCCTCGTCTCTGTCTTCTCACATGAAGACAAGTGAGTAATGGATGCTAATGCAAACCAGAGGAGTTTCCAGGTTCCAGTGATAAACAGAATTTGTGATCCAGTCACACCCTRTTGTCCAGTCTTCTGGACTAGCAGAGCTCCCACCACACACTAAAACATGCAAGATAGTCTGAGTYTCATGGGAATAATTCATTTTACCAGTACTGTTACTAGCTTATTTTTTTACTTTTTCATTAGAGACTAAAAATAGGAAGCAGAGTCCATGAGTCAGTGAGCCTCCATATCTGYACTTTGTGTTGTTCCTACTTCTGTAACAGCAACTGTTAGCACTGTGATTATTGAAACAAAACCATGGATTACCTAGGCACGATTGCTATCTGAGMTAATAACTAGCAACTAAAAGAGTTCATCTACACACACAATTCTTACCAAAGAAGATGTCAGAGAGATCCCAAAAAGATGAATACACTATATACCRACAAATAAAATGAACCAAATATTTTACAGCCTTTACAGACTGTCTAAGTTATATATAATMTTTTCCTAAATTCTAGTTCCAGTAGCTGTAACTACACAAACATCCCCAGCTCCAGTTCTGCCTCACTTGTCTTCATGACTGCTTCAGAAGGAGCTTGGCATCTTTCCTTTACCAGGGCAAATCATTGGAAAAAACACACCTTGTGCCACATCTAACAGTACAGCAGGTGTCTCCCTTTCATTATAATCCAAAGTACCTTTCTTTGAAATAGTGAAGAAATAAAGACTCCTTCTTCGTGCTGGACTCTAAYGATAGCTGATGTAACAGCTTTCAGTCCAGATTGCACTGAAGCATCTTCAAAGGTTTTGACTTTGTTCCAAAGCGTGAGTGGAACAGACATGGAGAGGAAGTGCTGTTTACTTATCACCTAACTCTTGGCATATCAGAAAAAAAATAAAGGCAAAGTCTAGACCAAAAATGCAAACCCCATGTATTTAATAATTTAATACCAAAATTATCTTTTGGTTAAGTCACTGGTTATGATGTGTACAGAATGGTCATAAAAGTTCTCTCTTCTGGAATGAATGAGAGAAGGTCTGAAGCATTTGTTTCATTATTTAAACTGACAATGCCTATTCTTAGAGATCAGCAACATCAAACAGTTTCCTTGACTARTTTTGAAATACTTCTATTTATAAACATAGAAACAGAAAACATAGAATTTAGCTAGCACAATTTACAAATCGTATCTCAAGGTCCACTGTGATCAGCATTTAGTCTACTCTAAAAGTAAAGGMAAATCAGACCAGTAGGTTGAAAATTGTCAATAATTAAAAAAAAAAAAACAAAACCAAAAGCAGAAAAATACTTGAATACGGTTTTCTGCTCTCTGAATCACCCTGTAGCATCATTAAGGCAAGACTCCTCTAACATCTCTGCTCTTGCTCAGAGCATATTAGCAAYTGCATGCTATATACATGTGCATATAATAGAAATTACAAAATAGTATCAGCCACAGGATGAACTCTTCCATACCTTCTATTAACAAAAAGTCTCCTTACCTTAACCTGGAGTACCATATTCTGGGCAATATTTAGCTCCAACTCTGCYCGTCTCCTTTTTAAATTCTGTAGTTGTTGATCCGCATCCTGGAAATATATCCAGAGCTCAGCCTTCAGTTGTTTGATCTCTTCCCAACCTTGAGACAAATACTGGGAGTGCATTATCTGTTGCTCAATCTAGCAAAAACAAATGAAAAGGAGAAGGAATGCTTTAATGCATCTCTTTTTGGAGAATGGAGGATGAATACCACTCTTYCTCTGAGCACAATACTGTACTAAAGCAATTTTTGCACTACATTCTGAAGGGGATAATATTATCCACAAAAAGAGTCTTAACCTTCAAAGCCACAAAAATTGTACCTAACAAAGAAAATCTGTGTGGAAACAACAACAACTGCAACAACAACAACAACAACAACAACAACAACAACAACAACAACAACAACAACAACAACAACAACAATTAACTATCATTCACCCAGAAGCAAATGTATTGATGAGCGTGTGTATTTCAGTGTTTTCATTCCTCTGTTAAAGCTTAAATTAATTGTATAATTTAGTCTACTGCATATAAGAATATTGTTAGACTGTGYCCTACATAAAAGTTTCAACTAAACACTTCCATTTAATTTGCTTAGCCCAGTTATTTTGCCTATATTCCTTTTTTAAAATACCAGTAAGAAGAATGCTTACCAGATCTGAGCCCATCAATCCTCTTACACCAATAGTGACACAGCTGCTTTTGCTCTAAATACAGCAGTCGGTGCCTTTAAGATTTAGACACTCAAACAGCTTAGTATATCTCAGCACTATACCATCTGTGATTTCTTTAAAATGTTTCACTGCATTATATGTCAAAGGAGAATCTTACTCTGATGTCTGGGTTGTTTTTCAGCCATTCAATACTTGGACTGCCACATTTTTATGCATTACTTGGATTTGTACAGTTTGCTTCTCTGATATGGAGTACTATTACTRTATATATTAGATTTTTTAACTCTTGTTAGAAGTAGTTTCAAAACTTTGGGTGTGTGTCTGTGTAAGAGAAACTAAATTTTTGATGTTTACAACAGGAGGAATGCTCATAATGTTTCTTTTCCAATAATTTATGTTTATAGTTCTATTGTAAACCTAAGCATTAAGTTACTTTAAAATTTAAAATTGAGGTACATTTCTATAAATAAATATGCTGAAATAGATGCACTTTGATTCATGAATTGAACTATAATATTTTTGATGATGATTATGATTAATATAGTATGAATATATGAATATGGGCAAATACAAAGAGTAGTCTATTGTTGAGTAAATAATAAAAATAAAATACATTTAAGATTTAATAAAATACAGAGAAGATTAGACTTGTGTTTTTTGAAAAGAGGTAACTTGGATCAGGTTTTCTTCCACAGAATGTTATTTCTGTGGCTTCAGACCAACATCTTGTAACATTACCTAAGTACCTTTAGCAACCTTAGAGTGTGTCTTTGTACTWGAATCAGGATGGCAATGTATGGATTTAATAATTTTTAAAAAAGCAGAAAAACTATTTCTAAAGAAATACTGTAGATGAAAGTAAACCATTACCCAATATGACCTTTTTAAAAGAGAACAGATCAAGGCAGTTAAAGCTCTAAATAGGATTAAAAATGGGTTGTTCTGGTTATCTTGTACCGTTTGTTTTGTTTGTTGAATGTCTGCTGCCGTACTCTTCACTGTGGAATCTGAAAGATCACACATGGAGCACAGAAGATCCAAGTAGGTATTGGCCTGCTCCTGCAGAGCCCGAAAATGTTTAACCTGAGGGAAGACAACCCACACATAAACTCTGAGACTGGAAATAATACCTTGTTCCATTACATTTTAGTACTTTTACTGTACCTTATTATTTCTATAAAATTAAACATAGAAATAAATTATTTTATTAGGTAAGGCTGTTATGTTATAATTATGGAAAGGAGTAACCCCTTAAAACTTTAAATTACCAGGTTACCAAAGCACTTAGAGATATATGAATTAGCTAGCTTATTTCTTGGATAGAAACACGCAGTCTCAATAAGGTGACTGACTTTCCCATTGTGAATGGTAAGCAGGGCTTTATGGGATTATCAAAGTGTCCTGTTCCTAGAAAAATTTCCAGTGTCTGATAGACCATGAGAAATTCAGCCTAGTGGCACAACACACTTTTTTGCACCTTCTGGAAACCTTCCAATGTCCCCAGTATTTGTGATTAGCAAGATCATGCATCAAGGGTTCTCGCTCTCAGCATTGCCTCTAGGAGCTCACCTCTCCCTATGAGGATTCCCTTTTCCTACAAGAATATTATTATATGAGTGCTAACAAGCAGGGCAACAACGTATCTTCTAGAGTCCCCGGGGAGGAGGATGAGTGACAACCTAATGTACAAGGCCAGTAGTGGGTCCTTGCAGGCAAAAACTGAACAAAACWATGGTGCATCCTTTTGGCAACCCCAAAGGATTGTACCAGCAWGAACACAGTGCACAAGCTGTAGTGCACTTATTCTCCTGTACTTACACTCATCCAGCTGTCCCTGATGTATCTGGCCCAATTTCCCTCTTCCTCATTTAAAGAATATGGGCAAACTGACACATTCAGCAAAGGGTTCTGGGGATACGGGGCAGTACTGTGTGGCAGTTTGGCAGTCTGAAGGAATTCTTCCTAAATAAGGGAAACCGTTTTTCACACTAAGAACAATCAAGCACAGGAACAAGTCCCTAATCCTCAGAGATGGTTAAGGCCCTCAGCACACCAAAGGGCTCTGCAGCCTCAATCACCCTTCTCCACCTCCTCAGGGTTTGGTCACCTCTGCTTAGGGCCATCCCTGGCTCAGCCCAGCTGGGACCTGACCACCAGAAAGGCAGAGAGAAGCCCAAGAGCTGCGTCTAAAGTCAGTCCCTCACCCACCTATGGATCTTACCTGAGCTGCACCACAGGTGCATCTGTGCCTGGCAGATCCTGCTGGCCTTGCCTTGCTGCCCTGACCCACTGCCTTCACTTGGGACTGGCCTCATCCCTACAGACTCACCTGGTGACCACCAGCTGGGGAAATGACATCAGGGGGACTCTGCTCCCCTAACATTTGTGCTGCAGTTCTGCACATCATGTGGAAGGTGCTGCCCTGCTGGTCTCACTGTGTCACTCCCTGCTTCCCCTGTGGGTCTGCCATCTCTAGTATCTCAAAATCTCTGTTAAGCCAGATGATGGACGAGAAAGCCCTCCCGAATTCCAGCATTTTTACCATCATACCAGCGTAATTTAAAAACAAGGTACAAATCCAATCCAAGATGCATTGTTACTAAGTATAATCAAGAAGAAATTAAATCATTCTTAATGGTCAGTGTGGGCTACAGGTTGTTCCAGGCTCTTAGACAAAAAAACTGTTTTAGTTGCCTGGTCATTGACTCTGACTCCATGGTACTGCGAAACCAGGTTTCATAAGGAACATAGTAGACAGGTGGGCAACTGGACAAGCAGAAAGACACAACCATTCTGTTACACACATCTATGGAGTATCTGAGCAGATTTATCTAACTAGGCAACACTTTTAAGGTGTTTCCAACTAAGCAAAGCTAGCAAAAGTCCTCTTTGATTTTTCACCTAGAGTTTTTTTTTTTTTCATTCCAGGTATTCCTTTTGGAGTTGGGAATGAACAATGAGGCTACAAAGTTTTCTGAGAAGGCTAGAAAATATCTAATATCTAGAAATCTAAATCTCTTATCTGAACTTACCTTGTTAAGAATAACTGAGCTWTTCAAGTGCTAAACTTTTACCTGTTTTACTGCATCTGCCAGGCTGAAAGGTGTCCAAGTTGTCGGCTTTAGCTCTGACTGCACTGTAGACAGCCAAGTCTGGCACTGTTGTAGAGTATCCTGATGATTAACATGCTTCTGGAGCTCATGTTCCAAAGTCTGGTAAACCTAAACCAAACGTTTTGTAAGTTCATCACATTTTCAAACACCACCACTGTCTCTCTTCTCCTACCTTGAAAACTGCAGGTAAAGCAGAATTATTACAACTGTGGTTGTTTTATCCCTTGTACATAAAAATACCGAATGCTGAAAGCTCCTTAAGCTCTCATTGCACCTTGCTAACATGTGAAAAAGATGGGCAATATTTAATACGCAGCTTCTGAACAGAAAAGATAAAGATGTAAATGAAGAGCCTGCTCTCTTATTTATGTATTCTTAGCCAACATTTTTTCGATTGACTTTGTATAAGGTTTTTTTAGTTTCTTTTAGGGGTTGTTTTGTTTAGTTTTTTGGGGTTTGGTTTTTTTTTGTTTTGTTTTGTTTTGTTTTGGTTTTTTTTGTTGTTGTTTGTTTTTTTGACTGCTGGCTTGATCTCCTAATTGGTTTAACAGAATGACCCAGCCAGCCCTTCTTAACTGTATATTCTGGTTTTAATAAGAGAGACRGTATTTCCTAGCACATACTTTAGACCTGTTAAAATTCCTATGCAAGCTATCAACTCTAAGACTGCTATTTTCTCCCTAGTTTCCAAGTTATGAATAGTCTATTTCTCTTTTGCCGCAGCTGCTCAGAAGCRAGTTTAACATAAAAGTAGTGAAGATGTGGAGAGATTAAGGTAAGAACTGATAGACCAGTMGTTTTGTTGGCTGCAAGGCAACATTTGGATCACAAGGAATTCAATTGTAGCACAGGAATGATGAAAGACTACGCCAGTAAACTGCAGGGTCAATTGAAAAACAGTAGGAACAATTTTATACCATTTGAAGAAATAACTTATGGAAATAACAATGCACTTTATTCTTAAATGGCATAAAAATAACATTTGAAAAAACACTTACTCTTTGGGCTGTGCTACATATGGCAGAATAGCTGTCCCTTGTCCCCTGAAGATGGGTTTGTATGTTTTGCTTAAATTTTGCTTGAAGGTGTTCYGAGCACTGATTGATCAAGTAATCACCTTTAGTCTTAAGGTTGTTCAAACGATCTTCAAAGCCTGCAATTTCTTCCATGATCGCCTRAGAAACAGATAAAATACTTTTGAAGAAATAGGTGGTGGTACAGAATGTTTTTTCTCCCTCCGTTAAACACTCTTCATCTTCAGATTTCGATGAGAGCTTTCAGACAACAAGAACTGTCACAGTGAAGCCACTGGACTGCATGCTCATTGCARAGGCATTGTCAAAAATCTTTACACAGATATCCCACAGAAACACCAGTAGCACTTTCCTAATGTGTAAACATTCAGCTCAAATGACAAGACTATCCTGAATCTTCATTTGTTTCACGCTCTTCGGGGCTCCTCCAGCTTCTCTCTAGCAATGTGAATTAAATCTCATGCCAAATCATATCTCATTCCATAAGSTCTTTCCCTGTGGACAGTTCTTTCCATTGACTCTGGTGGAGCCAAGTTGGTTTTTTTTTTTCCTAATGAGGTTATTTAATGAATAATACACCCATCACAAAGAATTAAAAGACTTCAATATTTGCCACTGGAATCTCAGTTTCAGGTTGTGGTGGGGAGGGATGGATTTTGGTTTCTTTTATCTTTTTGAAAGCATTGCCTATCAATGCTATCACTAATAGAAACCATAACAATACCTTGAATAAATGCAATGGAGGAAATGCTACAACCTAACAGAAGAACYTAGAATTAGAACAACCTAATAGACCAACCTCTAGTTTCTGTGCTTTCTTTTCCGTTGCTGTTTTATCAACCACATCCAATTTGGTAATCACATGTCTGAAGTTCTTGTTAGCAGGACCATACCAAGAAAGTTTTCAATTTATTTTTATGTTTTAATGATCTTAAAAATGCCTGAGTGAAAAAATATCTCAAGAGTAAAATGATCCCAATCTGATTTTTGCGGTTTACTTCCTGGGAAGCCTCAGGAAAAATCTGACACAGAATTCAGATCAGARTACAACAAAACTGTTTGTGTAAACGTGGTTTCATCCAAGAAACAATGCTAACAACCAGCTAGATGTGTTAACTGCATTAATGACACTGATACTTATTTACACAATTAGTGGTAAGAGAAATAAAACAGGTGAATGACAAATAGCTAGAATTGTGGAATGGAGGCAGAGAAGTAAAGAAGAAAAAATCTATTTTACAAAGGAAGATTACCAACAGCAAACCCACCTTGTGGTTAGCTAGCTGCTGAGTGATTATTTCAAGATTGTTACTTTCCACGAGGTCAGGGCTGACCAATCTGCTGGACATATGTAATAACCATTTCTCCCCTTCTTGCAAATCACTRTTGTAATCCTCGTGTTCTTTTACTTTCACCTCTAAGGTTTCAACGTAGGTCTGYAGGTCAATGATAACCAAAATAATTTTTTTTGGTAATTACAAGAGTTCAAACAAAACCCAAAACAAGCCAAAAACCACCAAGAAAGCATAATAAGAACAATCATCTAAATTTATATTCCTGTGAGGGACTCTCATATGCATAGACTGTAAAGGAAGACATCAAAGGGATTACTGCTGTGAATCAATTCCYGTGAATAATTACTTCTGTAGTACCAAGTAATATTTTCACTCCAGATGAAACACCATACTTTGAAGCTTGAGGAAAACACTGAGAAAATGAACACTTTAAGTTCACTTACAGTTACTACACACTCTTTAAAAGACTGCACTTGACCTACCAAATGTTATGGTTGGGTCTCTGCTACTTAGAGCCTTTGCATGTATATATTGCAATGTCTGTGGTAGGCAAATTCAGAATGTGCACATGGAGTTAAAATGTATTTATTCTTTTTAGGAAGCTTCTCTAAATTTAAGCTGTCAATATTCCATCTAATGCAATGGACATCACTTTTGTGGTACAGATCAGAGTCACGTCTTTAAATTAAAAATTAACCTTGAAGTCTTTAAATTAAAAATCATCTCCTATTGGTGAATGGATTGGCAGTTAAAGGTGCCTAGKTCAAACATAAGTACTAACATGGTTTACAGAGCTTATCCTTGTTAGGAGTACAACCTATTATAAGCTTTAGGAATAATCATACTTTAAGATGTATTTAGAAGCATTAGACCTTTCAAAGTACTACACACATTTGGACTAATTAATCAATGTTAATTAATAATGCCCTTGCTGAATTAAATTTTATATGTCTTGCAGCTTATTTTCTCCGGAGCCTCTTACTCAACAACTAAAATTAAYGGTGTTTGTGTAAGATCGAGCAAAAACAAGAGAGAATATAATCTAAGGGCATGTGTCCCTTCAAGAAATAATGTCTTTAGAATTCTATTAAAAGTAATTAAAAATAGTAAYAATAATACAGTCTAGCCACTGTTACATATCCCCTTAGCACTATAAAATATAAAGATTTCACCKGCAACACTCAAAATTAATTTCAGCTACTCTGGTTAGATGTATTTAGGTAGYTTTTCCATAATCAAAAATTGTCACTTCTGCCCCGCTCCAAAAGAAAACCAGAAACCCCCAACAGAACACCAGAAGTAATTAAAGGTAGCTGGTTACCTGTACAGACATGACAAGCATGCAATAAATATATTTACATCCGTAGAGAGAGGTAAAAATACAGCTAGTTGGAAAAACCCCACTTTTTCTTCCATTTTACCTTTGTTTTGCTGCAGAGGTCCTGGTAMCTGCTCTGAAGGTCTTGAATGTTGTTCTTTAGAGTCACATCATTCACAAGATCACCAAGTGCCTCTCCCTTTTCAATCACTGACTTTATTGAGGGCTCATGAGACAGAACAGTCTGTTGAATGGACTACAATGCAAAGGAGAATAAAAATTTATCTACCAATTACAGGAGATCTATTTCACTAACTTCCCTTTGATCTGATGCACAGCCTTCTACCACACTATATATCATCCTTTCCAGATAGGAAGAGCTTTGTTTACCAGTACAGGACTCTGTTTCTCAGGCCTACCCTGAAACAACATCTTTGTACACATCTAAAAGCAACTGCTCTTTTTGTGAGCACCTAGCAGCAAGGGTGACAGTCTGGAGCTGGTGAAGCAAAGGGAGTTCATATGTACAAAAAGGCCAGTGCTAGGGATAAARCTTGTTTAGAGGAACAAATTATGAAAATAGAAGGGAAAATATCATCAAAGCCATTCCCTTAGTGAGATGGTGTGCAATGAGTGCCTSACACTGCACTCTCCAGAGTACAACTCCCCAAACAGCTGTCACACAGCTGTGACATACAACTTTGAGCAGAGAAGCTGGCATGGGGTAGTGGGCAGCTTTAGAGAGAAAGACTTGAGGCTGTGTAGGTACTGSTCAGCAATAGCCAAAACATTGGTTTGTTAGCAACATTTCTTTCAGCCACAAACATAAAGCACAGCAGTGCACAGACTGCCATGAGGAGAGTTTATCTCAGCCAGACCCAGTACRTAATTCATTAAACACCTGTAATCCTGGAGGACTTGACAAAATGTCATTAGGAGAAGAAATGGGGTTTCTTGGAAAATTTTCTACTCATTTTTGTGATAGGAAAATAACCTCAAACATTTCAGTAAAATCATAACTAAAAACATAGGAGGTCATAGCAGCTGACACTCTTGGGTATCAGTTGAGCTGGGACATCCAGCTTTAACCAGAAAGCTGATTAAGTTAATGTAAACAGTGACAATGTCTGAATTCAAGAAAGACCAACTGATTTCTGTCTTCCCTTTAACAGCAATCAACTCTGTTGAGATCAATGCAATTACTCATATGTGCACGTATTAAAGAATTTTGCTCCACTACAAGAAATTTTCAGATACGGAAGCCTTTTTAGGATGTTCACATTTCAAATCCAGGGGCYCAGTCTGGTTTGTGGAGACAGGTACAGGTGCATGCATGTTTTCATTGATGCTGATTGGGACATCCAGATCAGAAACATCTCATGTACCTATTGAAGAAAGCTGGACACCTGATCAGAGGATTTATTGAGAATCATTTAGATTTAAATCAAATCAATAWTACAATTATATAACCCCTTTTTACCTTGTATTTGGACAATTGAGCCTTCTTCTCATAGAGTTCACTCTTTGGCTCCACTGGAGCATGTARGATGGCTTGGTATTCCATGACCCATTGAGTTTGTGCCTTATACTTGTCTGAGAACTCCTTTACCAGCTGAAGACACTTCTCTGAAGTCATRTGCTCCTTTCTGATGGAGCCAGCCAGCTCTTCAAGCTGTTCCACATGGTCCCCAATTTCTTTTCTTAACTGGTCAACTTCATTTTCTTCCATGTATTTCATAGCTCGCTCCCCCTTCTCACGGGCTGATTTCAGTAAACTGTGGCCTATGTCCATATCACTCAATAGCAGCTGTGGAGGAGGTGGTGGTTAACAGAAAATGTATGAAAGCTCTTGCCTTTATTTACATATACATATTTAATTTATTGTAGTTCCTTTATCTAGAAGCTAACAATATTTTTTTTTAATCTTGCTACACACACAGAAGGAATGTCCAGGGAAAATGAGTAGACTTTTCAGTACAAAATCACCTGGAGTTAAGGTGTATCATACTAGAAGGAAGTAGATAAAGCAAATACTTCTGCTCTGCACTGGGCTTGTGAATTTAAGCAGGGAAACTGAGGGCTCCAAGAGACGATTTGTACTTCAAATTCTGGAACAGAGGAAAGCTTTCCCTTATCGTATTATGTTTAAGCTGCTTAAGCTGCAGGACATATGAGAAGCTCGTCCACAACTTTGAGATGAAACATGAGTCTTACTACTGTTTCAATGAAGAGAAATAGRGAGCACTTCTTGCCACAGTGCATAGTTAACACACAGTGTGGGATAATATACTTATGGGGAAAATGTAATTGTGGGGAATTTGGGATATGGGAATTTATTTTAAGTTTTAACCTAATACAAAACAGACACGAGCATGCCTGATGGAAAGACAGGACTATTATTTATGACTACATCATTTAGGACTATTTACTATATCATTTARGACTATTTATAACTTCAACATCCAAACTGTGATCTAGCAAGATATGAGAACAGCAAGTTCTATACTGTGTGGTCTTATCCCATTATCTTTTCTGGGCAAGGTAAAGTCAGTATTTTGAGCAGCTGTTAAAATCTATGTTAAAATACAGACTCTTTTTTGAACAGGAACAAAGATTGAATTTAAGAAAGCTGTACCTCCAGTTTCTGCACTTTTTTCTCCATTGCTGTTTTATCAACCATGTCAAATTTGGTGATCACGTTCTTGAAGTTCTTGTTAGTAGCTCCATACCAATTTGTATAAGCACTGAAAGACAATTCTGACTCCTCCATACAGCGTATTTCTTCTTCCAGAAACTTTATTTGTTCCTTCAAATAAATATGGAGAGTAGAGAGARGAAACAAAGATCACCCAGATGTTTATCATTGCTATTGGCTTAAGATAACAATGARTTGTTATCTATAATAAAATCTGTCATACAAAGATAAAACATATAGACTCTGAGTTCTGTCACAAATAGTGGATAATTGTTACAGGGCTCTTGTCAGGGTGAACATGTGGCAATCACCAACATYAAAACTGAGCTAACACTAAATACTGAAAATTTACTCACATTTTGAACTTTGAATTTGTGATTACAGCACTGTGAATACAATTACTACTTTAGGTAATCTGAAGACTGCACCTCCAAATCAAATTTTCCCATTCTAATGTGTATCAGTGGCAATCTGAAAACATTTCTCTAGAGGTCAATTAGCATTTAAGAATACTTTATTCTCAATTTCTCTCCTGACTCTATCAAAAAAGATAGTAACAGGGCATTTTACTTCATTATTCTGATTGTTTCTGTAATACATTTAATCCAATGAAATCTACATGTGTGTGTGTATGAATAYACAAGTGTCTGTTATACTATTGAGTCTACAGTAATGAATCAACTCTGATAAAGTCTGACTATAAAAACCTGTTTATATTTGTTTCTCAACTGATAATTTACAATGTTACAATGAATTAATTTTCCTTACTTACCAAGACATGAAGAAGAAGAGTTTGGTARCGAGATGTAAGCTGTGTAGCCTGACTTCCCATTCTACTTGCAGTGAGATTTTCTTCCAGTATTTGCTGAGCCAATACCCCAACTTCCTCTACATCATCTTTGTAGATTGTAATGTCTTCATGCCACTTCTATGCCAAAGAAATTATTAAACTTACATGACTSATTCACACATCTTAAACTATCAGTAATTTAATTCTAAGGAAATAATTGAAAAGGAAAACAAATACATGGTTGTAAATATAMTGGAAAATAAAACATAATCTGATGAAGGCTAATGTACCAAATATGCTGGAAAGATTTTCATTCCATAYGGATTGCATTTCATTACAACAGATTCAACATTTTTTGTATTTTCTTTCCCTTCAAAATGAATAATAGAAATGCAATCTGGACTTCCTATAGATTTTGCCTGAAGTTTTAAAGATGACTTAAATTCAGAAAATTGGAACTCTGTCAAATCTGCTTCTTGTGTTTATTCAGAACCATGTCTTCTCCCTGCAGTGACTAAAGCAGAATTATTACATCAACACATTGGAAACTTTATRACAGAGGCATATCTGACTCTCGGTCATATCTTACTCTTGTTACCATATTAATTCTTTTCCATTCAAGTGCCAATCTTTGTACTCAGTTACATCTTCACACACTACAGAGCACATGAATTCCAGATCTCCCAGCAAAGTTTCAACACTGGTATGGCCATACCYCTACCAGTGAAATGGAAGGAACCCGGATCCGGAAGGCGCTAAGATCTCTTGGGTACATCATTTTAGTCATCACCTCAGTCAAAATTGCAAAGTTTGCTCTCATTTTCACAGTGCRACCAGAACTGACATGGAAACCTCACATATTACCTTGTTTAATGAATGCCTTGACTGTATTCTTTACCTTCATTTGTTGAAGCTGCATCTCTTTTGTTGCTCTACCAGACCTCCTCCCAGACCTGATAGCAACTTTCTCCTCCAGGTTTGTTAGCCAGTCATTAACCTTCTGGAATTTTTTCTCCATTAACCTCAGTCTGCTCACTGTGGCATTTAATTGGCTTCTTGCTTCAGAAAGCTTRTGCTGATAAACTTGCCAATCCTGCCGTAAGGACTCCAGGGCTCTGTCTTCTATCTGGGGAATACCCCAGGGAATCACCTCCTCTCTGGCATGGACAGCAGCRTTCAATAATGCTTGTCCCTCTGCACAGTGGACCTGCAGCTCCTGTAAAGRCAGAGTTACAGTCAAATTCCCCAACATTAACAGCCTTCATTTACCCATGGCAAAAGCCCCACTTGGCTCCTCTTCAGATAGCTGGGCATTAGCTATCTATGGTTAAGCATATATTAGAGAGAGAGAGATTTTCTCTAATAATGCCACTGACAGCATGCTCACTTACAAAGCACCAAGCAYCACTATTATTGTCAATTGAACTGCAGAAAATTGACAGAGCATGCATTAAATTCTTTGCTCTCCTGCCAAGTTTACCAGTTCTGAAACATTAGCTGCCTGAGCCAGCATGGGATGGATGCAATCCATTTACCACAGCCTTTAATTCAATACTTTCCAGATGTGACAAGCATTCTTTAAGACTGATTCTAAAAATGAATCTCTTTAAAAACAGAGGCTTCAATCTTCTAAAATAAACAAACTTTTTATTTTTACACATGTTTGACACAACACTCCACACTAATTTTTGATACCCTCTTCTGGAMATGTATGGCATTTTCATGCTTATTAAAACTTGATTAGAAAGCATGAAGTGATTCAGTCTGACTAAAAAACACAACCAGGAAATTACCATAACAAAACACAATTGTGCTTCATCTCAGATTTGAGATACATAACCAGATTTTCAAAATGGGTTTTGTAACGTAAACTATAATATGCAGAAATACATGCAGTGTCCCTGATCGTACAAAGATCTTCTCAGTATTCTAAATAAGGTAATAAAAATTTCATATCTCTGTTACAGACTTTGTGTTCCTTCAGAAACAGGTATTGAAGCATTTTAAGTCAGCTTAAGATAACAACTGGGAAATTACTGAAGTAGTACAGGTTCACTTCTCACTGTCACTGAAGTGACTCAGGGGTAGTTTTCCCACCTCATTATGGGAGCCAGCCCACACGACTGGAACTGCCTGAAACTAAGTGCATCTGCTCTACAAGCAGTAAAAGATGAAATGCCAATGAAAATGCTTTGCACATTTTATGAAACAAAGGGAAAAGAAGAGATAGACCAACATGTCTATCCCAAATTTGATACTTGCAAGAAAGGACTAGAATGTGTGGAGATTTCATTCAAGGCCTGACACTTCTTTCAGCAACAGTTATTTCCACCACCTTTACTGGAACCACTTTTGAGCAACCAAGTGTTCATATGCAATGCAACTCCAAGTTGTTCTCAAGACAATTTTTGTCTGGCAATAAATGCTATTCTGTTATTTTACAAGGAGGATTTATTTTAATTTTTTTTTAATTTTAACTTAGGGTGTCACACATAATGTACCTGTAAATCTCGGAGTGTTGCTTCCTGTTCCTGGGCATCACCATCAAGATGTGATAAACACTCAAGTTTTTCCTGTTCCTTCTCCAGCCATACTTCAAACGCCTTCAGATTTCTTTGGTATTCTTGATGTAAGGCAAGCAGTCCTTCAGCTTTTGTTACAGCCTCCTGCATGTGAAAATATTTACAAATATGTGTGCATATCTTAGTGTATTGTCAAACCAAGAAAACATAAACCCCAGCTATCCATCAWGGGGAAAAGTTTGTATCTGATGCTGAACTTTCCAAGATTTCAAGATTACTTCTATTCTGAAGATGGCTTAATCAATCCTAGGGAATGAGGGGGCACAGGTAGGGGTAGAGATGCTTATCTTGAAATATTCTTCTCATAAGTTTGTGACTTCTAAGATTTACAGTTTTGCTCTGGGATTACTTTTAAACACCACCTTAGTGTTTAATAACAAAAGTCTTTCTTGATTTTTATAGCAATTTGAATTAACTTTGCTGAAGTGATTAATAAGCATATGCACTTAGAAATTGCTTTTTTTTTTTTTTGTTTGAACGACTCCTTAATTATTTTGGAAATTGAATTGGAATCTTCTATTAGGAGTATCTACTGTCTTAGGTTTGAAGAATACCCAAGTTATTTGCAGGCAGTTCCTACAAAGCACAGCAAGAAACAGACCAAAAGTTTTCCGTGTAGGTGGGTGAGGAAGTTACAATGATTTCACAACCCAGCACTAAAATATTACCATACCTGAAGTACAGAAGGAAAGGTGTCATGTATTAGCACAAGACTAGTCTTTTTAAGTGCAAGAAAAATGTATTACATGTAATTCACATCCTCCAAGAAATGATGGGAATGGGGAATCAGGTTCAGATGAAGACAAGACAGGCTGCATCTGAGAGCATCAGGTTCACAAAAAGACAGTTTAATAAATCTATGAACTTACTGTCTGCTTTACCTTTTATTTTAAACAGATCTGTCTAGGGGGAGAAAGGAAGAAAACAGGAGTATTATCACATCTTCTACATGGCCCGTCCACACCCACAAGTGGGAAGAGACTAGTTTTCTTGCCTCTCAACAGGGGCTTAGGGAATTACAAGATTTGGTCTGCTCAGATATGGGCCATAAACCCTTGGGGAATCTTGTCATGTTTCCTGMCTGTCCAAAGGATTAGTAAAAGATTTGAGCATTCCTTACTTTCCAGCTATTTTCTTTGAACTTTGAATTTATTACTAAGGGCAGATTGCACTCTTGACATTTAACATCATCACCACAGTTGGGAACGGGGAAGATCAGTCATGTGCGATTAGAGGAGAAAGGAGGAATGCTCCTTTGCTACATGGGGAAAGARGTACAAAACTCTTGCCTCAGTGAGCCAACATCCATTTCTTATTGCTCCCATGCTGTTGCTCAAGCTGAGCRAATATAGGCAACCTGTATAGCTTTGTGCAGGAGAAAAAGGTAAAGGCTAGAGCATCCCCATGCTAGCAGGAATAATAGRTATTTACCAGCATTTCCCAGGACTTATTTATAATATCTCTGGCAAATCTGAGCAATTTTATTCACACAAGGTCGAAAGAAAGACAGTACATGGCATTCTTTGCAGTTGTGCAAGAGAGGACCACGAAACAATGAATCCCTTAAGTGTTTGAAAAACTGAATTTTGGCTGAATTCTGAATTTTCTCATTCTACATTACAAAGGTATCACTGAGACAATAAAACACAATTTTACTACATTGCTATACTGAAGAAAAATTGGCTGTCTGAGCATGCATTATGCATTATTTAATTATCACAGAAAAACCTGGGTTAACTGGAGATAATGGCCTAGCTTTAAATCTATAACCAGGTCTTCCATTACTGTTTTACCTTATATCTTACCCTAAACCTTATCCTGATCTTTAAGCGTCCATGTCCTAATCTTTTCCTATACAATAGGATACAAAGCTATACAATATCAACATTTAACAGTAAATGTAGTACTTATCACATTTGTGTTATCACATTCAGTTTACTTGCTAATAAGGTTTGTGTTCAGTAATAAGATCTCTGTARCTGTCAACCATTTGTGAATCACCCGACTGACTGGTAACATTCATTGCAAACTTACACTTATGCAAATCACAGGTTTGAACATTTTTTCAACTTTTCAGTCACAACAGATAAAATTATATCTGTGCTGAAGTCAATGAACTTTTTGACACGGAGTTCCTCAATTATTCTCTYATTTTTTAAACCCTTCTGAAAAGATCTGAAGCTCAGTACAGSAAGACACATTTATCAATCACTCCAGTAGGTTTCTGTTACATTAAGTTACAGCTGTCCCCAAACTCTTAATCCTCATTTAATGGTAAAATAAATGATCAGTGAAAAGATTTTTTACTTGTTGCCAACTAAACAAGGAGTGCTATGAAGAGAAACTGTACCTTAGTTCTCTCTTTGAGGAACTTATACCTCTCCTGAAGGTCCTGGAGCTCAAGCTGAGCAATGTAGTGCTCAGCCATCCCTTTTCCTTTCACTTCAATTGTCTCCAACAGGCTGCTATGACTCAACACCTCTTCATCAAGCAGCTACAAAACAGAAAGAGAAGAACACACAAAGGGCACCATGAAAACAAGACCACTGATTAATCCTGCAGTTACAAAGGTTTTTTATTGCCTGTAAGGTGTTGTAGAGTTGTTGATGGCTTGTTGTAAATCAAACACACCTTTGCTTTGCTGAGGGCAGCTGTTTTTTCCCTCAGTTCAGCATATTGCCTTTCCGAAGCATTCATACTTGCTTCTACTTTTTCCATCCATCTGGAAAACTGATTAACATCTTCCTGGTAACTTGTCCATTTGGAGAGAGCTCCTTCCAGTTGACTGTAATTAAAAAAAAAAAAAAAAMYTGTGATAGYTGAAGTGCCCATGCTATTTAAGCAATGCGATACAATCATATACAGATATTCTAGACTGCATTTATGAGAGAAATATATCATAAGCTAAGCAGTCTGTTGAAATCCTACAGATTTTAACTAGGAGCMCTGTTTGACTAAAAAAGAGAAATGAAGTTTTCCAAATCTGGAATACTAAGTAGATTTGTAAGCTATTTAGCTAGCTGATATGTTCTAAATTTAGTAAATAAATTGCAACTGAAAGCATAAGACCGAAAATCAGAAATTTTCTGTCCCTTTGCATACATTCAGAAGTTGATGCTTTCTAATATTTAATTACCTCTTTTCTTTAACTTGAAATACTTGCAACTATTGATCCTCCACCAAAGAGGTCTCCATTTTTCCTTCATATTTYTCTATTCTATCACTAGGAGCAGCACTATCGGACACTGTAATTACAGTATGTCCTTTGGAATGCTAGCAAGTGGATAAACAGACAGGATCTTGCCAGAGTCACCATTAATATTCACGACAAGTTCTTCTCATTTCTGAGAAGGTTTCAAAGCATCAAGTGCACCACAAAGTAAAATRTTAAAGATTATGAACACAGAATCCAGTTTTAAAAATAAATTGACCATAAGTGTTAATAAAGCTTAGACCCCTCACAGTTTCCTCCCCTTCTTCTACTTCACACRAATATATCACTTACAATCTCTAGACTTGCAGTGTTTGGCACATACAAGCATTTTACAATTATTTGACTCTGGTAGTAATGTAATTCAGAGAATTACTTTTCAAAAGTTTTGATAGTGCTTTGTTCCTCAGCATCACTCTGCACCTCATGCCCTTTTTACCTCTTGCACTGGATACAAGCAGACAGAAGAGAAGCCCAGCTGTCCTTCAGATTTTGCAATTGCCCTTCAATCACTGGTATTCCCTCCAGAGAAGTATTTTGCAGAACAGATTCTCCTCTTGTCAGAACAATTTTCATTTGGACTTCTTTTTCTTGCTTCACTGCTAGCAGGCCCTAGAGGTGAGTGGATATATTTTATTTTTATCATTAACTGGTCATGAATATTCAAACTGGCTTTAGTGGAACATGACCTGATCATATTTGGCAGTGTGTAGTCAACTGAATGATAGATAGTGGGGTTCCTAGTTGGGCTTCACAAATAAAAGTGACTTTCAATGGGTAGGTTCAGACTATGAAAAAAAACCCTAGGTGGCAGGAAAATTTTCATGGAATCTGTGCAGGTACTTTAGAATGTATCAGAGAAGGTACTGTTCAGTGGAAAGGCTGACATTCCAAAGGAAATGTCATTTGGATAGAAAACAGGAGGACTCATTCACAGAGACAAGAAGATGTAATGACAGAGCTCTCCTACAGGGCTGAAATGCAGTTCTACCATGCCAGGATATATCAGCAACATGAAGGGACCCACAAATAAAGTCAGTAATCTGTCATCAACATCAGCCTAGAGAGTTCAGCTCCTGAAGCTGGGCAGTTATAAACTCACAGTTTCTAACACCWTGTAGTCATGAAAAGCCTGGAAGAATGCGCCCAAAAAACTCAATGAACGAAAGCCAAAACATAATTTTAGTATTATGTTACAATCTTTTGCTTTYAGACATATCCTTATAATTTTGAGGAACTCTGCTCAAAATCCACGACATCAATAAAATGAAAACTATTGCTTTCTAAATAGTGCTTTTAACACTACTGTAAAAGCATCCAAAATACTGTTTTCTTAACTGCAGTCACTACTTTAAAAGCAAACAATTACAGGAAAATATTTTCTGAAACAATTGTAAGACTTAGGAATATATATTAAAATATACTAAACCAGCAAAAATGAATATTCTACTTCTTCCATTTAACCTTCATCAGCCACACAGTATCTTTTGAGTACTTTAAGAATTTTCATACATGCAGTTCCTTAAGGTCCTTATTTAAGGTCGTGTCATTAAGGTCCTTACTTACTTCTTAGAGAAAAGTTCTAATAGTAAGCTGTTTCTGCTACAAAAAGGGTTATTTTTGAGTAAACTGAAAATCAGCATCTGAGCAACAGTTTTTAGACTGATATGCAATAACTAAGTATCCTATAGTTGTATTCTTCATATTTATCTAAAAGGAGCAGATTTTGGACTCTTGTTTCCATACCTCTAGTTTTAACATCCGGCTGTCCAGAACACTCTTGTCTGCAGTGGGATGACAGTAGGAATCCAGCATGTGAACTGCATCAGCAACCCAGTCCTGGAGGTCCTTGACACTCTGGGAGAACTGCTGGTGCTCTGCTACAATCCTATCCATCCTGGAAACTTTCTCCTGCAATTCATMCAGCAATTAGCACCAACAGCTATTTAAAGGACTGCCTATTCCCTAAACCAACTTATGGACTTYGAGTCTCATCAAGTACACTCACAAGTTTGCTGCATACACTGATAATTACAAGCAAAATTGAGCATAGGATAAATTCTGCATATATWTGGAAAAGACCTCAATGACTTTTTGTTAATGACTCTCATTGACTCTTCTGAGAAATCACTGCTACTCATACAGATCAAAAACTGAATGCTAAAGTTACATTGCTAAAAGGCTTGAGGAACAAGACTACAGTACAGAGCGTATTTCTCACTGTGACAGAGAACTAAAATCAAGTCAGTGAAACAGGTTTTGGAAGTTACTGAGAGGATCTTTCTCAAGATCCATGGCTATGCAAAGAGTTTCAGGATTTCTCTAACAGGATGGATCATATGTATCCAACACCTTAGATGACACCTTAGGTGACTCCTTCTCATCCTGACATTTAGTACAAGTTCTGCTCACATAAGCCTTTGTTAGTAACTCATGCATCATTCTTATTTTGCAGACATGAAAATATATTATGGCCACACATCCAATAATTTCCAGCAAGTCACGGATAGACCTTATAATTGTTACTTCCATAGAAAAGACAGCAATTGCCAAAGTAGCAATCCCTTAAATACAAATACTTTCTGAATTGAATTGTTATTMCAAAATGTATTGCCTATATCCTTATTCATTCCAATTATTGTAGCAACTGTAAGCCTATATCAAGCCTCCTTCATGACACAAAAAACAGTCTTAATAGGAAGGTTTTTTTGTCTGTCTGCACAACAGACACAGAATTGTTAAGGGGCAAAGTATGTGAAGTAAAAAAGAAAAAAAAGAAAATCAGATTAAATTCTCAGTTCTTGGTCTGATGATTTAGAATTTGGCCCATCCTCCCCCTGAACCTTCAATAGCAGCTTAGGAGGTAAATTWTTTTAGAAGACCAATCTATTACTTTTATGTGAATATACTTACAGTGCCAATAATCATCATTATGAGATGAAACAACAACYTTTCTGCAGCCTGTATTTTCTAAAAAAAAACCACCACCTCTGCTAATTTGTGAAAAATAACTCTTTCAGATGCCACTTATCACAAAACTAAAATGTCTTCAGTGCTTGTGAGAATCAAAATCAAGTCTGAATACTGCAAAATCAGATGGAGTTTACTTTTTAATCAGTGCACTTCAAAATAAAAGCCATAAAATATCAGTTACATTTTGTTGACAGACCTCACTCTCCACTCCTAAAAGTCAAKGTGAAAGACAGAATAGCTCAGACATACCACAGAGCAGGCAAGCAAGACAAYTGCAGTGTTTCACATTTCAGTCTTTATTTTCCCCCACACACATCAAAGGAGTTGCTTAAAAGTTCATACASTGGGTATGTTACCTTTGTCAGATTGCTTAGAGTAAGATACTGAGAAGACAACTGAGACACTCTGCGCATAAAGCTTTTGCTGACAGCTTGTTCTTCCCACAGCTGCTGAGCTTTCTCTTTTAGCCTGTTGAGCTGATGCTCGTGGCAGCTTATTTCCTCAAGGACAGACTGTAAAGCACAAGCACAGTAATAATAAGAGTGGGTGCAAGAAAGCAGGAAACAGAGAAGCATGAAGGTGCCATGAAAAATAGAAGTGACATATGGCAAGCTTGCTGAGAAAGGCACACCATACGGTTACAGCAATGGAGCAGCACGTCACAAGGAATGTGGAGATGCAAAACTTGATGGAACAGGATCATGAACAGCAAATCTTGAAAAAAGTCCTCATCTTATTTAGAGGCCAGGATGCTAGAATGATTGAACTTTTGTAAGTAATCAATGAGGCCAGGAGGATGGGACAGGAAAGCCTGGCTGTGTTAAGAACACTTAAAAGTCACCTGCAGCTTTTGCTGCTCTCTCCTCTTGGAAGGAAGATCATGGAGCCGACTGCTACTTCCTTGCAGTATCTTCTCAGTTGTGGCCAGCCACTCCTGCAGAGGCTCAGCAGTTGCTTCAAAGTCCTTCATCTGGATCTTTAAGTTCTGGGAACACATGCAAAATTCTGTCAACAGCCCCAGTGCACTGAACAGAATTCACATGACAAGCACACTAAAAGGATTATACACAACTCTTCAAATAAATTACATGAGCTCTCCCTCTTCCTATCCCACACACACTGAAATAAAAGTTTGATAAGGCACACTTTCAAAAAGCAAAATAGAAGCAACAATGTACTGTACATTGAGGGGTGGCTAAACCAACTTTTTTTTGAATGGAAAGATTTACAGATCTTATGAGATTTGATTCAATCTAATCCTAATTYGTGTAGCTAAGACAGTCTGAATAAAGGCTAATTTGGGATTTGAGTTATCTAACATCTGACTTCATTCATTCACACTGACCCCATYCTAAACAGGCTGCCACTATTTCTAGGTGATGTCTAAATTGAACCCAGCTCTGGGTGACACTTCTGTTTATATTCTTCTTTCACATAAAATTTTGGTCACAAGAATGTGTGCATTAAAGGTCTATGCAGGCACTCCTTCAATGTTTTCTTGTAGGCTTATTCTGCATTATTTAATAAAAGARAATTTGAAATATGGAATATAAACCTGAACAGCATAGCTGCTGTGCCCTAGTTATTTTAATGCACTTTTTTCCCTCAGATATATTTAGCTTTCTTTTCAGCTACACCCTTATCACTTAAACATCAGAATGAAAAACTAAGCCTATGAGACTGAAAAATGCCTGACTCAAGAAGACTAAGGTCTGAGAACATCCTCTTTCCATGTCAACCTTGAGATGAAGAAAGTTAACTTCTTGCCACCTGAGAATTTTCTTTGAAATGCTTTCTTATWTAATGCATGAAGTGTTTAAACTTTTCTTACTGTCTAGGCAGCATTGGTTTGAAACAAGAATGCCTAGAAACTTTAATTTTCCTATGCTATGCAGGGAATTCCAGATGAGACCTTTTGACCTTAAAACCTTTGACCTTAAAAAGTTTATGATTTTAAGATATTCCTCACCTACTGGTTGAATTGTGAGTTCTSAACAGAGAAAGGCACTGGCATTTGCTTAAAAAGTTGCTCAAATAAGTACATTTAATTTATCCACAATAAGAGAGACAACATTTACACACTGTACTGGGATTATTCAATCAGCAGCAGTGTCAGAAACTTGTACTGGAAGTTTTTCAAAAAGAAAATGTGTTTTARTAACCCAGTACATTTGATGAGACTAAAGAATTTCAGCAACTGCTGTCTTTGATTCTGAACAACACCCTTCTGCATGAAACACTCCACTTAAAGTGAAATCAGGTCACAAAGATGCAGAAGTAAACAAAAATAAAATGTAAGCAGAAGAAAAAGACTTCTTGAAAACARTTATTTATTAGTTCTGTCACATAATAAAGACAACTATATATGAAATTTAAACTGTGCTCTTTGAAAGAGAAGCAAAGAGGAAATTTAAATCCAGTCTTTCCTCACTGTGACCGGTTMAATACCTCCAATGCAGATTTCTTCTGGTGGAGTGTGGTTATAAAGTTTTTCCAATCKTCTTTAGCAGCAGCACATTTGTCCTGGATAACTTTAGCCTTTTCCTCTGGTAAGACAGAGCACAGCAGCTCTCCTTTGGATGCTACCAGGTTTAGCTTTTGTTGCCCATTTTCACTTTCTGATAAGAATTCCTGGAAATAGTAATAAAATAAGTTAATTGGTGAACTTTGGGTCCCAATAAAGTAAAGCTGCTRGAAAATTTATCGGTGATAAAAGTTCACTGTTTCTGCCTGTTCACATGCTAATGTATCTTTCAGTACAWTTATTTCAATATTATTTGTATTTGATGGGATTTACAGGTTCTTAATCCAGAAATGCAGTGTCAGAATAATGTGTATGTTAAGACTCTAGGATTACCTGCTTGTTCTGTATTTCATGAGATGATTATTTGTCATTTAGTAAGATATTATATGCTCGTAAATATGCCTAGTAGAGAAAGTGGTAAAAGGGAAGTATTATCCTGACAGATAATACAGGAGCCCCCTCAGAGGCACACAKAGAACTGAAGCCTTGCTCATGGGCAAGCTCCAGCTGTGCTGGACTTCCATGAGCATGTGGGGGTGTGGGCTGATGCTCAGAACCTGACCAATGTCCAATCCGTGTGATTTATGCCTCTGTATCTTTAATTTACCTTCCCTCTGTGTAMGTATTTTTCTTCACAGAAATCTTGCACAATTCTGGTGTGCAACAAGTGTGTGGAAAAATGCATGTACAAGAAATATACAGAAGTACAAGGAAACAGATTTTTAAATACCAATTTACTGGGATAATCTCTTTGTAACTTTTAGTTACTAAAAAACTTTGTGAGCATTTAGGACTCAAAGAAATTAAGAAGTCTTATACAGCAATATTTTAAACTGTTACTATCAAGATTATGTAATACAYGTAATCATTTGGTTACACCCATGTTCAGGAGTAATAGGATTGATACCGAAATTTTTAGATCGGGTTCTGATTCTGTGTAACACTAGAGGTCTTAGTAGAGAATGCAAAGAGTCTGTTAACTTTGAGATACTTTGGCTGTAACTTCTGGCTATATTAAAATCAGAGATATTGGTCACTTAATGATGTCAAATGAGCTAACAGAAAGAATATTAACTTTCAAGTAAAGTAAAATTTTAAGTTTACACAGGTTACCAAGACATCTCTAGAAGTCCTAATGCAGCCCAAAAAAAAAAGTTTAAATCACCTAAGGCAGCTTTCAAGAGAAGGAGAACAAGGAATAGTCTTACACTGTAAGGGAGCTAGAGTGATAAAAAACAATAAAAATTTCCACTGTTAGAAAAAATTCCAGCCTTTCTAAAACATTTATATTTAATGTAAAAGATTACCATGTTTTTTCCCCCTTCTAAAGATACTTTCATTATGGTGCAGTCAAATATTTGACATATTAATACAGCATTGTTTATGCTTTTAAGTAAACCACTTAAGCAAGGGAAAGTGAATTTATGAAAAAAGAGGAGGAAGAGATTTGGCTTTTAGTGTTTTCTGAGAAACAGATCTTAATTTCTTCTGTTATACTACCTAACTGAAGGTATAACAGCCTCATTAAATAATTCTCATTTTGTTACTTTCAGTTAAAATTATAGATATATTCTAATAATAAAAGTATTTCTTTCAATTGTTTTAATAAAATATTCTTTTAATTAGCATTCCTTTCCCAGAACTTTCTGGGCTTGTTTTAGTTTTATGTGAAAAATATACTTTTTAAATGCCTATTCTCACTGCATACAATTTAACTCTAGTCTTGTACCATGAGGGCTCCACCTTCACACATAACGAAAAATATTCACATAAATGTTAAATAATTCCAGGTCCTTAAACTTGATCCTGATTTTACAGTACTTTGGTTCTGATTTTATAGTACTCTCCCACCTAAAGCACATATTTTCCCATTGTAAAATAGAAACAGACAAGAAAAACTACTATGAGACGTARCTACTTATAAACTGTAGCCTGAAAATGAAATTAAACAAAATAGATTAACAAAGAAAAAAAGTGTTCATTTTTTTGCAGCGAGTCACCTTTAGTGCTAATAACAAAAATATTAACAAAAAATAGTAATTAACCAAAAAAATTAATCTGAGCTGTACATGAAATTGATTTGGTCTCCCTTAGACCAGTATTTTACTGCAATAAAGTTACCTGTATCTTCTGCAGACTTGCTGAMGCTTCACTGATATTTTGAGGCACGTCAAAGCATTTGGCAGTGGTGACTCTTGCATTGACCAGCCACTGCTGAAAATCCCTGAAAGCCGTCCGAAATCTTTGCTGCAAGATCTGCTCTTTGCTCTGACATCCTTTTGAAGCTTGCAGGCAGAGGCTGGGTTTATCACATCAGGGAAGAAGAAGAAAGCGAGGGAGGAAAGGCAGGACTCTGTTAGGTGACAATGCTATTATTTTGTTCTCTGAAACACAATGGTAAGGGTAGGTTAACCTGGATTCCTCCTACCAAATTTATGCACTTAGCTGAGGCACCAGGAAATCCATTAGAATCTTTCAGCTCTCGAAAGTGAAGCATGTAAATTGGGACATAGCTGTGACAGCTATGACAGGTACAAGTGTTTCTAGAGAGTGACTCAGTGCACCTAACATGAACATATTCTGCATGCCCCTGTTTCTCTCCAGGGAGGGGGCACAGGTCTACAGAGATTAAAATTCTGACTTCTGTGGCTCCKTTAAGTTCACAAGGTTATAAAGGATCAATCTGAGTCAGCACATCTTTCTGCAGCTACAGAAGCCAGACACTAATCCCCTGCAAGAAACAGAACCTTGTGTCTGAAATGCAGACGTCACACTCCAAAGTCAATCAGAGAGGGTGACGTGAGAGAAAGCAAGAAAGCAAGCAAATGCTACCTTCCCTGCAAGCAAATGCTACCTTCCCTAACTCCTGCTTCAAATCAAAGAATAATCTGAAGGACAAAATCAAGAAAAATATCTCAACTAGCTGATATGGCTTGTTCTCCTGCAGAAAAATAGAACATAACTGCTATCTTGCTCTTTTTAAAGGACTCCTGTAACAGGCCAAGTAAAGATGTACATTTAGTTTCAGCTGAGTTTAGCAGAATAGCCTGGCTCTAAGCAAAAAAAAAAAAACTCCAAAAGATCAAATCACTACTTTGTATAACTTCTGYTGACAACAAAATCAAAATAATGATTCTAACTATTGCATACCTCTGTCTCTAGTTCTAAAATTTTAACTAATGGTTCCCTAAAAGACAGCTCACACCCCGCCACATACAAGATTAACTACAAACGAGACAAATACATACCTGTTATACTCTTTAATCAATCCTGAAACTTTTGAAGAATGAGTACTTAAATCCCTGGAAAATCTACAAAGATCATTCAGYTGAGTTTTGATCTCATCAGTCATTTGTTCAGACTTTACTAGAGCATCCAATGTTTCCTGTTAAAACAAAATAAAGGAAAATATTGGTGAGTAAATATAAAAAAATATGACTTCCAAATCATCMAAGTTTATCAGAATTTAAATTCATTCGTTAATGATCTATATATGTTTACTTTCAARAGTATTTTAGCAGTCAAGTCTACAGAACCTTATTTTAAATTATTARCTTCTAGAGACTTTCTGGATGCCTCAACTTCCTTAGCTCAAAATGTTCTTGAAGCCCATTTTAAGATATAACTTTCATTTTAACAAACAGTACTGCCAGTTAGCTGTGCACCTATAAAAGTACATATAAATACCAAATGATATGTTTATATAAATACAATTATCCCATTTACTTGARCTTAACATGTTCATTAAAAACTGTTTTGAGCTGTATCCAAAAAGTTAATTTACACATAAAGATTTCTGTCAGCTTCAACTCTTGAACAGATGACTTCACAATGCAGAAGTACAGCTGCTCACAATTCTGTGAGAGGAACTGGGTTACTGTCTGTCACTGATGCACTGGAAAGGCTCTTGCTTTGGAGACAGCTAAACCAATWACAACAAAAAAAGAGATTTTGTTGGCTTGGCTTGCGTCACAGGGAGAGGTGTGATGAGTGCTCCAACAAAAACAGTGMTTGATGATGTCCACAGCATCTCCACTGCAGAATCCTGCCAGCTACTCCAGCGCAATGAGCRGTGCAGACTTTGCTCCTCGCCTCACTAGGAACTAAATTCTTCAGACRTTCCTCTCAGACTAACAGCAGAGAYTCTGCAGTGCAGGCAGAGCAGAGCATTTGKCATGTATAGAATAGTTTGGCTAAAGTGCCAGTCTGGAAGAAACTTACAATCTAAATTTAATAAACAGATCATATGAAGGTGAAGACAGATAAGAACAGGGACCTGGAAGTGGGAGGTAAGTATGTCCCCAAATTACACTTCTGAAGGTACATATCTATAGGTATWTATACACATTCAGAAGAAAAAAAATAGCATGATTGAAAATATACATAGTAAACAGTTCAGCCCAAAACTGAATGTTCAAGAAAAGTACAAATGATATTTTGCTACAGCAGGTTTTCCGGACCCCCCTGATTTACATTATTCATTATCATATTATGGACTATCTTCTTTGAGCCACTCATACACAAGAAATCTCTTCAATCATGATTAACAGACACTTGAAATAGTCACTTGTTTCAATGCCATATAAAGTAGCATTTGAACTAAGTAATTATGTAACAGCAATAATGTTTAGAAAAAAACCTTAAACTACTTTTTTGCTTATGTTACTTGATTTTGAACTACTGAAACAATTTTTTGGGAAAGCATTAGAAACATCACAATGGACATTACTTAAACCCAGTATGCCACAAATTGCCAAGGGCAGGAATCACCATAGTGAAATGCTAACAGCCCTCTTTTTTTATGCAAAGGAAACACATCTTAAGACTAGAACAAGGTTAGAACTGCGTGTTTTCAACACAATTTTTCAGTTGCAAATAATCTACCTCAATAATTACTAAAAGGTTATTTTGATTACATACAGCCTTAGGCATAGCCTATTAACAAACAGGAGTAATAACTTGCAAAACAGGGTAAATTTAACTATGGCATTTTTCCATACAGTGAAATCACTGTTGCAGTCACTTGGATTAAATAGTGAATGCGACAACTACAAAAATAATTTGCTGAATTCCAYRCACAAAATCTGTTGCTCTAATGTTGCGCATACCTAAGGCAGCAGAGCTTGGATATAACAGAGTAACAGAATGATCTTGCTAATTCTGCAAATTAGGAAATGCATTTTTAATTTTTGGCCTTGGCTAACATAGCAACAGAATCACTGTGAGACAATAGAAATGGAAACTGCAGCTATTTTACATTCACAATAGGGCCTTTCCCTGGGGTCCAAATATGGAAGGATTACTGTCACATTTCCTTTAACTATAAATAAAATTACATAGTGGGGCTGTGCATAGTTACATCTTGAGATGCCTCTGCATCTTTCTCACTAGCCAAAGTTTACAACTGTACAATCTAAATACAGTGTTGTTACATAGAGCCACAGTGCRTATGTATCATATGTACTACTAATAAAAGCTATATGCTTTGAATTTAATAATTCTCCATTTATTAAATCAAAAATGCCTGGTGTTTTGATAACAATCTTATGTCTTCCTGTCCTTTTTAAAAACATATATACACAGAATGCTTTGCATATTTGTACCAYTATTTGTTTCATCTTAATGTCATCTTTGTTACTTTGACAGAAACATAATGGCACTCAAGCAAGCAGATTTCATAAATCCAAGAATTCTGTGAAAGAGGAAGCCACAGAAATCACTAGGCACAGACCCTGCAGAAAGAGATTAATAATCTCAGTTCAAAAGAAAGGTGCTCTGRGGCATTTTTGAACATGACTTTAGTCAAGGGGTCAGAAAGTAGGCAATACAYACCCCTCTTCCTTTACTGAAACTGCTTTTTTACAACACTATACTGAAAGAGAAATACTCTGTATCTTTCATCAACATGTGTGATTCATTGTGCTTGAGATACTTACAAACACGTATCTCGATTGTTGCAAATATGTGTGTATATTTACGTGAGGTGTGTGTGATATATAYATGGGGAAATTTTCGCTAGGAGACAATCAGGACCAGAAACAGCCTCTATTTCTCAAAACTCCACCGCATCCCAAAGCAAAGCAATTAGCAATTAGCAATTATACCAGTTGCCAGATTAACTTCTTTAAATATTGGATAAGATCTCAATGTGCATAATGTAGAGGGTGTTTTGAGAAAAAGAAAGTATAAGCCAAATACATTCCTGACAAATTTTAAGTGGCTTACTCGGCGCATTTCCKACATCAAGTGCCACTCTGGCTCAAACCACTGAGCAACTTGGAAGCGCAGCTCAGAGCCGATGTGCCAGCTCCTTGGCTTTGTCCCAAGGGCAAGCCCTGGGTTTAACACCTAAAATCCAGGCAGCTTTTGCTAAGCCTGGTACAGCAGAGGCCAAGGGGAGGGACGTCTTCTGGCAGCACCGCTCGCTGTGATCACAGCAACACAAAGAGTTTGGAAAGTTGGCGTTTCACAGAAATATCTTCCGCAAGCACTGATTTGTGACGTACGCGATGGTCCCGCTTGGCGGAAGTTTCCTGCCCGCAGTGGCCGCACATCCACCACAGAAAAGCTGCTAGGGGGAAAAGAGACATGCCCTTACTTTCTCCTTGCGCCAGCTCTCCACCACCTCGGCGTCGGTGCTGCGGCTGTCGGCGGGGGCCAGCCCCTGCGCCCAGGCGGCCAGCTGAGCTCCGAGCCGCTGCATTGCCTCCTCCAAGCGGCCGGCCTGCGCCGCGAACTCCCGCTCCGACAGGGCCATCTGGCTGAGCAGGTCCCGCAGGCCGCCCTGGCTGCGGCGGGCGCTCTCCTCCCACTGCCGCCAGTCCGCCTGCAGCGCCTGCATCTCGGCCGCCAGCAGCTGGCACCCGCCCGCCGTCGTGCCGCGCTTGGCGGCCGGGGCCAGCGCCTCCACTCGGCTCAGCCGGCCCGCGCCGCTCTGCCGGGACTCCACCAGCTCCTGCAGAGAGACATTGCCATGGTAACCCGGGGCCCGCCACATCGCCACCGCCGCGCACGGCGGGGCCCGCCCGGGGGGCGCGTCCAGTCCCGTCCCAGCCTGTCCCGCCCGTCCCGTCCCGCCCGTCCCGCCGAGGCTCCATGAGGGCAGCGGTCTGGGAACCGCGGGGAGCCAAACTCAGCCAACGGTGTGCGGACCTGAAACTGACCTTCCAGCGGTTCTGGAACTGACTTAAGCTATGGAGGGAAGGAATGAAAGAATGAACGTATTTTAGATATGGAAAATACCATTTAGGTTGAGATGCGGAATATAACTACTTTGTGATCTTTTGCATAAGGAACGCCGCTCTGTAAGTGCTTGCAGCAGTCTCAAAAACACAACTGCAGCTGTGACCTGTGATGGGCCAGAATCGGTTGAACTTGTTTTTTTCTGAGTATATATATGTTTTTTTTCTGAGCTGAATTCTTTCTACAGTGTCCTTATTTCAATCTCACACAACTCTTAAAAGGGATTCTTGGGAGCTTTCAGCGTGAGAAACTGAAGAATGTATAAATACCATCCCAAACACTGCATGCCACAGCCATGTTATTTCTTCTCTCACTCATCTTATAAACTAGACACTGCTAGCTCCTCCCTTTCCCGTTTTACACATCAGGAGTTTGAGCATAAAGGAGACTGAAAATTACCCAAGAGTGCACAAAAAATCTGTAATTTTATCTTGGGGATCCTGAATCTTCATCTTGCATTCAAGTTCACTGTCCTACTCTCTCATGTTTAGGAGCAGAGTAAAATGTTGCTAGCATGAATATCTGAATGTAAATACCAGGCACAGGCAAAACATGTAGCCTGCTTTAATGCTGCATTCAGGAAAAAGCAAATTTCTTGAGCACTCAGATCACTAAGAATAGGTTCCAGKCTAAGGAGAGTATACACAGAGAGGCAACTCATACATCTCTAACATGTTTGAGGAGAACAATCATTGTGCTGCTCCATTCCATGCAAAGCAGGAAAGGTTGTCTCTGATTTAGACAATTCTGCTCATGGAGAAAGCATATTTGGGGATGAGGAAAGAAAAGTATTCATTAATCAGCTAAGCCACATTCTTCTGTGATGCCACTGGGCTTCCGCTCTTGAAAATTGTTTCCATGTGTGCTGTGGTTAACTTAGGTCTGATTATACTTTTACTCCATCTGTTAATATGAAAAGGGAGTTGAAAACAAAGCACAGCCTAGAAAGCTTGCTTTCAGCTCACTGAAATGTAATCACCATTTCAAAGAAATAAAGAGCAAGATCCCACAGCTGTTTGACTCTAATTTTTTTTTAAAGCATAGAGTCTGAATTGCAGAAGAAATAATGAAAGCTCACTTACATTGATTTTGGCCAGCTTTTTCTGTATAGTTGGTGTATCTCCAGATGCATCTGACCAGCGGTGAAGCTCTTCCTTTGCAGAATGAAGCCAGTCAGTGAATTCATGCACAGCATCCAGATACAGTAAATGATCCTTCACAATATCTTCCACTTTCCTCATTTTCTCCTATCATTCAGATTTAAAAAAAAAAAAAAAAAAAAAAAAAAAAAAAAAAAAGACCATTAAAGTACTTAAATACTGTGCTGGCTTTAAGCATGCAGTGCTAGTTTGACCCCAGAGCATGCATTTGAATAGTGAATAGAGTACAGCTTGTGGCACCAAAACACACCACACTGCAAAAGGTTTGGTTCGGATTGATSTGGACAAGCATTTTCTCTGGAGCAGAAGCCTTCTGAAAATGCACACAAAAATACTTTAACAGAGTCCAATGTAAGGTTTAGTAGATACCAATGCTGCAGCTGTGTCACTGGCATGCTTTTCCCAATACACCCTGGAGAGGGTCTTGCAGATCACCCATGAGCACTCGCAGGGAGCAGCACTGCTGCCAGAAACACAGCCCTTGCTTAGAGGCACCAARTCTGGACAAATGCTAAGCAGAGTCATGGAGATGTCCCATAGGAAGACCACCAAGAATTTTGTCCGTTCCAAAGTGCAAAAGGTTCTTATGGCACCGAGTCCCATTTCAACCATCACATCACATCACCTGCCCTGCACCCCTGGAGGATGCTTTCCCTGACACAGACATGCAGCTGCTTCCTGGCTCCATTTTAGCTTTTTAAAGTAAGCTTAAAGTGGGGTCAGTTTATCTTGTAAAATAATGAAAGAGAACAGTGGTTGAGATTTGCCTTTGGTCTGACTGAGTGGAATTGTTGTTAAATTCTTTTGAGATAACAGTAATGAACGTTTATCAAAACCAACCAAAAGTGAAATGAGATAATCAAATAGTTTTTTACCAGTGTGTGGATACTCTAATCTAGATTGAAGTGTGTTGAAACCAGCTTCAAACTAAACCACCTACAAATTAAACTCAGTTATTTTAAARTTTGAGTAACTCAACATTCAACACATGCTATTAAAAATTAAGTTAGATTAATAAGCCCTGCTGTTCCCTCTGAAAATAATCTCATAATCTCACAGAATGTGTCAGACCARCTAGACAGTGGATGGTAACTAGCTAAGCAAAGATGGCGTAAAGTAAATCCTCAAAGTTTTTATACCTTAATGCATTTTATGCAGCAACAGGGTAAGAAAATGCCCACATGCACCTGACTCTAAACAAAACAGCCTCCTAGGGAAGCAAAAGAGCTTCAGGAAAGGAAATCATGCATCCCTGTTTACATCACTCACACCAAATTGTAGCACAGTACAAGGGGAGAGTGGATGCAAAGTGTTTCACTCTCATGATCTGGTTGGCAGAAGRTCTCAGTGAGCTCACATATTTTCCTTAGAAACCAAACAGAATACCTGTATAGCACGTGCAGTGCTTAGTGGCTTGAAACACCACAAAATATGGGCATATATCTTTTTGACAATAGGATTTCTCTTTCTGACAATATGTTTCCTGCTCAGGARGGCATTTTATTCTTCCCTTTCTAGGTAAAGAAAAAAACATAAAAAAATGCTAGGAATGAATGAAAAAGAATTAGGTGAAAATAAATGTGTCAGAATATYAGGAATACTGTTGTACATAAGAAACTAGGAACAAAATATATGACCTTCACATTTCAAAGACCATAATCATACCAATTTCAACTCCCAATACCATTTTTGCGTTCAATTAAATTTTAGTAAACTATATTCTTTTTTATTATCTGACTCAGCTATATCAGAAGCAAGATTATTCACAGTCAATCCTTCAGTTACTGAAAAAGTAAAAATCAAAATTTTTTAGCTATATATACAAATATCTAAACATTTTACTTACTTGAAATTGAGATATTTATCTTACCTTGGCTACTGTTGTGATGTCATTAAATTGTGTTTTTAGTTCTTCTTGAGCTGCATCTCCAAAGGAATCATCCCCTGTTTTTTCATATAGTTCCACAGCTTTTTCAATGAGTTGCTGTAAATCACCCGAGTGATCCTCTATCTCAGAAACAATAGCCTGGAAATGGTCCAGTTGAGCAAACTTCTCCTTCAGACCAGTCTGTGGTTCTAAAGGCTGTTCCACTTTGTGATCCAAATTCTCTAACCACTGTTCCAGCTGGTTTTTCCTTTCCAGATAGTCATTCCACTGGCTAATGRCAGAATCTAGGCAGCTTGCATTAAAAGAAACAAAGTGCAGATGAGAACTTTTGAACAGTTTGGGGAGGAATAAGAAGAAAGCTGCTTATACCTTAATTGTGACACTGTAGCCAGGCTTTTGGGCCACTTCAAACAACCAACATAGCTGCTTCCCTATTTCAGATTACATGAGCAATCTATCTGTCTTATACTAATGAAAAGCACATTTTAGTGTATGTTCAGCAAAGTAAAATATGGAACATTACTGGAGTTCTTTCTGATCAGAGTAATAAAATATGCAGCAGCCTATGAAATTACTGTCAATTAAGAGATATTCTGGCAAGTTTTGAAAGAACAAATCCATTATCTATAGTCTCATTTACAATTTATAGAAATAGTCCCTTTTGTTACATATTGCTCCTCCTAGTAGATCACCATACTTCTCTGGGGTTCATGTTGAGGAATGTAATCCTCATTCCACTGGACTTAATGATAGACAAGAATGTGGTAAGGATTTCAGTCAATATGYCATGGTCTAACCTAATCTAAATAATATTTCATTATAACATTTGGGTAAAATTTGAGCAACATCTTAAAGAGAGCCCTCCATAATTATCTATATACAATTCTGTTACAATTTTGGTGCAACTAAAAAGGTGGCATCACTTTCAGTTATTATATTTTAAGAAAAATGTAGACAAACCAGTGACAGTCTTCAATCTATTGAATAAGAAACAGGTRTGACAGAGGCCCAGAAAGTATTACCACAGAGAAATTGAGAAACTTCACTCTTTCTAGAGCAGAGATGATGGAGGCCTTCAGACATACAAAATTTTCTCACACAGGCAAAAAGAAAAACTTTCCATTTCCACACAGGTTAAGACAAGATGAAATAGCTTAATATTAAAGAATGATTATTTGGAGTTGATATAAGGAATTTTTTTTTAATTAAAAAACATAATTAAAAACAGAATTGAGAAACCTTCCCTGGGTTATGTATGGAAAAGGTAGATAAATATCTGTCACATGTTCTTGGTCATGCCCAAGTACAGGCTCAAGAACTCAGAAAGTCTTTTCTAGATTTTTCTCCGTATGAATTTGTATGATTCCTATTAATTTTAAATTAATATGAAATTTGATAGGGTCAATGTATCTTTTTTAATAGAAAGATGTATTTTTTCCAAGCCATTTTGATTCTCTCTGATAATGCAAATTCACTCTCACACACCAGTAATCAATGGATGCCACTCTCTGCAGGCAAAGATGGCAGGGTCTGAGCTGTGTTTTCCAGGGATTCTTACCTCTGCCATTTCGCTGAGGCACTGATGATATCATTCCATACATCCTTCAGTGTCTTCAGCTCGGTTTGTATCACTTTTTGTCCCTCCTCATTGCTGCTTTTAAGTGCTTGTTCTCCTTTGCCAATGGCCATGTTCAGCTTAACCTCACCGTCACCTTTGAGTAAGAGGATCTCCTGGGAGGCAAAACAGGTCAAAATATCAAATGTAACCTGATGAGAAATGGGAGCTGTTATTCTTTCAACAGTGAACACCATCTTCTCTAAGCGCATCTATCTTCTACAGTCATATCCAGCACGAATTCTTAGGCACCTTTTCTTCTAATGGGCTCTACMTTGCTATGTGCAAATGATCCAGCAGTTTTCCCACAGTTATACAGGCTTTTCAYGGCATTGGTCAACCTAAAATATTGCTCACATTGCAGTAGATTATGAGTAGGTCCAGCTCTGCACAGTAGGACAGCACTTCATAGCTAGAGGAAACCTCAGGAAAGCCCATGGCAGATCTAATGRTCTTCCTATGAGATGTTTACCTGACCTCCTCCTGAAGACCTCCTGTGACAGATATGCCACACCCTCTCTCTGTCAAATAYTCCACAGCTCTCTACCAGAAAGCTTTTTGGGGCCAGAATACACATTTGCATAGTGGATTATTCCTTATGAAATGTAATATCTGACACTTGTTTCCATTAAAATTCATCCTGCTTTTTTTCTATTTCCTATCTCAATCTGTYAAGGTCAACTTAACCTCTGATTGTCTTCTTCATAACTTTAATATAGAAAGAATAAAATATAAAAATGCACCTTTTCCACTGATGTGACCCACACCCAGTATTAATCTTGATGTGCAATATCTAGTCATATCTTTTACCTGAATTTGTGTCAGTCGTCTTTCCAGGGTGGCTTTGCTTCCAAGAGTGCTCTGTGATGATGCCAGTTTATCTTGAACCTCTTTCACCCATGACCACATACTCTGCAATGCCTCCTCAAAAGTGAGATGCTCTTGGAGTGCAAGCTGACATGTCCGCAGCTTCTCCTTGACACTTTTGACCAYGGTCTGATAGTTGGTGAGATGTTGAGAAGCCAGACGCACCTCCCTCCCTGCACCATGGCCTTCTTCATTTAAAGTCTGTGCCATTTGGGACAGCTGATCAAAAGATTCCCTGAAAGAAAATAGTGAGACTGAAAACCAGTTTCAGAAAGCAAATATTATTATAGCCACTGCCAGAAGTTATGAAGGTTGCTGGCATAGTCACCTACTCCACCACAGAATTGTTCACAGTTAACAGAAAAATTTAATTAGGAGAAACTGAAAGAATATAAGCAGGGTGTATTGATCAGTATATTCTAGTRCTCTGAATGATCACACTGATGTCTTTGTGTCACACATTTAAGTTAAAAGCTACCTTAATTTTCTTTTCAGCACTCAAATTTTCCATTTCTATATGAACTGCTACCCTTTTGTACTTGCCAAACTGCTAAGAARTTCATAGTCTTTAGCAGGTAGGAAGGCATGAAGGAAAGGTCATTTGTTCAGGATTAGACGATGACTCTGGGTTCAGTACAAGGGTCAGTAAAAGGGATTAAAACTGCGTTTATACAGTTAATCAGTTAATCTCAATCTACTTGATCACCCTTCCTGATACCTGATACCTGGTGACTACAGGGAATTTACATCGGACCAAAATGTCTTGCATCAGTCTCAAGGCAATAGCTTGCTGTGAGACTTGGGCGATTGACTACTATTTCTGTTCTATCTTCACCTACCTAATARTAAAAACAGAATTTGAAAAAAACACTGTACTCAAAATGGCAGTTACTTCATCATCTATTGGCTAAGTCTGAATTTTAGAAAGATGTCACAGCTAATGTGGATACTTTTTGAGCTCTTTTATAAAGCAAGCTGTATGGGAAAGGGGATTCTGCTAATCTGATTGGATCTGAGTGTTTCAATACAGAAAGAAAATTGTAAAATGGTTATAATGCTAATGATAATTTTCACTACTGCTTTTAAAAGAAAGATTTTTAACATTTCTTTTTTAATTAAATTTTCAGTTTTCATTTATTAGTGAAGTAGGATAACCTTTTATTAGTAAGAAATTTATCAACACCAAATATTGGAGTTGGTTGAAATTCGTTAAAACTGGAAGTATCTGCATTCAGCCCCTTTTCACAGAGTATTTTCCAACACTTTCCTCTAGCTTTCAAAAATGCACTTTACCCCAACAGTTTAATTTTACTTCTGCCCTAGTAGAAGAAAAAGGGATAGTATTTCAGAAAATGTATTTTCAATATACCTTGAATTCAGCAACTCTTCCAGGAACTTTTCCACTTTTTGCACCTCCCTTTTCTTCTCAGAAATAAGCTGTTTATTCTCTCCTAGTGCTTCAGTGTTTATTCTTTCTTCCATGTCATGCATCCACAGGGCAAGCTTCTTGTACTGATCTTCAAAACTACAGAGCAGATAAATATTCCCTTAAAAATACTTCTCACTTGGAGGTAAGTCAGAAAAGTTAATATCCACAAGGCTGGGTATCAAATTCATGCTTCGAGAATAAGAGTTGTGCACAAAACATAATTCCACAGTGACTACTAGTCTAAAAATATTCAGTAACTCTCTAAAAATGTTCAGCAAAATCATGGGAATGACAGGGAAACCAGAAGCCTCCAAAATTTAAAGTGACAGTACTTTTATTTATTAGTAGATTCTAGAAAAAAAGACCAAAAGAAAGCTTTTTCCAAATTCTTATAATGACTTAGTCAAAAAATGAAGAATGGGTAAAAGTGGGCTTTTTTTTTTTTTTGTTGGCATTTACATGTAGAACACCTCAAGAGTTGTGTTTTAAATTTCTCCTACAGAAGAGAACTGGAACCTGGAGTGCTCAAAGCTCAGCAAAGCAAGTCCTGGCTCTGAGTTTGAAAACCTTTTCCTTACACGCAGGCACACCATCTCACTTTGCTGTTTTATCCATTACTGCCACACTACCTCTGCTTTCAATTGGCAACTGTTTTGGATCTAGTCGGATCTGAAAATATTTTAACTCTCAAARTTCCAGCCCTAAGCAGTAATTTAAGAGTGTTTTTTTCTTGGCTCCTTAGGAAATATGTCCATTTGGAATGGAACAGAACAAGCACATGCTGTGTAAAAAGCACACTATCTTCAAGCCCCAGGGCAGAAATGAGCACTTACCACACATTTTCTGTCCAGAAAATGGCATTCARAGTACTGGAATCTCAATTGCTGACYTGGGGTTTCACAAGCTACACAGAACTCCTGCATATRGGATCCTGACCTTCCGTTCTTTAACCAAATCAATACCCTTGGAGCAAAATCTSTTGCTTTGATTTTATCAGAAAACTTCAATTTCTCTTACATATTTCCAAAGAAAAAGCAAACAGGACTAGAGCAACTGGAAATAAATTTATATTTTGCCCTGCACTTTGGCAGACAATTTCATGCAGTCTGTTTGGGACTACTGGTATTACTCACCTTCCCAGGTGTGAGGCACAAGCTTCCAGGGCCTTCTTGTCATTCAGACAATGGTTGAGGAATTCCTGGAAGTTCTGATTAGATTTTGCTATTTGCTCCTGAATATGGCTCACAACTGGTTTGGGTAAACAACCATATAAACTTTCTCCTTCCTTGCAGGCAGCATCTAATTTGTTCTGTCCTTCACCAATAGAATCCAGCACACCCTGTGTAATGAAAGAATATGGTTTAAACACACAAGATCTGATAACTAAATATAAGCAATTTTTCTATGAGAAATGGTCAGACTTCCCCAACAAGATGAAAGCCATGTCTAGCTATGGAAAAWCTTCTAAGCAGGTAGTTCTAACAAAATATTATTAAGTGGTGCTACGTTTCACAACACTTTTCCTATTTGATCCCAAGGTAGTCATGGCTTTCTCTGGGTAGTTTAACAGTCTCTTGAAGATATTACACATTTCAGGAATTAGGGAATAGTTGTCTTATATTTATGTTCTGTCTCATCAAAATTATATACATATCAGTATTAATCTGAAATGTTAAATAAGTAATAATGTTATAAAAAAGTAGGACAAGGAAGAGAAGGAAAACAAAAAGGAAAAAAAAATTAATAATCAGAAAAGAACAGTAGGGTTACACCTAAACTTTCCAGAAATTAAATTCTGATCTTTCAGAAGAGAGATGTATTTCACTGTATTCCCCCTATAGTACATACTGCTGCCTTGAACCATACTTATACTACCTTTTTAAAAACAAAACCAAATGTGTTAGCAWCTACAAATTATTTCAGAGATGTGATTGGCTACCTATACTAAATTGCTAATTACTGACTATTTTTAGTCAGTAAAAAAAATTAACAAAAAAAATTGTTAACTATACCTGTAAGTCATGTAGCTTTGCCTCTATGGCTTTGCTGTCCCCAGACCTGTCAGATGATTCTTTTACTGTTGCCTTCACACCAGCAAACCAATCCTGGAATTCTTGCATAGAGTCTTATTTAATAAAAAAGTATAGAGAAGAGAATATTTTTTAAGATACAGCCTTATCCACAATATTATACAGCTGTTTCAAACAATTATTTTATCCTACAGGAACAGTGAAAAMACTAACAGAATCAGTCTCATTGTCTTCAATGACCTTGGGACTGGSATTAATTTCACAAGAAATTAGTTATCTCTACTGTAAACATACAAATTTGAACAGACTCACTGGCCTACCCCTGACGTCGACTTTCAGCCTATGATATGTTCCAATTTTATGCTGGATAATATCTAGATTAGTATCTTAATAARTAAGATTAAAAGTTGCTTACTGTTCTCCACWRACTAYCCAGGGAGGCCAGGAAATACTGGARATGGGTACYTTTACAKTGTAAACACCTCCATTTGGTTRTATACATCTCTTCATTGCAAATTGCAAAAAAAACCCCTTAAGTGTATTTATGCGATAGAGGGGAATACTGATAGTGAGGAAAGGTGCATTTTCAAGCGTATTACATATTTATGTAAAATTCTTTGTTTCACAGCAGTTATCAAATGAGCATTTYTGAGAGGCTCCATAGGAAAATAAGGTTGTAATTGCAAGTGACATCACTGGAAACTCTGGCAGAGTCCAGAGTGACTCATGGCTGTGGGCTAACGGCTCATTCGTGTTAACCAGCCCGAAGACTCACAAAGGAAATGTTTTTCCAAGGACTCTTGAATCCTGGCCTGTGTTCTGGAAGCGAGCAGATTCACAGCTTCATACTTCTTTATTAAKGAGGTGACAGTGCCACCAAGAGCTTCCAGCTCTCCTGAAGGGTATTTGCGACAGAGGCTGTTGAGGGTCTCACGGGTTGAGTCRATGCTGCTTTGCTGAAGCTGGAGGTCCTTTTGTGTTTCCTGAAAATAAAGTTACAACTTTTACTTGTAACAGTATTTATAAAGAAACAAAAGAACTCTTTTTCTCAAGCATTCCTACTCCTCCCATATGTTCTTTCCTCTTGTGCTCCATAASTCATCCCAGACACAATGAAGGGAAGAGGCACTGGATCGGGAAACTTGAAACTAAAGAGTCACTGTAGCAATGTGAAAAGTGCTGTTTCTCATTATTTATTACTATATTAGAAATAAATAAATTTCACGGCAAATTGAATAGAAATAGATATTTTCAGCAAAGTCTGAAGGTACATGTGAGATGCAATTTGGCGGGAATTCCATCCAACTTGAGAGGAACATTTTCTGAAAATTAAATGTGAATTGGCTAGTATATTAATATTAACTCTGCTCACAGTTATATGCCTCCATGTGGTTTTTCATRTTATGATGTACATAATTACATGCAGCCAATAAAGCACTTGGATGTAGAAAAAAGAATTGCTATATATGATGACTCAGGAGGACTTCTGAGGTAGAAGTTTTTGTTAAAATTGAGTTTGGAGCAACCTCTTTTACTGTGATGAGTTATGACTTCACAACATTGCAAGGGTGTCGGTGCACTTGCAAACATGCTGGAATAATGACCAAGGAGTTCAGTGTAATAAAAGCAGTTCTTGTTAAGTATTTAACTTAGCAAAAGCTTAGCAAAAACTTTGATTAAAARTCCCAAAGGTCACTGCATAAGGAAAGTATATTGATTTTCTTCAGCACTGACCTTTACTTTATTTAGAGCTTCAGGATCCAGGTTACGAGCACAGCTTAACAGCGTCTCTTCCACTTGAGTTAACCAATCTGTCATCTGACCAATCAATTTCTGTAATTGCATCTTCTGAGTGCTGAAATCTTTCAGTGTCTCTTTTGCCGTCTCTGACATTCCTTTGGCATGTTCCAGCTTCTGCCTCAAATCTGATTCTATAAACTAAAACCAAGATGTTACATATTAAGGCATTTAATACTAAAAATGTTTATTCTGGTAAATGCTTGACAAAATGGAAAGCAGTAAAGTGATATAYAATGATAATTTTGACTTCTTTACAGCTTTAACTAGAGATATTTACATACATAAAAAATGTCAGCCATTCAGTATTCAGTCTTAGATGTATAGTAATCCAAAAAAGGGATAATAAGTTATAAAAAGCCAGACTGCAAACTACTGAATTTAWGTCCCACTTCTGAAAATTTAAATACTTGATCTTTTTCTTTTACTGATTAGCCATATATATGTAGAGCACGACCTATACTCRAATACCACCATAAAAAATAATATCAATTGATGAGCCTTAAGYGTACTGAGGCTTCAAGTATCTTAGTGTAAGACAGGTGAAAATTGAAGACAGTACAAAMATAAGTTAGAATCTTGCCTATTAACCTGTTCAAAGACAGCAATATGCAAAATTATTATGTTAGTTGAGCACATATCACTAATAAAAGTAAATCACATCAGTCATAATACAATACTATATTTCAATCATATTCACAGAATCTTAGGGTTGGAAAGGACCACTGGAGATTAGTTAGTGCAACTTCCCTGCCAAGGCAGGGTCACCGACAGCAGGTGACATAGGAATGCACCCAGGTGGGTTGTTTCCTTCTCCAGAGAAGGAGACTCCACAACYTCYATGGGCAGCCTGTTCAAAATGTGGACAAGGCTTGAGTGTTATATTAACTTCCATTAAAACCTGATACATATCAAGATATTTCCCTATCCATGGAAACTGCAGAAGTTGGCTTATTTTTCAAAATTTCTGACACTAAAAGTTAATAATCCTAAATACTAATTTCTGTTTGAAACTGCCAAAATAGTCATWCTTTGRTTTTGTGACTGCCCTAGAACATAGAAATAATCATTTAGCCRAAAGCTGTACAACTCCCCTTTGTGSTCATTGTTTCATGCTTCTCTTGTAAGAGCTGGTTCAGGGCCYTTATTCTAGTCCACCAAAGAATACTTTGTGGTTAACAAAGCAAATGAACATATTTTACAGCATTCTAATCCTTTCAAGGAGACAAACTCTGCATGCACTCACATATGAYGTGGCTTAATATTGTGCAGTGGAGAGAATATCTGTAGTCTCATATTTGATTAGATAAGTTGTAAACTATT